AAATAATTCATCCTCTATCATATTTATAATTTAAGGTATGTTTTCTGTTCTTTAAATTATACTGAATTAATAAGAATAAAAAGAAAAAGTTCGAAAACCCAATCCCCCCCTCCCAAGAAGCCAGACGTATAAAACCGGGAGATGGGTTTTTTTTGCTTGTTTATACTATGAAAACATTTTTAAGTTAAAACATCTATGTTTTCCTCCGATGTAATCCGATGTATCGACACCATCGATGTTTAAGACATCGATTTTCAAATATTTTTGCCCATCTCTACTATATAATATATTACGATTATACATTATATAAATCTATCGAAGGCATACATGCGAGAAAACAACACTCGTTTATATGATAATAATGCGTAATGCTTCGATGTGCGTGTGTGTGTGTGTATTTGTGTGTGACGTGTGAAATAATCGGAATATATATATATATACTATATATATGTATATAGTATAACTAAAAGGGTAAAAGTCTGAAAGGGTTAAACACACGGCTCGGTCTTAATAAATTACACAGTTGTGGCATTACATTTCACGCACAGCCTTGTACGAGAACCTATATGTAACATACCCTGACGGTGTTCCCACTGCGTTTTCGAGATATTCTAGCGTGTAGTAATATTATTATAAATTATTATCGTGGCATACGTGTATAGCAAATAGTCAATTTATATGCACGTAATTGTACAAACGTTTTGACTGAGATTCGGAGATAACCAACGGACGTATAATAATATTATACATTATTTTTATTATAACGATTATAACCAACGAGTTGGTTCCCAATTACCAAATTGGTTCCTGGATGATCTACAGATAACATGCACATTGGTTTCACTGAATTTTTATAATAAACCAAAATTATTATAAACCTGCAACAACAATTTCCTTCCAGTTTTCCACAGACTTAAGTACAGATAGAAATTCGAAATTCAGGCAGTTTCAGTCGTTGAAAAAAAAGTGGTATTAGAATCCAGAGGCTAGACAAAAGACTATTAGAAGCTGATTGGACGGATTTTTATTCTGAAAACCAAATTTGATTAATTAACAAGTTTTCTAGGTTTTAACAATACGAGAACGATCTAAATTTTTCTGTGATTCTGTGATAAAACGTGGTCAAACTTTATTATTTAGACCTATTTTTACGTACGGAAACCAATCCAAACACCTATATTATTTAATGTAATTTGTATCTAATTTCAACAAATTCTGTAGTTACAAACGATATGGCTCTCTCAATTTTTTTCGAATTCGATTGCACACTACGAGAACGGGTTTTACATACATTTCAATCTCCCAGCTCTTGCATCGTACACTAACGTAAAAGTTCTCTGTGCTTATTAAAATAAGTAATTTTAATATAAGTATTACTATAATTACAATAATAATTATTATGTTGGTGAAATCAGAAAACTTATATTACAAACTTACATCATTATAATTCGTAATAACAGGTAAATAAATGTTTATTTTTGATTGGAAGAATCTATATCGCTACTCCTTCACCATATCATCCGCCCCTCTTTCCCACTCAATCCATAACGTCGCTGATGTCATTATACCTACCGTAGATAGGTGCAAACGAAAAATTAACATTAAAAAACTCCTCGTCCGTGACACCAAAGTCTACGATTACGTTACAGACATTTGGTTTACACACACGTGAGGCACATGACAACACGATATTTTTTTTTTTACCCGGAAATATAAGGTAAAAACGGACTGAAAGTTTTCCAGAGACCTCGAACGATGAGGCTCGACAATTTACTTCCGGCCATTAAACCCGTCCCATGCCGTCGTCATGCCGGAAATCCTTTATACCCCCTGACCCGACGAACACCCTTCGCTCGTATAATTCGGTCGAAACGTATTATTTTTTTTTTTGTTTTATCACAGACGACGCCAGACGAATCTCGCATCATATAATATAAACGGTTTACGACGCTGCGCCGGTGCGACGCGTCCGCCCGACGATAATAATACGATATTGTTAATGACACCGACGTCGCCTACACGACGTGCCATATAATAATAATAATAATAATAATAATATATAATATGTTGCAAGCACGGTGAGATTATAGATGGTGGGTGTTGACAAATGAATAACCCGTGAAATACAGGCCTGTGTATTTTCGTTTAGGTGTAGAGATAGAGACATAATAAGTATAAATAAATCAAGATAATATTATTATATACGAGAAAATTATAGAAGTTTAAGAGATTTTTCACACAGGTGTATAAATTCGATAAATATTCCCCAGGAGGCCAGGACAGTGATGTCCTGTATAGATAGGTGTTGTTAAACACAGACGTACAGTTCGGATTATGGCTAAATAACTATCTAGGTGTGTCGGCAATCGGCATAATCAACCAATTTTAACTGTAAACTGCGCATATGTTGGGTTTACACCATTGAAAATATTGACATTTTACGGAAAGCAAATTCATCTGACAATAATATCTATCGCGGGATTTCTGTGCAAGTTATATTATATTGTAACAAATAAAATCATTGCAAGTGGTGACTATGACACCTGCATACCACTGCGAAATTACCATCATACCTAGAATTATTTAGCCATGGTTCGGGTGATGTGAAAACCGAATAGGCATCTATCGAAGTTTCATATTCGAATTAGCGCTAGAGAACCAACAACGCATATAACATTATATTATAATATATTATATACGTGCGTGGCGTGTGTTTTCAGGCACCGTTTGCATACCTTTGAACCACCTGTGCGCCAACGACAACGGCGGCGGTGGTCACCTGAGAGTACCAGCGGCCCATTGGAGACAGGCGAAAAAACTTCGCGGCTCCGACAGCAGCGTTGGCGAAGTCAGCAACTGCAGCAGCAGCGCAGCCAACAGCGTAACCACGGTGCCGGCGACTTCAACGGCGGTGACGGCGATGGCTTCGGCACCGGGACCGGTGGTGACAGTTGCCGCGGTGGCGAGCACGACGACCACCTGCAGCAACAGCAGCTGCGGCAGCACCAGCAGTGGCACCCGGAAGAACGTCCCGCAAGGAGAAAGTGCAAGTTCCGTCTCTTGACGGCGGCGACCCTCTCCAGAGGATCGGCTGCGGGCAGCCCGGTGTGGAAAAGAGGAACTCCGGGAGCGGGACAACGCAGACGAACCAAACGTCCGCCGTTCGACGACGACGAACGACCGCGGTACTACTCCGAGGGCTGCTACGGCGACACCAGCAACGGCGGCGGCGACAGTCCGACAGATTTGGATATGATGACCGGTATCGTCACTTCCGTCGTCACCTGCACATCTTCGGCATAACCACCCGACGATGTGAGATGACTCACGACTGTGCACCGATTCCGAAATCAGTATCGCGTAGGTCTGTTTACTTGCAAAAAAATTTTGTTCCCAATAAAATATTATAACATGAAAATTGAAACACTAAATTAAAATGAATCCCAAACATTATCGAGAGACATGATTCGTGCTTTAGTTCCGACGAAACGCGTTGAAAATTCCATCGTCCCGGATTAAGTGAGAATAACCGTGCGTGCAATTTTTCCCCTATACAAAAATAAGTATATTATCTTATAATCGTAATATTGTATTATATTATATTATACCGTTATAAATATTATTAATTACCGTATATCTTAAGCACTAGAATATTTGAAATCCTTTTTTTCCGCCCTTGAGCGCACGTTATTATAATAACCTAATTTGTATAGATCTATACTTTCTGTAACACTATAAAGCTGAAGAGTTTGTATATTTGAACACGCTAATATCAGGAACTGCCCGCTGGCAGTGCTATTTGAACAATTACGTTGGACAGCTCATTTATTGAGGAAATTGATTGGTTACTTTTTTCTTTTCGAATCAATCCTTAAAGAAGGGTTTATAATATAAGTATGAATAGGTCATACGAAACAGTCAGTATCACTATTTGAAAGCGTTTTTACACATTTCCGATCTGGATACATACCGTCCGACTAATCTTAAATTACGATAATTACTGATAATTAACAAACACAGAACGAATAAGTGGAAACACTCGAGACTAAAATACAAATAAAGTATACAAATTTAAAGCGTCCGACGGTACGGATACGGATCGTACATGAAACGGACATATGTAAATAGACGTTAAAGATATATTTACACATGTCCGTTCCATATTTGAACGTTTTAAAATTGAATACCTGTATTTTAATCAAGGTATTTACTCTTGTCCGTTCAATATCAGTGTCGTCCGTTTCCGTAATTTTAAAACAATTGGAAACGGTCTTTTTGGCGATTTCACTAATACGAAGTCTATTATAAAAAGATACGGACATACTTCGCACGATGGGTAGGCCACTGTTGTAGGTGAGAAGTTGTCAAGGTAGGTTATAGAGAGAAATTTAATGTACATCTATACGCAACGATTAATCTTTTCTAATTAAAAACGATTCTGAGCTGAGTTCGATTCTATAAATTATAAAAGGCCGTAATATTTATGATATCCGTTTAAATTTGATATTCAAATTCTTATAAAAAAAAAAAATAAAATACTACATTAAACTTAACGATTTCTTGTTGATCACATTAAATACGACTTGTAATAAACCTTCTGTTAAATTGTCAAGTATTTCTGTTTGGTCTAACAATTTTATGAACAGAGTATCTGTCGAATAAAAATTACATGAACAACTCGCAAAATTAAAATGTCTATTGATAGCTCAAAAGTGGCTTAAATGTTTTAAAAATTTTACTACGAATATAAAAGGCAAATATTATAAGGTTGCTTTCTAAATGTCAAGTCTTTAAAAACATTTTAAACTGAATTACAACAAAAAATAAAATTTAAAATTATAAAAGTATTATTTTCCTATTTATTATGAGAACCCCTGGGAAAATCAAAAATTACCTTCGGAGCAAGATTTCTGGTAGAATTTTTATACAAAGAATAAAAAAAACAACATTATAAAACCATTGCATTTCTCGCTCCTCTCAGAATCAAAAATGTGTACTGACAATACGAAACTGGATCGTAAGTGTCTAAATCAAACGACGCAGACACTGAACGGACGGGACTAATACTAACCGAACATGTGTATATAGTCCTTAAACACGCTGGCGCAATTGCATTTTCTAACCTAGTGGTCTTGGATTCACATTAATTTTTTTTTTGGTGATTTCTTTTTTTTCTAATTTTATAAATAACCAGCTGTCACATATAGTTTTGTCCGTGCAAAGTATTAAATGAAAACGCATTTTGAAAGTTACAATAGATAATGCGTCTTCCCGCGTTTCTTCGCGGCTCACGTTTTCCACCCCTAACTGTTAACCATTATTGCGCGATAATTTATTTTTAAAAAAGATTGTATTAAAGATACGGCGAATTGTTCGATGTTTTTGCTAGCTCTAAAACTATTGAACCTATTATCAATATATATTTATTTATTATTATTATTTTTTTTTTTTTTTTTGAAATTAATAATACTGAAAAGCCAGTAGATTTTACTGTTAGTCATAGCAACTAAAAACTCGTTTTCTCATAGTTTAATTGTTAATCGATTGTAGTAAAGTTATCACGGGCAAGGGGAAATATCCTTTGAAAAAAATTAATTACCGGCAACAACTGCTAATTGTACAGCAATAGAAACTGTGAATTGCGGGCAAACACGAGAAGAAACATTATTATTAAGAAAAAAAAATGTCAGTCAATGGTTTACACGGACAAAGCTGCACAAACAACGAGTAGAACTGTATAAATCCTCTTTCATGACGTATTCGATGTGCCAATGCGTACATTTTATAAAAATATCAACTATTTATTTTGCACCGCAATAATACGTAATAAGATATTTGTGATTTTGATATGTTTAAGTTCATAATTTAAATCAAATATACAAATTTTAGAATAAAAATAGTCACATACGGGAAGCTGACTACAGCTTCATTTGTAAATAATAATATTTATCTTCATGCGTTTAATTCGACATTATTTTTCTACTTGAATATTCAATATTATTGTTAGGGAAAAAATACCTACACGCTCTATTTTCAATGTAAATAACTATTTGACCCAGCAGGTATTTTAAATCATCTTATAGATTTAAACAATATTGAAATGTTCCTGCATTTGATCTTCGTTATTTTTGCATAAAACATAATATTGCCTATTTTCAATTATTAAACTTAGGCAATATGTTCGATTTTAAATTTTACCTAATAATAATGACCTGTAAAAGCAAATATACAAAATAAACTACACAAATGTGGAAAGCACTATCCCCTCACGAATACGCGTCGTCGTGTATTTTCCGAACATAAGAAAAATATATTAAGTCGTTATAAACAGTACCTATATAAACTTACTCTATCACACGTGTGGTTATATTTTTGGCGAGAAATATTTTATTAAGAGAAAACACAAGAACGTGTACTGATGACGGCCGTCACTTTGGACCATGGAATAAAATGCACGCCGCTCGAGTTCGGTGCAATTTCTTCTTTTCGCGAGTCGGTTGGTTAGGTTAAAACGAATGACGGTGACGATATATAGAGGGGCTAAGGCATTTGAAATATTAGACGACGCATACTCGTAAACGGTAATTTATTTAACTAAACGGTCGATTTAGCGGCGATTCCTAGGCGAGATATAAAGAAGATTGTTGTAGGTAGATAGGTAGGTTTTTTTTTCAAAAATACCTTAATTTCCCGAGTTTATCCTCTCTATGCGTTACAGTATCGCCTATTGTCATAGATCTTTTACAAATTTCGCCTTTAATACGTATCAAGACTGTAAGCAGGACCGTTCTTATGAGGGGAGGGCAGGGCAGAGACCCGGGCCCTTGAACTTAAAACAAATACGAATTATAACATAATAAAATATCAAAATATTTAAAATTTCCTCCTGAGCCTCACAAATCTTAAGGATGTACGTTTCTGTAAGGATTACGTCTATATATGACATAGACAATAATAATATAATTTATAACAACATATAACATAATTTAATACAAATAATACCTACGCGTAATTTTAATCCACCGTTCGAATGAATCTTTGTTATGCGATGGATTATTTTAGTATACTTAAAGTCCTCCTGTAACCACCACACACATTACTGTCAATAGAAAACTGTATAGTTTTTCAAGATGAAAATAAATTCAATTTACTTTACACATGAATACTACAAAGTGTTTCATAGAGATCTGACAAATACAATAACTTTATTCCGTTTAATAAGTTTAGATTTATTTTTCTTGCAATGATTATTAGATCCTTATTGTGCTATAAATCGTCTATTTTATATTTTTTATAACAAATAATAACATATTTCAATTTTTTAAAAAAAATATTGTTTTACAAAATCCGAGGTAGCCATTATATAAGTTAAATTTAAGTGTCATATAGTTTTTTTTTTTTATTTAGACATTTTAATATCAAATTTTTAAGATAACCATAATTATTATTACGGCCTTTCAAAACCAAACTCCGCTCAGAATCGTTTTTCGTTAGCAATGATTGATCTTTGCATACAAAAATACATTAAATTCCCCTTTATATACTACTTTCCAAACTTCTCACCAACAACAGCTCCCCGCCCATTGTGCGTAGTATGTCCATCTATTTTTTGTTTCGTTTAAAAACAATAATTATTCTTCGCAGAGCAATTGTATTTTATCGCGAACCGACGATTATCTAATAAATATTCTAAACATACGAATAGTATTTGTTGAGTAAATTTTATTTTATTTTTTTTTTTTTTTTTGTCAAAACTATATTCTTTGCGAGTTACTATATTTGAAAATAAATAGTCGATACGTGTTTACTTACGTATACACAAAATAAGAGTAATATTTTGAAAAATATCGTTGAACGATTCTATTCGAGTGGCGGTTTTATGAGCGGGTTTTATAAGTGGATCGCCATTCTCCTTCTTGAGTCATTGCTTTTTACAATTGTTGCTTTTTATAAAAAAAAAAGAAAAAGAAAATACGTTGATAAAAACAAAAAATATTTTTCTTCAAAGTTTTTAATATCACTGATAATGGACGACAAGAGATTATTGTTTATTTTGTTCGAGTAATATGCAATCTGGATTAGATTTATTTTATTTATTCTCTTTTAGGCAGTATAACTTATAAACTTTGTATAGGTTTTTTTTTTTTTTGGAAGGGTCTAGTTAAAATTTAATTGTCTAATTATTTCAGACTTCCCTGAAACTTAAATAATTACCGCCGTTATTATATTGTCGAGATTAACCGAAGTCAAATTCCTCGTGTACCTTTGTAAATAAAATGTGTAACGAACGGATCGCTCTGTACAGCGTGTACGTATTGTACAAGTCAATAAGATCGGCAATGCGGGGAAAAAAAATCACGGACGAATCCAACAAAATACGAACCTTCTATTAGGTACGTGTCTCTTGTTCGCGAGGACGTTATTCCCTCTTATCCGCGATGACCGTTTAGAAATATTAAATTGCCAACGACGTCGCCGTATACATAATAGTAATACATATATTACATATATATATATATATATATATAAGTATATAAGGACATATATATTATATTAGGTATGTACTTTCGAATATTGTGCAAAAAAAACATCACTAATGATGCTGTTCGAGCACGTCCTGACCGTTTTGATCCCGTCCGGGGCGGTCGTTACTATACTATTATACAGCTATACAGTGTCAGTGTCCACCACTGTCCACTGCACCAGTGTCCATTTTGTATAAATATATATTATTTATTATTAAAACGAAACCGTTACCCTTAAAATATAATGTAACAATATTATTATGTAAATAGCTTTTGCGTGCGCGCTTAATTACAAGATAACAAACATTTTTTTTTTTCTTTTTTTTTTTTTAATGATAATAATAATCCGACCGAAAAGAAAAAAAAAATTTTATCATTGGGGTTGTGAATGTAACGCGCGAAAAAAAATACATAATATATTTAAAATCCCTCCTCCCCCCACAAAAAAATTACAGAAACACAATAAAATATAATTTAAAAAAAAAATATATTTTAATTTTGTATGGCACATTGTGACTTGTCGAACTTTATCATAAAGTACGTGTACTCGCATATAATCTGGGTAAAATATTTTAAATTTACCTAAAAACGGAAAACAGAGAAGAAAAAAAATTAGGAAAATTTCAAAAAAGCTTTCTCAGGATAAACTAAAAAAAAAAATTAAAATACAAACATGAGCAGCAGAGCCCTGTCACTGGAGTCAAATTTTTCCCCATCTATTTTTGACATATTTTTGTAAAACTATAACTAACTATATAGATGTATTGAAATTATTTACCTTCGGTTACATAAATAACCAAATAATATAATAACTAATATAATATATAATATAATAATTCAAAACTATACTATACTTTACTACAATTATAATACTAGGTACTTCCAAAATAAAAAAAATATAGTAACAATTTAGCCTAAAATGATAGAAATTGTTGAAAATTAAATCTCCAAAAGACATATTCTTGATATTAACGCCATGCATATACAAAATTTTATCCTGATGAATTTATTTTTAGAGATACTGAAAGCTTGAAAAACACCATTCTCCCGTAATATTGCTGAAAATTATATTGAAATTAACCCAACTTGTATCATTTTAATTCACCTATAAAATAACTCTGATTTCCTTGTTTGAGCTCATTTAATATAGAGGGAGCCGCTGAAAATAACGGAAAAAAAGATAAATATACATAACAGACACAATACTGCAGTATTGCGTATAAACATATTCACTATAAATTCACTATATATTTATTATACATGTAATTATTATTCTATTACCCACACGATATTATGTCAGATAATTGTTGTCAAATAAATTTCGAATAGTTCGTAAACGCGCGACATTTATTACCACGAGCCACACCGCATTTCCATTTAACTCAGACTCTGCAATTATCATGTTCACTAAAATAATATTATTATGTTATTTCCTCATTCCTCGTATATTCCTTGTAAATACCTATCATTCCCGCTTTCCCATTTCATGCACGTACGTGTTCCAAAAACGTTATTTTCCTCTCCTCCGTCCCCGGTAACCCCCCCCCCACCGATCAATATCTCCCGCATCTACCCATCAGTGTGCCAAAACATCATATTACCTAAAATAATTTATGTTCCTAAAAACACACATAATATGTATATAATATGTATATCCAATTTGTATGTATTAAATATTTAAGGAAATGATTGTGTGTAAATATTTATAATCGTTGTTGCCTATACATTAAAATAGGTACCTATATTAAATCTTACTCTTCTTATTATTGTTTTTGTAATACGGATCAGCATATACTATATTATTATACAACACCAAGATATTTTGGTGAATAAAATATTATTATATTTATTAGTCTGTCGAGCACTCAAAAAAACAAATAAAATTGTATCTTTTTTTTTTATTATATTACAATTATTGATTACAAACAATCTATGTACGACACTTTTATTTAAACTATTAATACGTTAATCTAAAACGAAAACCTATTCAACCTGTCGATCCAAACCTGAAACTATAGCTCAAAGGAAGTTAGTATTCTGTACTCCTAAATGTAAACCTAAAACCTAGTAGATGGAGAATTACAACGGGTTTAAATAAAGCTGAAAGGGAAAAAAACCACAACAAAAAGTCGTTAGAATCGGTTTCAGAATTCTATGACGGCTGTAACTGGTCGTGTTGTTATCTTCGCGTTCTTGCGTTCGGAAAAAATGTCCAAGTTCTCTTGAGTACAATATAATATAACCGCAAACGTTTGTTTTTTTATATTATTTTGCCAATGTACAATTTCATTTAATTTTGATTAATATTATAAATACGAGTCACATACTATTGTACCGGTTACCTATCGATAAGTTATTAACTATTCAAACATTCGAGTAGCCTTTTCCCAAGATATCATGGTCATTGGTTTTAAATTGGTCTTCTTTTTTGGTAAATTATTATTCGATTGATGTGTGGGTATTACAAATTAAACTAAATGTATCCAACATACAGAAAAAAATGGATTTTCCGACACAAACTTGTTATACAACTGCATGGGTACCTATCAAGTAAATATTGGATATTTAGAAACGACATTATTAATTGGTATTATTATTAGATACTATCATTCATGAACAACAACCTTTGTAACGATATAATATTATTAGCTATCCATATTTCTATTTATTTTTAAGTTACCATATGTGATTGTTTTCTTTTAACTTATAAGGCTTACCTATACAAATATATTAATAATATGATGTGTAATATACAATTATATAATAATACAATTGTGTGTATGTGTTTTTTTGTTTTAATAAATTGCTTTTAACTTTAAAATATCGTCCGTTCATTTTTCGATTTTGAGTATAGCGAAGAAACTATAATAATTTTACTAAAATGAGTTTTTCACGGAAAATACTTTTTATAGTTAGTAAAAATGTTCCAAATTGTTCCCGTCGTTCCTCAGAGGTGCATACTTTTTACTCGACGGTACAGTATCACTGGTACTCTATTTAAACAATTTTTCTACAAATTACGATACTATTTTAAATTACGTTCCCACTTTCTACCCTACTATGAAAATAATTTTCCAGACCCCATGAACACCCATGAACAGGCTCACATAGTCCCACAAAATTAATAAATATGTATAAAGATAATTACAACTAGAAACATTTTCAAGACACACGGCTCTACAAAACATGGTATATCTGGTATTGGTCTATTATAATAACCATGGAATTTTAGCTTAAGATTATATAACTACGTTATTAAATTAAGTATTTGATGAAATTCACTGTTTATTGCATTAACTAAGTTTAGTTGACAGCTTGTTTTAAAATACTTATAATATAATTTAGGGTAGGGAGACAAAAACGAGTAACTCATTAGAAATATTGTATTATTAAATTAATTAATTATAAAAGCCAAAACAAATGTAAAGTAAATCCTGTTCGGGTAGTAGTTTTATGTTTTCAAAATAAATATGTATTATATTAAGTTTATATTAAGTAGGTATACATAAAATTCAAAAGGAAGTATTATTTGCTTACATGTGATATAGACCCATATCACTATTTTATGACCTACTTAGCAACAAATGATACAGTATAAATATTGTTGGATAACCTCCAATAGTTCTCAAAGTATAGGTACTAATATCAATAAGGACCTATTTGATTGGCAAGTTAACTAAAAGTATTTAATTATTTGATATAATACACTATTATAATTGATCGTATAATAATGATGACGAAATAAAATAACGAAATATTATACTTGATTAATTAATAACTATATACTTAAAATTAAACTTAAAAATAACTCGTGTGACAAATTCCTCTTAAAATAATATATTATATAAAAGTATAATACATAATAAATTGCCTTCATTCATTAAAAGCTAATTTAGAACTTAGGTACCTACCTACTGGTTTAAAAGTAATTTCCATTCGTTCACTAAGTTTTCCTAATTAAACGAAGTTTATTTTATTTATTTAATTTATTTATAAATCAACGGGTAAACACCCTTTTGGTAAATATAATGGATATGATACATAGTATTTAAGATAAAATGAATTACAATACATGTAAGATACATACATAAGATACAGCATTACCGACGAAGCAAAAAAAAAATATAGTAAATAGAATATCGATTTATATTATCTTTACAACAGTCATTGTTGTATAGGACTCCAAAATCCGAAATCTATACACATAAAATAATATGTCCTGACAAATTGACTGATTTATCAACGTCTAGCCCAAACCGCTGGACGGATCAGGCTGAAATTGTACATACAGATATCTATTATGACGCACGCATCCGCTAAAAAAGGATTTTTGAAAATTCAACAACTAAAAGGGTAAAATAGAGGTTTTTAGGAATTTTTAGTACGAACATATTATTATTTATTTTTGTTTAACCATGGGTTACCGAGGTGATACAAATAAAATAACAAAACAGTTGGCCCGGACAACGCCGGACGGGGTAACTAGCAAGGCGGGCGGGTGTTAGTATTTTTGGAAAATTAATTAAATTTTATTTGTTGATTTATATGATTTATAGGTGGTTACCTTGGTGATATGGAAGACAATTTGATTTCCACGGACGAGAAAACTATTGTTATTATTATTATTACTATTATCTATAGCAATAGGAAAAAACCTAATTAATAAAGAGTTGACATTAAAATACGATAATCTATAAATGTATATGAAAATGAATCAAAATTTTGTTGATGACGCCATAACTTGAAAACGAATAGACCGATTTGACTGATCTTTTTTTTTTGTTGTTGTTAGGTTCATAATTATTAAGAAAGTTTTTATGAAAAAACATTTTTGGAAAATAAATAACAAAATTGAAAAAATAATAAAAGCATTATTTTCGTAAATTTCCAGTTTTTCTTACGTTTTTACCTCACTTTTCCCCTTTTATTGGGAAAACTGCCGGGAAAAGCAAAATATAACCGTCCTAAATTACCAACCCAAGAAAATGTGTTTTCAGAAAAATGTCTATACCGTACACATCGGAGAAAAATTTCAGGAAAAAAAATAAACATCTTTATAAAACCAATAAATTTTTCACTAACCTCATATTCTAAAAAATAAAATTATTATAAAGACAAACAAAAATAAAAACAACACACATCATAATAAAACTAGTATACAATTTTCGCTTCGCTCAAATCTAATAACTCTAAAATAACTCTGCTAAAAAATTGTACATTTTAAACAGTAAATTATCATTAGGATTTCCGCGAAAATTGATTAAAGACAAATTCATTTTTAGATTTCAAAAGAACTTAAATTTATAAGACATCGCTATTAAGTACCTAACCTACCTTTATCATTTATTAATTCGAATGTATAAATTGATACGCAAACTATAAAATTACAACACACTGGATTATTATAATATATGCAATACATATTTTGGTCCATATGCTGTTCCATTACGTATCTATTAAATAGCTAATGAACGATTGCGTTGAATGCATTATATTAGATGAAAATTTGAGTTGCACTAACACCAGAGCAATGACTCAGATTAACCCACTTAAATACAAAATTATAATCTATAGGTATGATTATGTTTATATAAATAATATAATATATAATATATAGGCTGGTTTTTTTTTTAATGATGATCCATCGGTTATGTATGATGATTTCGAGCAAAGTTGACTTTATGAATTTACTAATTTATTGTTCAACTAAAAATTGATGAAATTAAAAAATTGAAATCAATTTCAATTCATAAAAAAATGTGATTTAACCCAGTTCCGCTTGAAATCTATTGTTAGCAATGTTATTTTGTCGTTGCGCGTGCATGTGTACCATACATCATTGCTCGCAGACGGCACGGTGTTCCATTTACCATTATGTGCGTATTTGCCGACAATTTATATTAATATAAAATTATTAAATTAAGAACTCGATTGGTAATCTAAGTATACAAAAAAGAATAGATATTTTGTTGGTGACACCATGGCTTAAATATCATTAAAATTTCCAATTTTCCGGTAGACTTTACAAAAATTTTATTTTATAAAAACTTTCTTAATAATTACGAACCCAACAACAAAAAAAAAAGATCAGTCAAATCGGTCTATCCGTTTTCAAGTTATGGCGTCATCAATAAAATTTCGATTCTTTTTCATATACATATATATATTATAGTATTTTAATGTCAACTCTTTATTAATTTTGTTATTTTATTTGTATCACCAAGGTAACCCATGGTTAAACAAAAATAAATAATAATATATTCGTACTAATACGATAATAAAAACCCCTATTTTACCCTTTTAGGTGTTGAATTTTCAAAAATCCTTTCTTAGCGGATGCTTACGTCGTAATAGTTAACTGTATGCAAAATTAGACGATGATGAATCAGTCAGTCAGTCAAGATATTTTATGTTATTTTATATATAGATATAAAAAATGTGTGTGAGTGTGTGTGTGGGATTTTTGCTTGTTTGTGTGTATGGTTATGTGTTTTTCTATATGTGAATTAAAGCACTCTCTCTACTCCGCAAAGCTCCCCTCTCATTAAAATGCGCATAGTCTACACAAAAAAATATGTACCTATCAAAAAAAACTAAAAAGTACATACACACCAAACGTGCTCACCCAATTTTTTTGAAATTATATATATATATTTAAATTCTTATTTTTGGAGTCTAGTTAAAGCCAATATTTTAGAATACTTAGTTTTCCACAACATTTAAGAAGTATTCTGTAATACCAACTTTTGTTTTTTAAATGACAACCTACATTGAAAATTCCATAAGTAGATGGACTAGTACTTTAAATACATTTTGGTAAAAATATTTTTGTTTTACCTCAACCCCAAACGCGTATTATTTCGAGGAGAGTTAATCAAAATGTATAAACATTACAATACAGTAAAATAAACAAAACTGTCCTATGGATATTGGGACGGTTGCAGCCACTGTTATTGATAATTTAATGTATATCTAAAAGTAACGATTAACCATGCTAACAAAATAACAATTCTAAGTGAAGTTCAATTGATAGTGTTGCTTTGTCAACAATATATATACATATATATATAGTAAATAAAATATGTATATACAAAAATAAAAATAATAACTACATGAATGCGTCATTTGGATATATGTGACATATTATGGTAAAATAATTACATATGCATTATATAATAATATCTGTTTAATATTGTATCTATTATTCCGTTTTTTCTACGTTTTCCTGGCTTTCCTCATTTATTGAAAAACTCTTGGAAAAATCAAAAAATGACCTCCCCAAAGTACCTACTCAATCAAATTTCCTTTCGTAAAATCAATAAAAAGTAATTTTCGACTATTGTTGCACCTTTCATAGCCCATGGAAATAATTTTTAAATTTCAGGGGTGCCGCAGCTCACTCAGTCCCTCCCATAAATACGTCCCTGGCCCAATTACGAGATATTCCACTTAAGGTTAGATAGAAGGAGAGTATTGAAGTAAGTCTTTTTTAAACTCTACGCGCGAAAAATAAATCTAAGTATTCAAAAATATCGGATTAAAAATTTCAAAAATCAGAATTTGAATATGTGCAAAATTTAACCAAAAAAATGAGGTGAGAACACTTAGTTAATTATCCTATATGCTAGCGGTGGCCAAATTTTTTTTTGGTAGAGATCTACTAAGAATATATTTTTCCTTTGAGGATCGACTTTCTAACAAAAATGTATAACTATAAATTACCTAATAGGTATTAATAATACACATATACGTACAAAGGGCATCGAACATTTGCGCCAAATTTACCTGCTTATATTAAACGATTACATGACTACGTAAGAGTTATTTTTTTATTTTACTTATTTATAAAATAAATATAGATTTTTATTAAAACAACCTTTACATTACAGTCAATTTAGTATACATAATACCTAGTTGATTTATTTATAACACTCAAATAATTAAGTATTATAAAAATTGTAATATTACAAATAGGTAATGAAATAAAAATTATTCAATGATTGTCAATGAATTTACAATTTTTTTACTCGTTATAATTAAAATAAATTAATATATTTTTTTCTTGCAGTTTTTCTTTTTCTTATAAAAATTCATTATACAATTTTTTTTTTATTAATATTTATGAATTAACCAAGTTGTTAGTGTAAAATGTTTACGCAGGTAAATTTGGCGCAAATGGACGATCGGAAAAAACTCCCCGTACAAAATAATAAAACTAAAATATATAGTTGAATAATGTTTTTCATCGCACAATTATTAAGAATAATATAATATTATTTTAAATATAATTACCAGGATAAACTCTATTGAATTGTATTACTTAATAAATTTACAACAAAATAAAGATAATATATTAAAATAAAAATTATCAGCAATCGTTATAATTACATAAAAATAAATTCTAACAAAATGGAGATCGTCATTTAAAGCATCTGCGGTCTACCGGTCGATCGCGATCGACCGTTTGACCACCCCTGTTGCATACTATATAGAAATGGATATAATATTAATATATATATATAGTATTTATTATCTAGTATAACATACTATTTTCATTAGTATTATTTGTTCAACGTTTTTATTTTGATCTAAAACCCATTTTTTTTAAATTTAATTGTGTAGTAATAATAGATATTTTTAGGAGGTATGGTGGGAGAAATCGCCTACTGAACAACGAATCACGATATGATATATATATATGTATATACCCTCACGTGAGTCTACTAAGTGTTGTTTATATGCACCGACACCTATATGGGGTCGTCCGAGAACTCTTAATGTCCGTCAAGCGTTGGCAGTAATGGCCCTAGCCTATGATTCTTCCGGAGTAACTGCCTCTTCTTCACCCAAGCATTCCTCCTTGCCCTCACCCTGAGATCCGAATTCTTCACCAACCGCAGCTTCTTCGTCCCGGGCCAACTGCTGTACCAGCCACAGTTTTATCTCGCCTTCCATCTCGTCAAAGTCGTGCGGGAAAAATTTAATAGCATCGTCAATGCCCGATTCGGAGTCAGGACTCACGTAAATGGGCCCGACGTCAACGAACCGTAACATGCTCTTGTCCTTGTCATCTTTGACTACGGACAACACCAGTTTTGCATCTTTACTATGGAGTTAATACATTTTCAAATTAATTAATCCAATATTATTTTTATACTATAACGGCATTATCGAAGATCGATTTTAAAATAAGAAAAATTAGTATATATTCATGGAATCATTTCGAAAAAATAGTTTATGATTTTCTTTTAATCATAAACGTAAATGGGTGCAACCTACCCGATTTTATCCATACCATACGTCGTCAACAACTCGTGATCTTTGCACAGTAGTCTCGGGTTTTCAGGATCGGCGCTGCGAAAAAAACCATAATGGTAGATATTGTCTTCGAGGTCCTCGATAATTGGTAATACAACGTTAGATTTGTTGACTTCGAATATTATGAGATACTATAACAGTACAAAATACGACGACAACTATAATAATGCGTAAGCTGCCAAATACCGATCGAAAATCGTTTTTAGAATTATGCACATTTTCAATGATCGGAGAGATATTGTTTAAAAATTATTTTTATTCTATTTAAAACATCCACACGAAAATTTGCTAAAAACTGTCAGTAACTATATTACACTAACCTGTGGCGAAGGGGGCTGAGGTGCGACGTATCCATTATTTATGCAAAATTTGTTGAACAAAACAGTGAGGGCTGAGGTTTTACTTAACGGATTGGTAGGCGTATACAACGAAGGTAATTTTTCTCCAAAATCGTTTACTATCATATTTTCAGCTGCTAATCTATATAGTAACACATTTATAATTGGTATTAATTGTATCGATTAAATTATTATGTTATAATTACGTATTATGTTTAACATATTATAACATAATATTAAAAAACTTACGATTTTGGGGTAGGATACAATGGATTCCCGTTGCCATAAATTATCGTGCTCATCTTCTTCTCTGCCAATCCCATGTTCTCGACGGGATCAGGTGGATTTTCATCTTCGGTAGCCACTTCTTCGGCGGCGTCATTTTTTATGGTGGGCAATGACAACATCACTGAATACACTTTTTTATTTAACAATTCGTCAACAAATCTGGCCGAGAAACTTTCTAACACCTCTTTTTCGTTTGAAAACATCTAAAACAAACATAGGTATTAACCTATTATAATGGAATACAAAATAAAAAAAGCTATATTTAACATATTAGTTTATCAATAATACCAAAGCTTAAATTATTTTTCATTATTCCAGTTTTGTTATAAGTCAAATAATTAAATACATTACTTCAGAAATATAGTAACAAATACTGTACAAAAATAAAAATTATCATAAATAATATAACTGTAGTTGTTATTTTGTTAACGAAATAATAATTTTACTAAATTAATTCAACTATTCAATTTAAATAATATTTAATATCTTAACTAATCTATATACGTAATTATGATTTATGCCTTGTCTAAGTTTATGTATATAAGATAAATATATTTATTTAAATACCTCTTCCAAAGTATCTTCCGTCAATTGAATTTCCTTGGCTTCGACGACGATAAACTCTTCATATTTAAGAGCACACAAATTGGCCACCTCACAAACTCTTTTTTCTATCATTATTGGTTCAGGCAATTCTTCGAGCTCCTCTACGGCATCCTCTTTCGAGGGTTTTTCCACCATAACGTAAGTGATAGTGTGTGGAAAAAATACGACACACGTTTGCATTTGAACATTTACAGAAAACTTTTTCAGACTGTGTTCTCTCACTTTCATCATCCTATCGTCTGAAAAAAAGACCATCACTTTTTAGGTACTCTATTTTACTCGTCCACGGAATACGAATTCAAACCTCAAATAATCAAATCATATAATTTAATATCATATAAAATTGCTCACCTCTAATTTTTTTTTCTTTTTTCATTTTCTGTTTTTCGTACTGTTCTTTTTCTACCAATTTTCTTTGTTCCTCACTGGTCACATTATCCATAGAAATCTGTGTGTCAATTTTAGATTATTGTGTAAACTAGTTATAATTAATTATTGAATGGTCAAGCATAAACAAATATAATAATTAATAACATTATAATATACCCACAAACTCTATTTCGATTTCTCCTTTTTTAAACTTTTCGTAACGTTCCACCTCATCCGTTATTACTTTCATTAGTCTAGGAGCATTGGCGCCAATAATGAGATTAACAAATTTCCCATCCTTGTACGCAAATGACAATAAATACATAAATATAATAATTAACATTATTCGACCAAATATGTATTAATTATAATATTGTCAATAACAATAATAGTAGTATATAAACTATACGTACAAAAAAAAACAACCAATGAGGTTCACTTTTTTGCCGAAGTCTTTCCAAAACGGAAATGTAGTCTGATTTCACCTAATTATAATGATAAAATATACATAAGTTGAATACATTAAAAATCAATAATAATCAATAGGAATACATTTTAGATTCTAATTGGAGCGAAGAAGCTTATGTTTTTACAATGATGTTTATTTTTTTTTTCTGTGGTCAACTTTTCTATCAGCAATTTTACTCCGAGTTTCAATAATTTCACTTTTTCTGAAAGTTAATCTTATCAGGGTGGTACTTTAAGGAGGTAATTTTTTGATTTTCCAAGATTTTTCCGATAAATGGGAAAAACATGGTAAAAACCGTCAAAAAATATCTAAACGTTTATTTTATAATTAATATTTTATCCTACTTTTATTCTCAGTTTATTTTAATTATTAATTTAATAACATATAAGCCCGGCACCGAACACGATAAGAAGTAAAAGATTATTATTTTACATTTTATGCATGATACACTTTAAAATAACTTTTATTAAAATATTTTCATTTCTATATCAATAAAAGCTTTTTGAACTCGAATTGTATACCGTTAAAATTATTGCATTCAGTGCATAAATATGTTTATAGGAACGAAAGCTGCAGTAGAAATTGTTCAGTTTTATTTTACGGTCAGTGTTTCTTTTAGACGATTTTCTCCGGGGGGTCATTTATATTACATCGTGAAAAATAAATTATTTGATAATAATTACCTTTTTTAAAAATTTAAGAACATTTAAGAAAAAACCATCTGTAAAATGTCACATTACCATAATTTTTATCACCCTTAAAAATAAGGGTAAATCTACTTTTGATTTTCAAATGACAACCTATATTAAAAATGTCATAAATAGATGGAGTATTAGTTTAAAAATATTTTAGTAGGTATTTAAATTTTAAATTTTCCATCAATTCGTTGACAAGATAATCCAGTTTTAAGTTTAGGCAGATACAAATAAGCAAAGTAGTTAGGTCAGATTATAAACATTTATAAGAAAAAAAAATATAATATACCTACACCCTATATACATTCATTCCTATACAAAACTTTAAAGTTAAAAATATACTGAAAGAACTGAAATAGGATCAAACCATTTTCTTAAGTAATAATCTCAAATATACCATAAGCTTGGAATTATTGCAGTAGGTACTTGTCAATTTAATTTAATTTAATTTAAAAAAATATTAATTTATACATTTATTTTTTTTTATTATATAGTACAAATTTCAATCACATTTGTGTATCTATTGTAACACAACTACTGTTAACACACTTTACCATTTAGAAAATAGTAAAGTAATAAATATATTACAGTCTACAACAATGATACGCTTTTGATGAACTAATGAAAAATTTATCTAATGTTATTTTTGATATTCAATAATATTTATCGTCCCTAGTATCCAACAATATAATGATACCAAAATTAAATTTGTCTAATATTTATATTTCTTTATTATTCTTTAAATTTTGTCCGAGAGGGCTGAGCCATGCCTAAAAGAATCACTATTTACGGTAAGTAATCTGGATTCCACTTTGTCGTTATTTCGTTCTTTTCTAAAAATACGACTCCGTTGCGTATATCCAAGTCCGCTATTTAAATACTATATTGAATGCTATGGCATAAAACTATTTTATGTATGTAAATTAAGAATTAAAACTTAAATTTGATTTTATACCTAATTATACTTTTCGTGAACAACTATCTAATAATAATTGTTTCTAATAATTCATAAGCCAAATACTAACCAAGCCCCGAAAGGACCGCTTTTGTTGCTAAACGACGTTTCTCCCGTTAATACCATTTCTTTGTTTGTAAAGGGTGGTGTGTAAATATTTTTATTTACTTTACATTTCAGAAGAGCCGACAACTAAAGATAACTTCGTAATTTATTAGTATTACACTATACTGTCAAGTCCGGTCACTACAGTTTGTATATTTTAATTAAATTATTGTATACATTGATTATTAATTCAGACTAGTAAATACGGGCTGACCTCGATTTGGACCCGATGGCATGAATTGGGTTCCGGTATATTATAACGAATAGATGTGTTCGGTTCCGGTATATTTTAACGGAGTCTAGGAAATAATGGCCGCATACGAAAATAGCCAAAATATTATGTTAATAAGGTAAAAAGTATAAACATATTTGTTATGAATCAATATTCGTGGACAATTTAACAAAATATTGTTAGGCTAATAAATTTGTATTTCGTAAATTGAATAGTACACAAAATATTTTGATTTTTATGATTTTCATTAAAATTTCAAATTTAAAAAAAAATTATAAAACAATTGTGACTTCGGATTTTCAATATATTTTTAGGGCCATAATAAGAACAATGTTGAACCTTGTATCAAATTTTCAAATATTTTCACATGAACCAAATAAAATCAAAAAAACTTGAAATTTTCAAATAGCTTTAATTAATATAAATTTTTCAAAAGTCTGACTGTTTTAAAAATCTAACTACGTCTAAAAAGTGCTAATATAATCATTTGATGAATTTTGAAAGTTTCTACACAAAATCGAAAATAATAAAAACCGTCAGTTATTGTATGTATTTATTTTTTCCCAATTATCAAAACCACTTCTAAAACTGATGGGCGAAGCAAGATTTCTAGTAGAAAAATGATCAACAAGCATGCGGGGGAAAAAGTTTTATAAAATATCAAAAACAAAACAAACATCAGCCAGTACACTAATCACTACACTGAGAATCTATAATAGTCGTATGCACGACCGAAATGATAGGTATAGATTTTGTGTATTATATAAATATATAATATTTATATATTAATCTGAAATTAAATTATATTATTAAACTTTTAAAAAATAATAACTTATAGCTACATAAGTACTTATATTATTATATTACGCACTCGAATATAGCTCGACTTGTTATAAAGTTTATAATCATTAAAACGGGATATAAATTCATACATTATACAAATCATAATACCGTATTATAAAGTTTTAAGTATATACCTACATAAAATAGGTGCCTGTGTACTTACGATAGCGTAATGTAGACTTTCGTTGCCCAGTTCTAGTTTAATTTTTTTCAAGTACGCAATCATTGGTACACAAGGACCACACCATTCTGTATATACATCAATGACTGAAATATGTATGAATATTTAATAAACGGTTATAAATCCAGAGCACTTATTTTATATGCCCTATGCCATAAGAAACTTTAAATAATTATTTGCATATATGTATTCAAAATATGCTCGAAAATTTTAAAAAAAAAAGTTTTCATTTGATGTCATAAAGTGATAAATTATTATATGGTTAATAAATTAAAAAACCTATAACAATTTATTTTAGTCAAACAAATCAATTAATAATATATATAGTTATAATATTATTTTGGTTGACTGATTATATTTACTAATATTTTCGCTTACCATAAAGTCCGGGTTTTTCTAACATTTTTTCCCAATCTTCGTTGGTATTGATTTCTTCTTGAAGCACTACTTGTCCGCCTTTTTTGGCCATTCTTCCAGATCTCTTTTTTTTAGCCTGCTATATATTATAAAAATTACTATCGAATTAACCTATGTGGCTATATGAAATTATAAGCTGTACAATTTATAAGTAAGTTATAATTATTAAGGTACCTAATCAGTAGCATGTTTAAGGGTAGAAATCAGGAAGAATTGCTCCCTTAACATTCTTTTTAATATATATTATTTACAAGACAAGCTATTTTTTAAATTCTAATTCCTTTACTTTATAGTTGGAAAAATCAAAAATAAGTTTATAATAAGTTAATACATTAGAAGCTCGATTAACAAGATTGTGATGGTAAACAGAAATTTTTCAATAAATGTTTACAGATTTATAATTACAAAAGTAGGCATAAACGTTATATAATCTAGTGGTAATATTATACTACACAATAATAAAGTCTTCTGTTCATCTTGGTGCACAAAAGGCTAATGTCAAACAAAAAATTGAAAATTGAAAATTAGAAGTTGAAAAAAAATGTATTAATTACCAGAAATCGAATGTAAAGTCCATAACTATTATAACAGATTTTTTTTTAGATTCTAAGTGTAGCGAAATTGATCTTTCTCGCACCGAGCCACAAATATATAATATAGGATATTATACACAGGATATTGTAGGATATTCTATTTTAAACAATTCGTTTTATTACATACCTTTTTTGGTGGCATTTTTCAAATGGAATTAATAATATTTCTATAATATCAATATTAAAATATAAAATTTAAAAAAATTATGATAATAATTAAAGTATTTGAAATATTTATCGCTTTATAATATTATTATAAGAACCACAAAACCTGTATATCTACTTGCAAAACTGAGCACAATGATCGGTTAGCACGTGCCGTCCGACTATTTATAAAATATACAGGGAAATTTAAATTCCCGTGCGCCCCCCTTTAACGCTGCGTGACATTTGAAAAGTTTAAATACTCGTGGAAGTTTAGGAAAATAGATATTTAATAGTTCTGAATGTGTATATATATATATATATATAAATTAAAATCGTGCATACTACATAGTATATAATACTACCTACCAAATATGCGAGCCGAAACGTTGTACATAATTCGAATAACGTGTTTAAGAGAAATTAGCAATGCTGGTAGATGATGCTTAAAGAATCTAATAGTTTTTTCTTTTTTTACATGACAATAACTAAAGAATTTTAAATGTATGTTGTCTTATAACATTTTTGCAACAAAACTGCAATAAAAATGCATTGCTAATAAAAAAAGATTCTAATTGAAATTTAATTAACCATAGATATTTTAAAAATATTTTCATCTTGAAACACTTATAAAAAGATTACTAAATACATTACACCTAACCTTTTGTACATTTTCAAGCTATTTGTTGGGCCAAAACAATTTTCCTCTTAAAACCTAATAAAAACTAAAAGAGCTCGGAAATTTCGAATGACTACATTAATAATTGCTTAAAAATCACGGGAATATTTATAAAATTTCACCACGTCTTAATAAAGCTAATATAACTATTTTCTTAAAATTTCAGGTTTTCTTAGTTGTATTATAAGATAAACTAAAAGGAAAATCAATAAATTATACCATAAATGCACCAACAAGACAAAATTAGCCACTAAAAATAATCCCTAAAATTGATAGTCGAAATAAGGTTTACAGACAGAAAATAAACACAAAAACTGAAAACATTTGTCAGTTGTGGCTATATTTTTTTATTCTTATTAAAACAACTTTTCTCCACAGCTTTTCATAATTAATCCACATAATACCATAGTATTAGTATTAATGACATTAAAAGTATGCTAGGCATGTTCTAAATTTCAAATTTTATATTGTTGAGAGTTATAAGTCATATTTTAGAAATATCGTAATGAAGAAACAATTAATTAGTCAACATTAATGGAAATTAAGATAACTAAAAATACCTACACAATAAATAAATAAAATTTAAATTAAAATGCTTGCAACGTCGTTTGTATCATTTAAAACATTCACCAAATAAAAAGTCAAGAAGATACATTCAGTAGTTATTTAACTTATATTTATACGCAAGGATAAATCATTGCTAATGAAACACGATTCTGAGTAAAGTTCGATTAAACATGTTTTTAAATACCATGAATTTACGATCAAAATATCAAATATAAATAGCTAAAAAATCTTCAGACGTTTTGAACATTTTATGGGGTCTAGAAAAAAACAAAATCAAAAATAATAAAACCGTTACAGCCGTAAACTTTTTCATTTTTCTCCAATTTTTTCCTTGTTTTAAAAAAACTACATAGAGAATCTAAAACCAATCTCCTAATGAACTTACTAGTCAACATTTTCATTCAGAAAATAAACATCACTTAATAATGGCAATAGTAATATTCCTGGTAAACAAATATACAAACAGAGAAAACAAACACACACAGTAACCAATATATTTTTTACTGTGCTCAGAATTTATTATAGTCGTCTATATTATTACCATTCTTGTTAACAGCTATTGGTTTTAATTCAAATAATTTGAGAAAAATATTCACCTTAGTAAGATCCAAGATAAGCGATATTACCTAAAACCCTTTGATTAATATATGTAGGCTAAAAAACCTTGTACAAGTACTTTATCGGCGATATCACTTAATATAGAATCTAACCCGATTAAGTCTGTCATTAATAAATTAATAGAAAATCATAAATATGAATAATAATTTGGGAAATTGGTCGAAACCCACCAATAATAGTATAAAGTTTATCGGACCTCTAAAGTGATATATTGAGGCGCCACTACGCACTATGCAACCGCTGACTTTTGAAATGGCCATAATATATTATAACTTACTAATTCGCACAATTCAGTATAACTTTAAGAACTGTAAAAAAAAAAAAGTCTCCAGTTTCGGTGCGGTTCCATGTATTGTATATAATAGTACTAATTACTCGTATAATATACAGTGTCTAGAGAGTTTCTTTTATAGTCCAAAACTTGTAATATAGATCAGAATTACGATAACAGGCAACTATTATTTATTATTAATATTATCATCATTATTAAGGACTAATTTAATTCAGCTACAAAAATATTATTGTTAATATTATGTAATATCCATAGATATCTTGTGTCGTGTCCAAAGATAAATAAGAAACAAATAATAACGATATTGAACTACATGATTTGATAATGTAGGTATGTTTTTTTTTCAACAAATAGCAAATAATATATTATTAGAAAACGTATACTTAAAAATAATTAAATTGTTTAACCCTAATATTATCTATATACACGCACGCCCGTAACAAAACAAATATTTATTTATCCTAATCAAATTTATAGTAAGAACATCGTTATTTTTCATTTGTATTATATTATTACCGATGTATATTTTTAGATAACTTTGACTAATATACTTGCTGTTTCTACGTGTTAGCGGTGTTCTCACTAAGAACTAGATAGACATACCTAATACTATAATAATACAATATCAAACTATTTCCCAACCAAAATGTCAGCAATTCATCTGAAGTTTGATCATAAAAATGTTAATAGTGGAAATTGAAAGTTAAAATCCCAAAAGGCACATCCTTAATACTTATCCTCTGGCTTTATTCGGGAAGTCTGTAAAGATACTAAAAAACTAAAACAACACCATCCATCCACAACAACATGATTAAATTACTTAAATTCAAAATATTGAAGTTCGGACCAACTTTAATGTTTAGCCTACAAAATAACTTTAAATCCGAATCTATTTCAAAAATACAGGAAATAAGTTATACCTATACACTATTCGCTACACAGAATGATATATTAAGCACTCTCACCCCATTTTTATGATTAAATATAGCATATTTTTAAATAATGATTTTTGTAGTTTTTAAGTGTAGCTAAAGCCGATTATTTCGAATTTTTAAATTTTGCACAATATGTAAGGAGTATCCTGTGGTGATACCAACTTCGTTTTTTTAAATAAGAACCAGCGTGTTATAATACAAATTGTAAATTAAATGGTTTTTTAAAAATTTTAACATATTTGAAATTTTAACGAACATATTCTGAGTTATTCTACTTTAAAATACTAAGGATATCAGTATTAAAAATATCATTTGTGTGGCGACATAGTGAGTGGCGTTTTCATAGTGCTTCACAACTCTCCCCTTTCCCAAACTTAAAAGTGACTTCGTCAGCAGGTTGACACAAAACAAAAGTGTCATAACCAAAATATATTTAAACTAATACTACATCTATTTGTAAAAGATTTAATATAGGTTCTTATTTGAAAAACCAAGTTAGTATTGTCACAGGATACTCCTTAAACACTGTGAAAAATCTATGTATCCGAAAATATCTTCTTTAACATTTAAAAATTCCGAAAATCAGAATTTTAATGCATGCAGAATTTAACCACAGAATGAGATAAGCATACTTAATGAATCACCACGTATGCCCTGCATACCTATAAAACAGACACAATACAGTAGGTACAATAGTCATTTTTTTAGGAAAATTGGGAGGAACTAAAAGGGAACATTCTCTTTTAGAAACACTATTAGCAGGACACAATATTGCAATCCAAGGTACGTATGTATAGTAGAAAGAAAAAAAACCTTGCTAATTATGTGTCATACATTCATAAATTTAGGGATTCCGGAAATTATGTAATATTTTAACACAGTGGTTCCCAATTGGTGTGTCGCGTTTTAGTGTGATGTGTGTCGCCGCCAAAATGTTGTTTATTTGTAGGTAAATAATACCTAATCTAAATTAGGGTGTCGTCATACAAAAAAGGTCGAGAACCTCTGTTTTAACTTATTAGGTTTTGTTCGATATTGATAATTGTGTTCAAAATAATGTTCGTCGGAAGTGTTTATTAAATACTATTTGTCAACATTTTAAATCACATTATTAGAATGTTAGAAGGAGGGCATATTATTATCGGATTGAGCCAGAGAGCTTACATTCTATGACACGTTGTATTCATTTGTATGAAAAATGTGACACAAAAACCTACAGTGCACATTAGATAGGATCGAATACTCAAAAAACAAAATTGTCATCCTTCAGTTGTACCCCCAAATTATTCTATCAACGGCAGTTCGACTACACGATTGTAGCACAGTGACCGTCGTTCACATATGACACGTTCCTGTAGAATTTCATCAAAATCTGTGGACAAATGACGGAGTAATAATGAGACAGAAGAAACTATAATCGTTTTGTTAATGGTATTTTGGCTACTTGCAGCGGAACCTTAAAAATTCGACGCGGACGCCATCTAGTTCCCAGGATTATATTTTTATCGCGTGCGCGCACGGTGATCTTATGACGATACCGGAAATACGGTTCGCCCGACAACGGCAAAACGTTACCGAGACACGCGACACACGACGACAAAATGGGTCTCCGACAGCGTATAAAACGGCAGTAACCTCTCCAAAAGACTAAAATGTACGCAGCGTCGCATTTATAATATGCACACGCCTAAATAAAATGTTTCATCGCGCGCACACACACACACACACACACATTGTTTTATAACTCGTCAGAATAGTTTTAAATTATTATAATTTATAGTAAACGTACCCTTTTAGCGAACGATAGTCGGAAAGTTTATTCGGGAAACATAGCCGTCGTCGCCATCGGGAAAAACGATACGGACGATATCATAGTTATATAGACGCTATATTCAGCCGTAGGCGAAATACGATGAGTGCGAGTTCAATTTGGATTATCGTCAGTGTCAATCGTATCACATGTAGTTTACGTAATAGCGTCATGCATTTTCAAGGAGTGGTATACATTTTCCGCGGGTGGGGAGGGGTATTAATGGCCCTCATTGGTAAACCCCCTGAAATAAATACTGATTATCGTTACGACCATATTTCGATTTACTCGTCTGTCCCGACGGCTTACAACAAACGATATTGAAATCCACTCGATCGCGTCAAAACGGTGCGAGATTTTTTCCGTGCACAACACTACGAATAGGTACTGCAACGAAATCGCGGTCCTGTCCCGGCTGTAATGGAAAGTTCGACGCGTGACACCGCAACCGTCGGACATGTCAACTATTTTCGCGTGACGGAATATAATAATAACAATAATAACGTACAAGACCTTACCTGTCTGGCCACGCAGCAGTCGCGGATGGCGAATAATAATTTCGATTTAATTCGTTTTCGCGTTGTTTGGAAAATGAAAAAACTTTTACGTAATGCGTAGGTATTATAATTAGCTATCTACCTAGGTATTATGGGTACCGCAGCCCACGACGCTCTTTTACCGCGTTTTGATATCGTTTCCATAGACACGGTTGTGCACGACCGTGACCGCGGTATAACCAGTGTAACATAACTAATAATGATATATACCTAGGCATCGGAATGCACGATTGACACGCCTTTGCGGCTTTGCACGGCATCGATAAAACGCGTTGTGGGTAACGTGCGTGTAAAATGTACGCAACAGCGAGGAATTTTCGATTGCACTGAGTGATTATTATTCAAATTAACGCGTTCAATTTTCTCGATACATTTCCTGATTAACGACACCAGAACGCAGTGGCGAAATTCCAGGAGGTCACATAGGGTGGCACTTAAACCTCTGAGAATATCAAAATATCATAGGATCACAAAAAGTATTTTTCTGCGACCCCAACAAATTCCCATATTACCTACAATTATTCATTTAGTAATTTAAGTAACTTCTTCTATTCTCCTTGGTCTTCAACCAGGGACGAATTGACCCATCGGACAATCAGAAAATTCCCGATGGGTCGTGTATTGATGAGTTGAAACGGGCCACTAGAACATTAACATTTTATAAACATATATATTTATAATGTTATGTATCCCGTTGAATTTTCAAGCATTTCTGTTTGGTCTGACAATTTTACAAAAAGAGTAACTACTGAATACAAAGTACGTACAAAACTCACAAACTTAAAATGCTTATAAATAACGCAAGAATGGCTCAAAAATATGTTTGACATTTTACCACGTCTAGAAAATACAACTATAAGTTTTCCGTTCAAATGTCAAGTGTCTATTATAAATATTTTAAAATGAATTATAAAAAAAAAAAAAAAAAAAAAAATGGAAATAATAAGATCATTATTATCGTTTGTCAACAATATATAATATTAATGTATATTAATATATAATGTATAATAACTCTTAGGAAAATCGAAAAATGACCTCCTTTATGTACCTTCAGTCAGATTTTTTTTCATAAATAATGCTATCATTATAAATTAAAGCAAAATTGCTTTAGAAAAGTTGTTCACAAGAGGAAAAAAAACCGAAATATTTTTAAACTAAAATGTTAAAAAATTTCTTACATTGTACATTTAGGAAGGTATTATAACTCACGCGATCTAACGGTCTTTATCGTTAATTAAAATGTAAATATTTGTTAACACTATTTTACGAAATATTATGTTCGGTACAAAAATGCCACGATAAAGTTCGCAAAAAATAAATACTTTTTAAGTTTCAGATTAACTATACCTACAACATATCAAATTATTATTAATTTTAAATTAATTTTTATTATGAGACTTAAGTTTTAAAAAGATCAATAAATTCATGAATGCATTAAAGAAATACATCACAATATTGATGAACCTAAATTATCATTTGTTTATTCTGTAGTTTAATCTAAATTTAAATACTAATATCTAAACTAAAAAAATTACTTTTTGGTGATTCAAATAAGAAATTATAGGATTTATTTTTGCACTACCTACCTAGTTCATTCTTTCACACTACACTTATGCGTAACTATTCATTATTACAATTTATGTATTAATAAATTTCTACATATTATGAAATTGTAAAAATATGAATTTTGTTGGGCGGTAAATAATATAATTAATAATATTGATTAAGTATACTTAATCATTGTTAATACAATTGCGAATGTGTGGTTAATAATTACTATAAATAAGCGAGGATACTTTTGCGACCCGTCCCCCCTCCCCTGACAACCATGTCATGACCAGTTAACAATCACAAGTTCACGATTTGCCCGTAGAATTTAAGATAATATTATCATAAAATCGTAACATTGCTTATCTATCTCGATGCCTATTATCTATGGTTATCACAAATATTATTATATTAATAATATTATTTGATATTGTTTTAAATTTGTATGTTTTATGTTTTCTTGTAATCAGTTAATAATGCCATTAATGATTTTAATTTAATTTATAATTTAGATTATTCAATAAATCTACAAAATACAAATATGAGCAAACATTTGGATATTTGTAAATCATCAGTAAGTAAAATAAATGCAAATTTGTGCTCAAAATCTATTAATCTTGGTAAATATATGATATTTACCAATATTTTTAGACTAATGAATTAAAGAATTAGGTATGTGTAAACTAAATAAATTACTAGACAGTGATTCCAGTAGTTATCACTAGTCTCTTTTTGCTCACCTGTATTATTAGTGTTGGATTTATTATTAACTATTTTCAATTTATATATATTCTAAACAAATTTTAATTATACTTTAATATGAACTGTTGCTTAATAATTATTAATCATTATATATTTTTAATATTTTAGCTGGTGAGTTTAAAAGCCGAACTTCTACGTAAACAAGATGAAGCTAACAAAGCAAAAACTTTTTCTGGGGATTCATTTATTCGTCCATTACCTGGTGCTAAAACACCATCATGTCTACTTCAATCTAACAATGGTGTTGAGAAAAGAAATGCTAGAGATTTAGAAGAAGAATATAAACCTGAAGTAGAAAATAGTTTGAAAAAATCAAGGTTATTTACTATTTTAAAATGCTTTATTTAGTAATAGTGTTTAAATGTTCAATTAATCATAATATTGTGTATTCCATTTTGGTATTAGAGATGTTTTGGAAATGAAAACAAAGTTGTATGACAAATTGGTTAATGGAGAATTGGTAAGTGAACAAGATAAATTGTTTTTGGTTGATTTTAAACAAAAATTTGATGAAAACAAAACTACTTACCCTGTTACACCAAAAAAAGAAGAAAAAGTTAAAACACCTGAAAATTCTGATTGTGACGACGACTTAGACAAATATGATTCTGGAGCAGATGATGATTGGTAAGTTAAATTCAATTTATTTCACATAATTTAAGACAATAGAATAATTATTGATAAATTACTAATCAGTTCATAATGTCACATAATATCCTCATAATCCAAAAAAAAAAATTTTAATTTAGGCTTTAGGGCAATAGTTATGCTTTATGTCTGAAATATTATTCTATAAAACGACTATTAGCAATATTTGTTTTGACAGAATACTGTAAATGGTAAAAACACAGTGTAATAACCATATATGTTAAGCAAATACTGTATATATTGATAAAGATACAGTATTTTTGCTTAATATACAAATATACAATAAAAAAAAAAATTATTACGATTTTAATAAGTGCAGATTGCTGTTTTGCTAATCAATGCAATATGTGTACAATATATTTGTAACCATCAAAATATAATAGTAATGATATTTTTTATATAAATATATATTTATTATAAATTTGAAAAACGAAAATTAACTATGCTTATGATGGTGAATAAAATAAAATAAATATAAAAATATTAATTTTTAAAAACTATTCAAAAAATCCCCTATATTTATTTATTCCATTCAGTATAAATTAAATTTGTGTAAAATTTGTATTTAGCTGAATTTAAATAGTGTTAATATTTTTCAAATTATTAAAACATATGAATTATCTACTTATGCTTTGTAACTATTGTTCAGTAATAATTCCATAACGTGCCTATAATGTAGACATATTTATATAGTCTTATTAAATTATATAGGTTTATAAATTATATAGACCTACCTGTCTATAAAATGAAATCATAAAATTTAAAAAATATGTAGGTATAAATATATAAGTATTTACTGAATTACTTACTCTGATAACTTAATATGGCAAAAAGATCGAGGATATTTTATTATATTTTATACAAAGTAATTATTTCATGTTTTTCTGTATCGTAATTTCAGTTTTATAAAATTACCCATATTAATGAAAACTCATTTCCTCAGGATAGAATATACAGATTTTTTTGGACGAACTAGAAAATGTTTAAAAACAGACTTGGACTTTTTCAAAAACAGAGATAAAAGAATTGAAAATGAATTAGGACCACCACCTGAAGAACTAAAAAAACAAAGTCATGTTACCATTCAACAATTTGTTAAAGAAAGTACAAATGCCGAAGAAATTTCTGAACTGGTTTCATCAGATATGCGTAGAGAACAATTACGCCTCAAATGGGAAGAAGAAGAACGAAAACTAGCTGAACGTACAGACATTCATTATGAAGATATACGATTTGACGGTAAGTTACACAATAAAATATTTATAGGATCATATAACAAAATTTATTTATTTTTCTATGAAATACACACTATACAAACAAAAATTAATGAACTAGTCCATGTTACCTCTAATACATTAGTTGTATAGTTGGTTATAAAATATTATTTATAATCAAATATTAATTATTTTATTATTCAATTAAAGTAATAAAAAGTAATCCCATGTGCTCTTATAGTAGTTAACTATATTACTATAATAATTAAACTAATGTTACTGTATACATTATACACAGTAATAGTTAATTTAGGTAAACTAAAATTATTTGCTATTAATAAAATTCAAAATATATATTATATGTATACAAAATAATAATGTATCTTTTGTATTAGTATTTATTCCATTGTTAGGTACACAAAATTCATAAAAATCATTTTTTTAAATCCTATCTTGTTTTATTTAGTTATTATCTCTATTATAAAAAAAGGAAAATAAGGAAATCTATTGTGAAATGTAAAAGTATTTGATTAAATAAAGTGCTTACTTAATAAGTTTATTTTTAAATAATTATTACTGTTCAATACATTTTTAACTTAAGGTTTTTAAAATTCCTAAATAGATGTTACTATTGTTATAGTCATTTTATTTTCAAACTGGTCTTGAGTTTTTACTTGTGATGTCTAACCAAAGAATACTTTGTAAACATTTTAATAAACTACAGAGGTTTTGAGTACAAATATTTATCATGTTTGCAATCGAGTAGGTTTTGAAATAAATATCATTGTTCTATAATTTAAATTATATAATATACTTACTCAAATTTCCCCCTTAATGAACAAATAATCAAAAAAAAAAAAAAAAATTAATTTGTTTAAGTTATACTATTTCATAATTTTCTCAGTTATTTTTTCTTACAAATAACTATAAAAAATTATAAATTTTACATATATATATATATTTTTTAAACTAATTATTTTTAAAAATATTGCCATTCTAAAAATGGCCATTGAATTATACTCGTATTTTCAAAATATTTTAAATTATTTAGTGACGTTTATTGAAAAATAAATTAAATTATTATTTATATAGTATCTATTCTATAGATAATAATATAGATTCTATAGTGTGTAATCACTATTGTTTATTTTAGACTTATAAATATTTCGGTCCTCCACATTTACAAATCACAAAAGAGTTGTATTTATAAATGCAAATATATTTTTTACTTGTATTTAACATATTAATACCTATTATTTATGTAACTTTGGAACAATTTTAATAACAAATAATTACTATCTAAAAACAAATTAATACATTAGTAAAATAATATAGCATTTATCTACAATGCATGTAGATCCTATGTATTACATAAAATATTCATAATTTTATTAAAATATATATCACAATCATCTACATATCCGGTCTAATCATTATTTTATAATGCTAGACAACTTTGTAAATTAAAAGTATTACACTTATTACATAAATGTTTCTAGAAGGAAATAATTGTACTGCTGATCCTTTTGTAAATGAATGGTTTTCATTTTCTTTGAATGTATTATTTAATTTATTGGCTTTTATTACTGTAGAAGTATTAAATTGTTTTCTGGAATACTTATATGTGTCATATTGTCTCCAATCAAGTGATCCGCTACCCTCTTCTGTTGATTGGTATAAATCTTCATCGTCTGTTATAATTGTTGTTGTTTGTGGTATCTTTACATCATTGCATAAAGTACCAGAACAAAAACAGTATTTAATTTTATTTGCAATCCCACAGTCAGTTATAGAAAGCTCACTGCAAGATTTCAATAGGATTTTTTGATGTTCTAAATAAAATTTAAAAAATAATATTAATCTAAATATTAAATATTAAACTAAAGTAAACATACTTCCATAATATTTAGTTACACATCCTTTATAGATTTCTGGGCATTTTAATGTAAAATTGTCTGCCTCAATTGAACCACAATTTGGTATACTATCAACTTCGCTAATTGGAAAATCTTTAAATTCCTCATCTAATGAAGTGGCAGTAATTTGTGGTGAAACACACATATAACATGTTATTTCCTTTTCAATAGATGTTGGCGATGCTGAATATGTATGACCTATAAATTATAATTCAAAATATTTTAGAAATCCACACATTGTGTATTTTAAGGTTTATTATTAAAAAGTACACAAAATATTAGTAAACTGCTATATTTACACTTCTATCGGTTTCTCAATTTCTGGTTACTTATATTCATAATATTACAAAGATTATATTTTTCATGAATACATTGATTATTCTTTTAAATAGTTTATATAATTTTGAATTCATACCTAATATCAATATGGATACATATGTTAATATATTTTGTATGAATATTTTTAGGTGTTAATTATTTGAAATTTTTTCTTTAAAAAAAAAAACCTGCAAAAAAATGTATAATATGTAAATAATAATAGTATAATTTTTTTTGATTTTCAAATAATAATTTCTATTAATCAGTTTAAGTCAGTTATTCTCAATGTGGGAGACGTGAACATATTGCTAAGGTGGCACAGATTGTAGGACTGTATATAAAATTCAAATTTGTACGGTAAAATTATTTATACCTGTATTTTATAATTATTATTATTAATAAAGTAATAAACAAGTAGATAATCATATTGGTGATTTACAAAAAAAGAAAAAGAAATATTTCTAATATGTATAATAATATTCGCACAATAAAAAAAGAGTAAAAAGACATCCTATTATAGGATAATGGGGACAAGTGCAGCCATGTTATAGGTAATTTAATGTATATCTGTTAGCAACAATTAACCATTGCTAACAAACAAACGATTCTGAGTGGAGTTCAGTTAATAGTGATGCTTTGTGAACAATATATATGTCATATTATGGTAAAATGATTAAATAGGCATTATATATTATATTTAATATTCATTTAATGTGCCGATTTTCCTGTTTTTTCGACATTTATCCCTGTTTTCTCATGTTTTTTCCCGGTTTTTCACATTTAATGAGAAAACTCTTGAGAAAATCAAAAAATTACCTCCCCAGCCAAATTTCCTTTTGGAAATAGTGCTATCATTATAAATTAAAGCAAAATTGCTTGTAGAAAAATTGTTCACAGAAAAAAAAAAGAATAATTTACATCTTTGTAAAACCATAAACTTCTTTGCTCCACTCAAAATCTAAAATAAAAACCAAGAATTTTTAGTTTTTGCACATATATTGACTATAATTTTATTTTATTTTAACTGAATTTTAGAAACCTAACTGTTTATTTAATAATTCTGTTTTAGGTAGGATTCATAGATTATTGATTTGTGAAAACTTAAAATCATGTCTGCATAAATCATTCTTATATCTTAAAGTCAAAAAAAATTACTATAGTTCAAAATGCAATTTTCACCCTTTTAAAATGTAAAATGGAATCTAAACGATAACAATTTTTTATTTCGCTGCCAACACAATTAGTTTTCTACAATATTATTAATAACTAGGATCGAGATTTGATTATAAATACATATTCTGGCTAAACTATGATAGTTTTGTTTCATGTGATTTGCAATAAAGTAAAATAAATTTTCACACATTTTGGATACAAATTTGTTATACATATTTCATAAATTTCATTCATAATACTAAAAACTAAAATAATTTGTCAGTTTACATATCATTGCTTATTGATATTTAACACATTTATTTTAACCTTTTATTATCTTTATCTTTTTATTTTTAACAGTTATTTGAAAACATTAAATATCGAAATAGATAGACAAACTGATATGAAAATAATCAAATTTATTAGAACAGTGTCTGTACTTACCAAACTCACTATCAAAAAATACCTGAACCAACACCTATTAAAGTACAAATTTTAAATCTTATCTCAGATTTTAAATATTTTATATCTTGACCATTTTAATTACAAATTTGTTTGCATATTTTGGATTTTATATCACATATAAACCACAAAGAAAATACAAATAAAAATAAAAACGTCTTACATAAAATATATTTGAATTTAAGAGATATTGTAGGGTGACCAAAGAACTTTACACTACATGATTCACTCGTATAATAGTATTCATATTATGAAGCATTTTTTTTTATTATTATTATTATTTATACATACATATTGTCGACAAGTGAACGGGGGAAAAAAAATAAATATGTATAATATATTATTTTCGCTAGATTTTAAAACACAATACTTAGTCACGGAAAGGCTGACTCATTGAACTCGTACTACTTGAATGTATACGGTCCGAGGGAGTTGTTATGGCCAATTGGTTTAATGACTTAACATTTAGCTATTCAACAATTACATGAGAACCAACTTTACTCGTAACAGTGTATTATAGTCAATAGGTAGGATTGTTTCAATAATCAAAACAAAACATAAAATAAACACAATATCATTCTTCCTTCGACAAGTCACTTATTTATCATCAGACCATTATAATCTATCTATGTAGGAAATAATAATTTTAATAAAACAAAAAAAAAACCAAACTCGTTCTGTACTTAGGTAAAAAAATTTTTAAAAAATCATGTTCTTTTTTATACACTCAATATTATTGTTTTGATAAAAGCCTTATTTTTTATTTTTTTTTTTTTTTAAATCGTATACATTTTTTTCAGTTTTTGATTTAAACTAAATTATCCTATATTATCACCTATAATACCTTTCCAACTTATTAACAACAGTACCCACAACTCTTGATTCACCCCCACCCCTAAATGTAATTCCATAAGATTTCTACCTGCCCCGCAATCTCAATTTAACAATAGTAATAACTGAAAAATTAATATTGATTTATAAATTAAAAGAGATAAATAAATAAACAATTAACGAATTTTTAAATAAATTAATGAATAATATTATTATACTGGTAAATTTATGGACGATAAAACATTTAATTGCCACTTAACGAACAACAGTGGCACTGTAAAGCAGTCGAATTTTAGTCACTGATAGGTTAGGTTGGGCATTCAAAACTTATGTAACTGATTATCTGCTTTTTGGCTCCGCAGTCGCATTCAGGTGAGCTATAGACGTCCCACTTGTACAAAGAATTTCCACATAAATCTTGAGACGTGGGTATATCCTGTTCAGTGTGCAACACGAGATACGTGCTTAAATCGGAATCTGGAGTCAGGTGTAATCAAGCTTAAAAGATCATTATGGACTACAAATTATCTTCATTTTAGTTTCATTTTGAATTTAGATAAAAATTACTATGATTAGCTGTTAATATTGTGGGATGTTTTCGAGACTTAAATCGCAATTTATTTGCATCAGTATTATAGCTATAAATCATGATTAACGTTTATTTTGCTAAGTTTTTCCATTAGCACGTTTATTGTTTAATCTACAAAGTAAATCGGGAAATTTGTATATAATATTATATATATATGGTACCTACATACTCGTAACTCATAAGTCGGTTAACTCTTGATTTATTTGCATTGATTTAAGCAGTAGGGCCCCTAGAAATTTAACTCCCCAGTCCCCGAAGCATAAAATATGTAACCCCCCCCCCCATCTTAAATGAGTACACACGCTCGTACTAAAACATTTTCTTTATTTCCTTATACCGATTTGACTTCCTCTTTCAATTTATACGTTTTCGCCTAAAACATGTTAGTTATTTCCACCCTGCGTGGCCCCTTTCGCCCCTTAAATGCGCCAACAGGTACACAAGTGGGTACACCTGTTGCATAAATATCACCTTTAAAAAAACGGACGTTTAATTACCTATATGTACAATATAAGGATGCACCCAATATACGCACAGTTACTGATGCCGTACGGGATACTCTCAATAATATTATTGTGTAGTGACGAGTTATCGGGAAAGAAAAAAAAAAATGGAAATAACTATAGATGTACGCGCTTTTTAAAAATAATAACATACCACCCAGCTGACCGACGCCAAACGCGAATCCGGTCGATGAATAAAATTCGCCGCCTACCTAATAACGAAAGAACCGCTCGAGTTCCGCGGACGATTCGTAAGCGTCAAAAAATACATTTTACGATTGGAAATGTTTATCGGGAACAATAACAGTCTGAATACGACGTCGCACGCCATTTACGTTATTATCACACATTATAATATTATCGTGTTATAATCATTGACCCGTTCGCATTTATTCGCTCCGAGTCGTTTTAATTGATTTAAACTGCGTCGCTGTACCCATAATAATAATAATAATAATAATAATCCTCTGTGCACTTTATTTACGTAATAACAAATTGCGCCGAAAACCCGACGATACGTTACGGTCCCCGTCCGCGTGGGGCCGCCGCGTACGTCCGTTCGCGCATTACTGTCGTCCGTCGGCGTCTGGTCGACTTGTCGAAAACGGTGTAGGTGGCCCATATACGTATGTACACTTAACATTATATTGCGTGTTCGGTTATGGCCAGGGTTTTTTTTTTTTCGGACAATAGCCCCGAACAAAAATTTGACGGGCGGTCGGCGTCTTTCGAACCGGGCAACTGGACGCTCATAAATAAGTGCGACGATAGCTATACGATTGTACGCAACAATAACGAAGCGAATACGAACTCCATTTCGGTATCGGTATTTCAGGGGTTATTAAACCTGGTTGAAAAAAATTGTTTTGCGCCGCCGCCGTGTACACAATTAATACGCATCAATATTCGCTTCCTGTACGAAAGTAATGTTATAGTATAGCGACGGGCTAGTAACCGTTGTTCGATCGCGATTGCGAACTGTTCGGTTGTCGGCGAAAAAATAGGGCCACGAGCAGTTCCCTTAAAAAATGATAAGAAAAAATAAAAAAAATGTAAATTATTTCAAATAATAATTTAATATCAGTTTGTGTGTCAGCCTGTACCACGAACTAAGATATACAGGACTGGAAAGAGCTAAAATGTTATTTTTCACCAAAATATAAAAATTTAATTTAAATTTAAATGTCTGTAATCCTTATCCCTACAATTAACGTTGAAATTAAAATTTCAGAGTACCCGTTCATAAAAATATTAAGTTAATAACTTAATATCGTTATTATTGTAGGTACCTATCTATACAACCCGATTCTGAGAACTGATGTCCATCCACTATCTGTATCTAATAATTTTGATTTCAAAGGTACAAAAGTCTTATATTCAGTTTACTTATAGTTTTCTCGTCGTTTTCTAAGTTCAATTACATTCACCAAAATCTATTATACATAAAAATGTTAACATAAAGTGTAATGATCTCGGGATTTTTGATTTAATTACCGGTCAATCTGATCTGATAATTTTTTATTTTTAGTATCAGTTTTAAGAGAACTGCTATGAGCCCAAAAAAATATACCAATCAAACGGTTTATATGATAGTTCGTTCGAATTTTATTATGTCCATTGCTGAATCCTGGTATACTTCGGGAGGGGGGCAAATTTCCCCCTGGATTTTTATTCGTCCACCCCGCTCCTGACAAATACAATAACTATCAACAAAATGTATTCATTAAATGTACAATACCCGTTGAATTTTAGGTAGAAATGACCAATGAAAAAAGTGAACCCCTCCGCGGTAAAACTTTCTCAATTCAACGCTGTATACATCGAAAACCGTGTCGATAGCGTCAACGTTTATATACTATCGATTTTCTCGATGTTCTCGGTGTTCGATGAACACTGAAAACTATCCGGAAGTGTCCGTCACTATAATTATAATTGTTAACGTTTAAGTTTATTATAATACTATGTACTCCCTTTAATGGCCGTATGACGTAAACTCTAAATCGAAAATACATAATATTTTATAGATTACTCAATTATAATACAAAAATATAATCGGTCAATTATAATTTGTAAACAATCAAAATGTTTATACGAGTAGTGTATATTGTACTATAGAGTTGTTTTAAAACGTCGGTATAGACATTTTATTTTTTTATTTTTTTAATGCGGAATTTTGTTTATACGACTTATTTCAAAAATAATACATATTAATTAATATTATTATCCCACAAAGCTATCTAAAATAATATGGTTAACATTGTATGTGTATTATTTTTTGCAAAATGTTTGCCAATTCGTGTTTTTTTTATTTTTTTCCGTTTTTCCGTATACGCGTGTAGGTTGGGGGTTATAATGGACGTATTATTCGTTTTGTGAAAACTTTGGGACGGGACCAAAAAAACTTTATACAACAGTTAGTTTTCAAAAAAAAAAATGTCCTCTATAATCGCAACAATAATATTCTATAACGATGATCGTTTCGTTTTAGAAAATGAAAAACTTTTTGATATTTATTTTCGCGTTTTTCGTTGATACTGCTCGTATATTGTATATAATATAATACTACGTCATAATCTGCTGCGGATTACGGTCATTTCCAGGCTCCGGCAGTGGTTAAATATTTTATTAATCCATACGGCTCGTACGACGTTGTTCAAACTGCATATTAGATTTTTTTTTTATGACCTCGCTATAATAAGAGAAAAAGTAATAAAAAATAAAAATAAAAAAGCCTCGTCGATTTATACGTACATATACATATTTTTTATATATATAAAATGTTTCTCGATAACACGTAATATATGTATTCGAATTCATAATATTATAGTACAATGATAAATCTACAACAATATTATACTGTCCTATATATTGTTGTAATATTTGCAGCCAACCCTTTGAACAATATTCGGTTTCTTCGCGTTTACATTTGTCAAACTGCGTTTGTGGAACGTAATCTAATTGAAAAATATTATTTGATTTTTTTTTTTCACTCCTCTTTTCAAATAAATTAGTTTTACGTGTTCTATTGTTAGACAACGGTTTTGTCAATACTGCGTGTATATTGAATCAAGCAGTATAATATTTAGGTATAGGTACTCTATAGAGAATTTATCGTAATTCCGCGCGATTATCGATGCACCGCACTACTACATGTGAGAATTATATGTACATGGTGTCTACTGTGACGCAAACTTATTACTGAGGATTTCTTCGGAAAACGCGAATATTGATATAGATGGATATATAATTTAAAAACTCGGAGGACATTTCTTTATATTATTTCTTTTTCCGGAGAAAGACGACCTTGTACAGCCCTTCTTCTCTCGTAATGTCACGACTTCGTCAAACTCCGGGTGATATAGCTACGTAACCCGAATTTATTTTCGGGGGTGGGAATGAATTTCAAACGAGTTTCTGGACAGGTTTGTGGGATAATAGTAAATAGGTGGCGTGCACATCACGATGTATACGCGTGTTCCAAATGTCTGTAATTGCAATACAAATTAGGCGACTATACGTAAACTATTCGTAAAAAATTTTATTTCGGGAGAGTAGGAGCAGTATGTCCCCCCAAACCCTGTTGCGCCACTGTGCGTCCTTATTCCATAAGTTTTTGAGATATTACGCAGTATTATTTTTGACAAATTCAAAATGAAACTCGTAATCTCAAAGTTTCGGTTTTAATTGGAATGCCAGTAAAAAAAATAAATACGTAATTTCAAAATTCCGAATCGCTTCTGCAGCCTGGTAACTACGGGTTGTTTGACCGACGGCCGTGTAAACTGTTAATTTGTAAACGTATACCATCATTAAGGTCGGGAATGTAATTTCCCAAAAGAAAATAATGTTCTTGTGCCATAAAAATTCAAAATAATAACGTATGAAAATCTTACGATGAATTTTCAAATTTTAGACCCTATGGAATTATCTAGAAAAAAAAATACAAAATAAAATGTCTTATTCTCGTTTGAAAATACACGATTACAAAAAAATTATAGTAACAACCTGAGAACAACGAATTGAAATCTCAGTCCTACCCGGTTTACGTATCAAACGTAAATAATATAAATTCGATATGAACAGACTTCAAAAAAACATAAGTAAACATCATAGATAAAAATTCTGTTTTTGAGTTGAACATTTGTACGTGCTGTATAATATCTATAGGTAATAATTACGCGTATATAGTATTAACCCGCAATATCATCTATATATTTCCTACGAACACGTGGAACACGTAATTTTTGTGTATATTATGCAATGTTGTTATAGAGTATTAATATAGAATTATAGGGAAAAAAAAAATCATCTCGATTAACTACAATGTGCCTAGTATAATGTAACACCGCTGTCAATATCGTTTAAATATTAAGTATAATATCTATATAATACGGTTACTATAATTAAATTTGCGTGACCTTTAACACTTGTACGAATTAATTAGGTACTTATAGTTACTTTGTAGTTAATACATATTATTATAACGCTTTACTTATCATTTTATGTATTTTGTATTTTATCTCGATTGTTTCTGTTACTAATACATAGGTACCTATGTTTAATAATCTGTAACCGCGGGTTTAATAAACGAAATTATAAAAAAAAAAAAACCTCGAAATTATTAACGCAATAAAATTATAATGTATTATACTATTTATCGTCGATATCTTCCATTATCCTACTTAATTTTTATGGATATTTTTTTTTTACCGTTTTATCATTAAAAATAGCCGCCTAATAAGTGTTTTTGTGTTTCTCTGTACGTACAATAATATCAATATACGATTTATATTATAAATGAGTAATACGAACCGTAAGAGAGAAAACAAATTACTCGAGATTAATTCAAAATGATACTATGTATAATGTGCCGAGGGTCCGTATTGAAATATCGACTTGTCCAATGTATAATTCGCCGTTCAATTTGTATACAATATTATGTTATTGTATACAAAATCCATTTTTCGGGAACGATACGATTATTGTATTTACGATACATTGGGTGAGACCATTTTCTTCCGAAAATAATATACCGTTTTCTCTTATACTCTCCTTTTTACACAAAAAAAAAGGACAGGTTTTCATTTTTTCCTACATAAAAATTAATATCTATACAAACCAAACGAATTAAAAGTCCTAATTTTAGACGGCAACGAAATAACCGCGTTGATAATGTATAATATACACTGAATAAAAATGATATGAAGAGAAATTAACTTTAAAGAACTCGTGGACAAAAATACTGCCAAATATAATTAACTAATTGGCGTGTAAATTAATTCGTGTTACGTCATTTTGAAAATTAAAATCTTCATTTGTCGAATTATTAACTGGATTAATAATATCGTTCCGGTCTGGGTTTAAATATATAAAAACGAATGGACAGAATAACTCAAGAACGGTCTTGCGACCTGTGACTACAAAATTTATATACTGATTTAAATTATTATTATTGTGTATAGTATAATAGCAATTTTTTTTTTATTTTTACATAATGGTAGAAAATGGAAAGTGGATACAAACGGTTTAGTGTTCGTAGGAAAATGGATTTAACCCAATGCGCTATACGCTTAATAAACTATACGATCGGTTGTATGTTAAACCGTAATACAAAATTGTCAAAATTGATTAACAATGTTATGAATATAACATAACTTTGTTAATATTATTAATATATATATATATATATATTGTTAATTGGACACTGTCCGTAAAAATGTAAAATAAATAAATCTCGAATTTTAGGTATCTATGATGTCACCATAGATCTCTTTAGTCTTAGGGAAGAAATGCTGACGTCGATTTTTGGCATTTGTTTTAGATTCTGAGTGAACCTAGGGATCTAGTGGTTTTACAATGATAAGTATATTTTTTTCTGTCTGTAAACAACTTTTCTCCTATATATCTTGCTTCGATCAAAACATGACAAGAGACCTTTTTTGTTGCATTTTGGCTCTAGTTAGCATTTAGAAAGGTCATTTTTTTAAAATTAATATTCGAGATAATGTAGAAAAACTAATTTTTTAGGTTAATGTAGATTAAAAGATTAAAAATATGGTTGTCATTGCCAACTTTTTTTATTTTTTTAATCTTGTAATCTTTTTTAAACAATAATTGTGAAAACACTCATCGTTTAAAAAGCAATACTATGGAACAAGCCCCGCTCAGAATCGTTTTTTTGTTAGCAATGATTAATCGTGTCGTACAGATATAAACTGAATTCTCCTCTACATCCTATCTTCCCAACTTCTCGCCTATATCAGTGACCCACCCGTGGTGGGAATTAAGGGAGGTGGTAAACTGTTACAAAAGTAGGTAATCTCCTACATTGCCATAGTGTTAACTCCTACAAAAGATAATGTTAATTCCTACACTATATAGTTATAAAGTTGTAAAAAATAAAATAAAGTATTTTAAAATAAGTAAAAACAATCATAAACTACAAAAATAAAAGAAAGAAATTGTTGTATTTCTAATTTACGGAAATAACGTATACGTTACCGAAATATTCGAGATTTTCCGAGACAATGCCTTATATTAATATGTTTACTAAATTTTATTTTACATTTTATTATCTTACATTCATAAGTCTCTATGAATATTTATCTAAAATACAACAAAAATGGTCTCTTATCGTTTTTCCATTAGAGAACTATTTCTGGTATAAAACGTCGTACGAGTTTATTTAAAATAATGAAATCGTACATTTTTTCCCACTTAAGTGTAATTATCCTAAATAAACATCATTGTAAAACCGATATACATTCCTCGCTACACTCAGAATCTAAAATGTAAAAAGATCTATGTAGAAGATTACATCATACATTTTTGGCAGGTAAAAAGAGACTATGTAGGAGTTTACATGTAGCCCGAATTATGTCCGTCCGTTTTTTTTTTTAAATTTTTTCCTATTTATTTTATGATCCAAATTGCGTTCGTATTTTTGAAATTAGTGTACAGTAGTGTATTAGTTCAAGAACTCTAAGCTCTAAGAAGTGTGTTAAACTATGTATTTTCGACATTGGATTCTTTTGTATGTACAAAATTGACTCGATCCGTTCATCGCCGGGACCGAAGATATTTTGTACAGAATTATATTATATAATATTATATAAGTAATAATCGATATATTTTTCGACTTACCGGTCATGCAAAACCAAACTATTAGAATTTTCGCCCGTTGATAGTCGATGATGTTAGTCATTTTATCGTAATAAAATAGTATTTTTTTTTCTGCAACGCGGCCGCAGTCGTGGTATTATCGAGAAATATTACTACGGACGAGAATCATACACATTTTCCGCGGGAAAATTGTGTGTATTTTTATATACAATATGTATTGTTGGGGATAACTAATTATTGTTGCCGCGAACACCGGAGGACGAGGAGTTTATAATTTTCGCGGCGTTCGCACCGGACAAATTATTTAAAAGAAAAAAAAAAATCCCACGCCGTTTACACCTATACTGGCAATGCTGCAGGCTGCGTGTGCGGGACACACAACAATATCTCCCGGTGTCTCCTATCGTTACACTGACCGTGCACACGACTATAATATTATGATGGCGGCGCACCATCTCGCGGGGTCGGCGCATATTATATTTTACAATACCGTTACGCAAACGATCAATTAAAATGAGGAAAGAAAAATGCGCGTATCTAAGTAAACCCTGTGCGTATACAATTTATATAGTTCGGCGTATAATAGCATTAGTAATAGTCGCAGACGCAGTATAGTGTTAGTAGTAGTAGTAGTAATAGTAGTAGTAGTAGTAGTTGTAGTAGTAGTAGTAGTAGTAGTAGTAGTAGTAGTAGTAGTAGTAGTAGTAGTAGTAGTAGTACAATGGTGGCCCGAGAACATTTATCTCTCGTTGTCGCGCGTCCTGTAAATGGATAGCGATAAATTATCTCGCGTTTTTGTGCAAGGGGAACGATGCGAAAAAGATATTACTTTATTATATGTATAACTGCGACCGGTGATATGGGAGTCCGTAAAATTTGTACAACAATTAACGCAATTTTTTTTTTAATAATTGGGACAAAACGTAGGAAAACGGGAAAATTTATGAAATGTTTTTTTTTTCAAATCGTAAATATTACGGCCTTTAAAATATGTATAACCGGACTCTGTTCAGAATCGTTTTTCGTCAACAGTGATTTATTGTTGCGTACAAACATACATTAAAATCCCCTCTATATCCTACCTTACCAACTTCTCACCTACAACAGTGGCCCACCTACCATGCAAAGTATGTCCGTTTTTTTCTTATCAATTTAGACGGTATCAAATACAGCGCACGTGTAACAATAAATTAATATAATCAAGATAATAACCTAATAATAATAATCAAGATTTCGCGATTGTTTTCCTACCTCGGTGTAGGTCGTGTTTTTATTTTTCATTTTTTTGTTTTTTTTCTTATGTATATACATATAATATATTGGTATATGATATTTTATAAAAACAATTTTATCCATCTGTTTTAAATTCTACGCGTGATGGCTTTATGATTACCTATTATTAGATTCTTAGCGCAGTGATGAATCTATTGCAAAATCTACAACAAAAAAATATGTCCATAATATGAACAAATTATTTTCGATTATTGTTAAATAATGGTGTAAATATCATCTGAATATGTTTTGCCCAAATAGTTCACATTTGGAAAATATTTTAGAATAGCATTCATCAAACATTTTAATCTCATATTTCTAAAACATTTAATTTTTATATTTTCTTGGAAACATTATCCAAATAATTATAAAACATTTTTATAAATCATAAAACAAAATATTTTGTTATAAGAATAAAATATTTATGCAATATTATTATTAAAATATTTATAAAATATTATCATTTCCCAGATTCTGTATGGTTTTACTATGGCACGAGCTTTTTTTCTGTCTGATAACAACTCATCTTCCCGAAATATTGCTCAGAATTTCAAGTTTATTCCTTTTTTTATGAAAGAAAATCGTATACATTAAGTGGTCGATTTTTAATTTTCCTTGTAGTTTTTTAATAGTTGAGAAAACTATGTAGGAAAAGCGGATAATTTTACGGAAATAACGATTTCATTTATTTCGACTTGCAATTTTTTATTGTAATCCAGAAAAAGTTAATTGTACACATGTTTACAAAATTTAATTATATTTTAATTCTTTCTGGACGTGATACAATTGTCTATACATACTGGCATTTTTCCAGTAATTTTTCAGAAATTTAAGCTTACCTCTACTATATTTGTTAAAAGTGTACACATTTAGTACACAGTACAGTAAATTCAAGGGAGGGTGACAAGACGGTCCCTTTGGGCCGGTTTTTTTTTTTACGTATTTCTTATATTCTACAATTGTATCAATAAAATATGCACTCTCCCCTTAAACAACCACTGAATCCGCTACTAATGAGACAGTATATATTTTGCATTTTGATAAAGTTATTTTTATTAAAAAATTTACTTATTTTTTTCACCGTAGTAGGTACCATACTCATGAACATTATGTTGATAACTAAGGTTCGGAAGTAATAGGAGTTACATAGTATTCTGTATGCTCTCGATTTATAGCAGACCAAGCTAGAAATTCGAGCCATAATACAATGTTGAGTTTAAAAATTGAATATTAAAATACATATTTTGCATATTTCGTTAATTTTAGAGAAAAAGTGCATATTTCGTCGATTTTCATTGATTTTCACATATTTAATATTTTCTAAAAAATTATTTTTTTTTTATTCTTAACCAATTTATTTTAAAATAAAACGCTAATAACGCGGAAAACGAGCGTCATATAAAACGTCATATTTTAGTTTTCAATAATACAATATTTTTTTTAAATATAGTTTTTTATAATTTTTTTGGTGTACATTAAATATGTATTAAATATTACATAAATATGTAATAAACTTATAAGTAATAACTAATAAATACATTTTTTTTTTCCATATTTTATAATATTTTTCGTGTATATTTTGCCTTTTTTAGCTCCTATAACTTCCGAACCCTATTGATAACATAGTATTCATAGTATTCACCCTCATGCAGCTCCGGATGAAGAATGTATCAGTCCACCGGCTTTTAAGGTTTTATCCAGCCAAAAACTATACAAAACTATACTTCACATAAATTCAATTAAAAACAAGTATAATTTTTCGTGGCCCAAAAAGATTTTTTCGATAGCTCGCCGATTCAAACCGTACTCATTTAACTATAACATAATATAAATATAATAAAATATAGCAATCTTGAATTATTAAACTTAATAATTAATTATTTATAAAATTAATAATTTAATACTATACTATCGAAAGAAAACATTTAATTATTTCGGGCTTCCTAACAGAATGAACCCGAGTACGGCCGTACCCTCTGATCCCCCTTAGTTACGTCACTAATTTCAAGGGATGCTAATTTTTCGTAAATCTATACGATTTACGTACCTCTTCTTTTGTTTTTCTAATTCACAAAGTGCACAAAGTACAAAAGCACAAAGTGGCACTCCCATGGTGCGAAGTCTGTCGACTTTTTTTTTTGTCGATTGACGTTTTGTTTCGCCTAACCGAAACATACTGTACACCCAAAAGATAATATTCAATAATATGCAAAAATCCATATTATTTTATCCTTGTGTCCTGCAGCAAATGACGTCTCTGAATTATGAATTGATATAATTTATGAAATTTGTTTAACGTTTGAACGATCGACAAATTTTGATTAAATGGCTTACGAACGTAAACATGCTTATAAGTTTAGTTGAGACGTACAGAAACGTATACGGGATGATCAATCTTCCGTAAAGTACTCCTAATCCCGCATGTGTTGTAGTTATCGCAGGATATTTTACTTTTGAATTTACGTTCTGTCGCTATAATATATTGTTTTACGACGGCGTAGTTTGTTTTGTTAGTTGTCAAAATACTTAAAATATAGATGATATGTTTTTATTAACCTTTTAAGAAACAACTATTATTGCCAAATACGTACTTGTTTTTTTTTTTTTTGAAATTATGCATTTTGTTAGTTCGGCAATTCAAATTTTCAAGGATGTATTATGAATTATTATTATGCATTATGCATAATAATAATGCATAATTATTAAGGATGCCTTATGGTTACTGGTTAAGGTATACAATCTATTCAAAATATAAAATGCAAATTAGTTTTGAAATTGTCGTTTAACTTTGGCGTATGCAAAATGAATGCATTTTTTATGGCAATGTATTTGAAACACAAAATAGTTGGCATAGGTAATAACACAATACGTTATATGTTAATTTTATGTAAAATAAATACCTAAATCATCAAAAAATAAAATCCAGATTTTAGAAAATCAGTTTTATTAACGCGGTATATTTAAAAAAAAAAAAACAAAACAAAAAAAAAATATACATCCGAACCCCGCAATTGACAATATTTTTTTTTTGTTTTTTTTTTAAATATACCGCGTTCATAAAACTGATTTTCTAAAATCTGGATTTTATTTTTTGATGAACTAGGTACATAATTTAAATGCCTATTCCCTAGTCAACGTAAAAAAAAATTAGTTTATTAATACAAATTGAAATATTAAACTAAATGTTTTTTGTATTTTATTAAAAAATTAAAAAATAACCACCTACTTAAAATACAAAATAAAATTTCAAATAAATATACGTAAAATATAATTATACCCATCTTATCTAAACCGGCATTCCTATATTTTGTAATTTACACATATTTATAATATGTTATTTTTCTACACCTGCCTTCTAACCTAACCTATAGTATCAGAGAAACTACTTTGTTGTCAATTAGCTGTTCTTCCTCGAAGAATACTTCTACATATATCTCCATTAAGTATTTTTATTTTAACCTACAACACTATAACGAAGTCTTAAGAGTCGACGTCTCGGCGATCAATGTGCATGTCCGGCCCATTAAGTCGGAAATTATAGAAGTTTTTTCAGAATTTTATTTATTGAAATGATAATTATCAAGTTCTAACTGCAAAAACAACAATAGTATTAATAACCATGTAACAATAATTGTCAATAAAAGTCATTATACGTATATTGGAAGTGAAAGGACGAATACCGGCCCGTCGTACGTTTTTGACGTGTACGCCACCGTTAGGCATAATATCAAATCGGACATTTTATAGTTAACTGTCTGAAATAAATTAGTGTAAAACATTGTGGGTAGTTTTGAATTTACCATTTGCCTTGGCGGTTTATCAAGTACAGCGTGTTGTTGTTAGACTAATGGAATACTACTATGACATAATATATACAATTTGTTTTTTTTTTTTTTTAACTCGGGTAGATGCCTACTATAATGTAGTTATTAATAATAAATTGGCAGGAAAAATACGAATTAATATGAAAAAAAAAATTGTTTTTATCATTTTCGAAAGCATTCAATATTAAATGCCCGGTTCGACTATATTATGCATATTCTGACATAATACTTGTCCACAATTCACAAACCTGAAGTAAAATAATATACTTATGTAGTATATATTAATATAATATACTTATACATAATTATGTCCCAAGGAAGAAGGTTTGACTTAAGACCTCTTTCTTCGTATAGTTTTCAGTATAAGCAAATTTAATTTAATAATACACGCATATATGCAATTTTGACGATTAAAATGAAAGGAAAACAATTGCATTTGATAAAATTTAAAAAAATAAAAAAAATAATCTCAAGTCTTTCTTATTCTCTGGGACCAAAAATAAATTATTTTAAATACATTTCGTTTAGGAAATATTTGAACACCGAGAGTATAATATAGATACTGTCGTATACGTTCTAACCGCATGGTACTTCTGTAAATGCATATGGCAGTAATCACAAAAAGGACCCCGAAATTTTCGGTAGATAATTAGCTTTACTAACCAAACGACCAAGGGGGCCGATACTGTCCAAAACTAGACAACCACAGAGTTGCCAAGTACAAAAAGATTTTGGTAGTTCTATACCCTTGTGCCCTGTGGTGTTCTAACGCCAAACTATCTACTCCAGATTCCTATGCCTTAAGCTAGACGACCACAGGGTTGCTGAGTACACTAGGTAACCTTGTAAAAATCATATAAAACATTAACATAAACAAATTAATAAAACAAACAAAAGGCCTAACCTAACCTTTAACATTATATAAAATATAATATTGTTTCCTGGGTGTATAATACAATATACTAATATTACATATTAAATTAAGTAGTTAGTATAATTCGTTGAAACATTTGACATTATTAATATACTTTTCCTGGTTAGACCAAAAATCAAATATTTATTTGTAACTAATTATAACAAATTTAAATTAATAGTACAATATTGATAAATATTCCTAAATAATACCCACTCATTAAAATTAAAAATATGAATTGTACATATTCATGTATTACATTTCTTTATAGAGGTCCGAGAACATGGTGTTGGTTATTATTCATTTTCAACTGATGAAAAAGAACGTCACCGACAACAAGCTGAACTCAAAAAGCTCCGGGAGCAAACCAAATCCACACAAATTACTGTACAGAAACTAAAGGAAAGACGCGCAGCTCAAATGGCTGCAAGACTCAAAGCTGTCAAACGGCGTAAAAAGGAAAAACTCGGATTACCACTAGATTCCAGTTCAGGTAAATTATCTAATATTAACCTATATTATAATAGTATAAATTGTTTTTTTTTAAAATAATTATTTAATTTATTTTTAGAAGACGAAGCGCCACCTGCAAAGGAGCCGTCTCCAAAAGTAGTTGAAGACATGGACGCCATACGTGCATTTGAAAAGTTAAGAAAAGCTGCGCATGTGAGACCTTGGGATCATGGAAAGGATGGACTAAAAAAACCCCGTATGCTTATTGTGTATTATTTAAATAATATACTTCAGTTTTATAATTAATCTGTTTTCATTATTTGTAAAGTGTTAACTCAAGACGAATGGAATGAAAAGCAGCGGGCCGAAAGAAAATCAGAGTTCTCCTGGAGTTATGATGGTTCTAGTTCAATGACACAAAAGAATACATCACCTAACTGTCAAAATGTTAATGAGGATAATAGCGATGACGATTTGGTAGGACCATCATTGGATTTGTTCTTGGAGCCCAATAATCCAAACAAACAAAGTACCATCATATCAAAAAGTTTTAAACGGCCTATCCATAATGAATTGGACGATGAACCACCAGCCACTAAAAATAAGGTATTCAACGACAACGACGATTATTTGAATGACATTCCATTGCCATCTGAAACAAGAAAGGGAGCTGAAATTGCACCACCGCCCACATTTGAATACTATGGACCCAGTGGACGAGGACCAAAATTACAGAAACATTTTATTAGTACAGATGATATGCAAGATTCTATTTCTAAAGGATTGGAAAATGCAAATAGTAGAAATAAACCTCGTCAAGTCAGAGGGATTTTGGATGATGAATAATTAGCCTTTTTGGTCAGTACTATAGTAAAATATGTATATAGTAACAATGTATAATTTATGATGTTTCTTTATTATCACTTACAGTAAAAATTTCAGAGTTCAAGATATTAATGAACTGTGTAAGACAAAATTGACACAATATTCATCACACACTGACAAATAATGTTTTTAAAGGATTCAATACCCTCAAAATTGGTTTTTTTTTTATTATTATTATTATTGTTCTTTATATTATTAGTAATTGATTATATTAAATATTATAAAATTATTATTAAATAATATTGATTTATTAAACCAACACATTAAATTAAATGGAGTTAATTGTTATATTTTTAGTGCATTTTTATTCATTGTCATAACTAAAGTTTTTAAATAAAAAAAAATACAATTATTAATAAAAATATATGGTTTTACCTCAATTTGAATTTGTGATACAGGAAAATTTCAACAGTTCATAAAAATAACTGTAATCACTCACAGTGAAGCACATAATGCATAAATAAAAAGGTGCACGATACTTCGCAAGATAGATAGATCACTGTTGTAGATGAGAAGTTGTTGAGGTAGGATACAGAAGAGAATTTAATATATATATATCTGTACACAATGATTAATCTTTGCTAATGAAAAACTATTCTGATAGGAGTTCAATTATACAAAATAAAAATATTTATGATTTTTGTCAAAATTTAATACTAAAATTCTTATAAAAAAATATATATATATTACATTAATCTCAACTTTTTCTGTTGTCCACTAAGTACAACTTATAATGAACTTGTCAAATTTTCAGCATTTATTTTTGGTCAAACAATTATATTTACTGACCTACCAAATAAATATTATGTGAATAAGACTCACACAATTAAAATCTCTAATGAAGATGAAGAAGCTTAGAAATGGCTCAAATGTTTTGAAAATTTTACCACTTCTATAAAAGGCAAATATAAAGTTTCTGTCAAAATTTTAAGTTTATACAAATATTTTTCACTGAATTATAAAAAAAAAAAAAATTGAAAATATAAAAGCATTTTTTTTGTAAATTTTCCAGTTTTTTTTAAATTATTAAAAAAACTCTTTGAAAAATCAAAAAATAACCTTCCTAAAATACCACCACAGGAAAATTCTCGTTCAGAAAATATACTGTACTTGATACTTCAGAGCAAGAATTCTGGAGAATTTGTGTACACAATATAAAAAAAAAATAATACATAAACATCTATGTAAAACCAGTACATTCTTTGCTACACTCAGAATCTAAAAATCAAATCCAATTCAGTTCTTGAAATAAATATTGTATTGTTTATGCAGTCGGGTAATAAAGACTGGACTCTTAGAAAAAATGCAAATGATACAAATTCCTATGCGTATTTCATATAAAGGACTACCAGGAATCGATTTATCAATTTTAAAATCTATTTCATAACCACTTACGTGTTTAATGTAATGATAAAATACTAATAAAATGTGTTGATTGAATAGTAAATTCTCAGTAACTTATAATCACATTATAGGCCTGGGTAAAGTTCAAGTATGTACACAACTGCTCGCTTCTGAATATGCAATATAGCTATAGAAAATTTAACACAAAATTTAAAATATTGTCTCAAGAAAAATAAGCAGTTTTTGTATTCAATGATTTGTTATAATTTTAAAATCAAATACTAGTGTTGATTGTATCCACTAACCAATATTGTAATGAAATATGTAGTAACATTTTGTAATTCACTTAAAATTTTAAATAGAATAAAATAAATATCTACTATAGGAAATACACATTACATTTGTAAAATATCACTAAAAAATTAATCAAACAAATTACATTTATTTACTTTGAGATAAACTTTTAATAGCTTTTTCTGTTTCACTATCAGAAAACTTCAAAACTGCTGCAATTGCATTTACCATGTGTTTTCTAATTTTATCATCAGCAGTAAGAAAATAACTCAATGTTACATTTTTTAAATATTCTAAATTTGCGCCTTCTCTAGATTTGCATGATTCAAGTCTGAAAAAACACCATTACAATAATTATATAATTTCATACGTAATACAAATAATACCTGAGTAACTGTTGGTTTAATTTATCTATATCAGCATTGTACTGTTGTTGCATATCAGCTGTATTTTTTTGTAAATCTCTGTACTTTGATTCCATTTTAGATTTAGACTTTCTAAATTTAGTTATTTCCATATCTTTTAACGCTAATTCATGTGCATAATGAAGTAAGTGTGACCCTTTTTTAGTAGATTCTTCATCTAAATAGTCTTGAAACTATATAAGTAAAAATATTATTAAAACCACAGAAATACAATTATTAATAAAAAAATGTTTAACCTCTTTCCTTGAACCAGTTGATGAATGAGATGTTTTTCTATTATATTTTGTGGTTTGTAAAGCTTCACGTAAATTATTTAGTTCTTGTTCTTTTTCTGAAACCATATCTTGTGCTTTATCACGTTGTCTTAATAATTGCTGTTCCAAAGATGATATCCGTTTACGCCACTCCAAATCATTTGTCATAAACTTATCCTTCCAACTAATATTTTCCTAAAAATAATAATAGATGTAATAATTCTGTTTCATTCAAGAAGAATAAAAACTACTTCATTATTTTCTTCTAATTTTTCTTTAAATTTACGTTCCAGTTGGTCTCGTTCAAATTGGAGTGTATTAATATGTTGTTTTAGACTTTTGACTTGATTTAATAAAATATTATTATCTTGCTTATTAGACAACATATTAAGTTCTTCTTGTTTATCTGAATATTCAATGTGTTTTGGTTTGTAATCATGAATGCCAAAATCTAAATCCTTTAATATTATCTCTATAAGTAATTCAGAATTATTTAATTTAAAATATAACTAATAATTAATCAACTAAATAATTCCAAATTTGTTTTACCTTCAATATTCAAGGGAACTTCAGAAGTCTTGGCTAAATTCAGTAGAAGATTTTTGAAGTGCTTAAACTTGTCAACTATTTCAGACACTGTATATTCTTCATTATTTTCAATTTCTAATTGTTTAACTTGTTCCTATTATTTCATAAAATAAATTCAAATATTATCAGTGTACATGACTACAATGTTTAAGAACAATACATTTGTGCATTTGTGCAATACATTATAATAATAAATGTAAATAAAAATTAATAAAAACCTTTAATGATTGTATTGTAAGTTCATCTTGGTGTCTAATCTTATCGTAAACACCAATAGAATTTGATAATTCTGTCAAACGTGTTTCTAGATTTGACACTCTTATTTCGTGTGTAGCTGCGAGTTCTCTAGCTCTTTTCTCTGCTTCTGTAGCTCTTTGTTGTTCCTAAAAAGATAAAAATAATAAAAAGAAAAATGTCAATACAATATTTTTGTAATATATTTACTTGAGCAATAGCAACTGAATGGTTCTGTCTCACAGCTTTTACTTCTTGGCGTAATTGGGCCAACATTGCAGACGTTTCTTCTTCTCTATATTTTAATTTTTGTTTGACATCTTTTAATTCAATGTCCATATCTTGGGCCTGTTTTTTTAACGTTTCATTTTCTCTCTGCAAATGTGTAACTTCTGTTTGTAAATTATCTGACAATGACTCTGCTTGTTCTTTTTGCCTTCGTTCTTCAGCCATTAATTTTTGTAACTCTCTCATCATAACGCCGTGATCATTGAATTCTTTTTCTCGTTGCATTCGTTCTTTGTTGAATTTCCCCTTGATATTTTCCATCTCTAATCTTTGAAGTTTTTTTAGTGTATCCATTTTATTATTCAACTCTTTGACTGATTTTTCTAGCTATAAATCAATACAAATTACATGCGTGGGTAGGTACATACATTTCTACTGGTCCAATATGTGAGTGGTATAGTACATCATTGGCTAACCAGCAGAACATGTAATTCGATTTCTATACATTTTACAAAACTATAAGGAAAATAAAAAAATGACCCCTAATGCATCAATTATATCAAAAATACTACAAGCAAATTCTTATAGTTTTTGACCAAAGCAAGATTTCTGATAGAAAAGTTATTTACAAACACAATTAAAAAGCCTTAGCAATTTTTCTGGGTAGCAGACCATATCATATTAAGTAAGTATCATACTAACCTCTAATTTTTCATTTTGCAAACGTGTTTTTTCATCATTTGCAATTTCTTCAGCTTCATTTTTTTCTCGTTGTAAACTAGCTATTGTATTCACTAAATTGATAAAACGAGATTGTTGAGATTCAGTAGATATCTGTAATTAAATGAAAATATAATTATTATATATTCCATATAAAAATTAAATTTTCGTATTATTAATAATAATATTCAGTAAGAATTACAGAAAACGTAAAGACAGTGCAAAAATATATTAATAAATAATTTATTATAATCTAGCAAGAATTAAGTAAGTATGAGGTTTTTATACCTCAGAAGCAGTCTCTGAAAAATCATCTTTTTCATAATTTAAAGATGTCCTTAATGTTTCTTCTAAAGCATTCTTTTCTAATGTTAATTTTTTATACGCAACAACTAAATCTAGAAAAATAATTTCAATATCAAACATATTATTTTATGCCATAACATGTACAGGTATGTTACTGAAAGTATTATAATTAATTTTGGCAAACAAACAGCTAAACAATTTTTAAATATTTAATATAAATATTTGGTTATTTAGATAATGTCACATTTGCAACATAAATACATTACCTAGATAATTTAAAGAATTTCTAGATATTCTATAGAAATAAAATTAAAAAAAATATATTTAAAATCCTTAAAAATTCTATAGATAGACATCAAGATTCAATACTTTGTCAATAACATATAAAATATTCAAAAATAATTACTGTGTAAGTTCTTTTTATATTTTTCTAATTCTGTTTGCTCTGGACTGACAGTCCTTGATGACTGGCTGTCTGTTTCCTTCTCTTCCATGTTTGAGTATAAAATAATGTATCTATTTACAGATATAAATACAATTAAAATTAAAATATTTTTGTAAGTTTATGTAATAGGTAGGTTAAAAGAAATTTAAAAATAAAATAGTATTTGTTATTAACTGAATACTAAAATAAATTAATTTAGAATACCAATAGATTAAAATATAATATAGGTTGTCTTGAATAAATGTTCCGGGATTCATCATTTGGAAGATTATTAGCTTTCGTTGGCTATGGATTACACTTTCGAATTATCATATTACAGAATATACGTTTTGCTCTAAAATTAATAATTATAACTAGGTTCCTGATATACAAATAGATATTAAAGTATCATTGGATTATAATTTTTATACTTGCGTAAAATATTAAATTATACAAGTATCAACAAATGTCTAAAAAGTTACACGAATATCATTCTGTATAATTCTTTATCTATTTTATCTATCAATATTATCAACATTATTATAATGAGTGGATTTGTGTCGAGTAGTTACATTTTATCAGGTGGCTTTTTAGTACTGACACAGATATAAATAATAATTATTTATACATCTGTATATATCTAAAATATCTTAATCTGTGAAGTTCGCAAACAGAACACAGATAATCAAATTCTTACTTTATTATCTATGAGATAAAATTTTTTTTTCATGATAAATTATCTAAACATATGATAAAAATACGATTAGACAATAAATTTGTATAAATGATAAAAACTTTATTTTGTTTGATGCAGTTAAATAATATAGAACTATTATATTTAATATTTATGTCGTTTGAATTTTATAATTTTATAGTAATATTAGGTGATACCTAAAATAATAATGGCAACAATATCTGAATTGTTAAAATCCACTGCAACCGAAGAAGAAGAAGAGCCAAAAAAAAAATCACGCGAAGATTGGAGAAAAGCTAAGGAACTTGAAGAAGCCCGAAAAGTAAGTACCTAAATATATTAAACTAAAATATAAATATTAAAATGTATCATCATAGGCGGGTACAGCTCCAGCTGCTGTCGATGAAGAAGGTAAAGATATCAATCCACATATTCCACAATATATATCATCGGCACCATGGTATTATGGAACTTCTGGTCCAACATTGAAACATCAACGTGTACCTGGTAAAATTCAAGAATATTCAAGTTTAAACGAATGGTATAAACGAGGTGTAAACACTGTAAGTATTTTTAAAAACGTATTATAATACCTACCCACAATTAATAATTAATTATTGATTTTTTTCGTTAACAATTAACATTATTTAATTATTTTTGATTATTAATAGTTAGGTAATATTAATAATTAGTTTATTTATTGCATAGCTATTTGGTTTAATTAATCATTTATTTATTCTTCAGGAATCCGTGAGCACTAAATTCCGCAAAGGGGCGTGTGAAAATTGTGGTGCTATGACACACAAAAAAAAAGATTGTTTTGAAAGACCACGTAAAGTTGGAGCAATACATAATTCTATTAATATCGCTCCAGACGAACACGTACAACCTGAACTTAATCAAGATTTTGATGGTAAACGTGATAGATGGGCTGGGTATGATCCTGCTCAACATAAAACAATTGTTGAACAGTATCAAAAAATTGAAGAAGCTAAACGTGATCTTCGAGCTCAAAAACTAAATGCTGATGGAGATGAAAAAGAAGTAAATTATATTAGTTTTATTACATTGTTTTCTTTTTTTTTAAATTTTATAAGACCTTTAAATGTTACAGTTTATTTCTCTTGATTGCTTAAGTTCCAACATGGTCCCCCGTACACTGTCCATCCATCTTTGTCACAGTCTCCTCAGTGACCTCGTCCCTTCCATTTCTTTGTTTATGTTCATGTCTATGTTTCCATCTAATTAGTTTTCCTTCTACTCTCTAAAATGCCTCATCCATTCTAGTCTTGTACTTCTAATAAACCAAACCACATTTTCTCTCTCTTTTATAAAGTGTACTACTAAGTACTTAGTTTTTCATGTATTTTGTTTTTTCTATGTAAACTCTTAGTCCGATACTTTCTCCTGCTTTCATCAGTTCCATCATGCTCTTTTTCACGTCATCTTGTGTTTTTCCTATAGTTACTATATTGTCAGCATGTGCATATTTCCATCTCTTAATGTCAATGATTCAGTTTGTGTTACTTTTCGTAACACGTTTTCTAATGCAAGGTTGAATAGCACTGGTAACATAGCATCCCCTTGGCGTTGTTCATTTTTGATATTAAAGGCATTCTTACATCCGTACATTTTACCCTGCTATAGGTTTATTGTATAATATAAAATATTTATTTAAATTATAATATGTAGGCTAATAGTTCTGCTGATGAAAATGACGAAGATAAATATGTAGATGACTTTGACATGCCCGGAACAAAAGTGGACAGTAAACAACGTATTACTGTCAGAAATTTAAGAATTAGAGAAGATACAGCAAAGTACCTCAGAAATTTAGATTTATCATCAGCTTATTATGATCCTAAAACCAGATCAATGAGAGACAATCCACATAAACCGGGAGAAGATCCTGAACAGTAAACTTGAAATATAAATCAATGTAATAATAATTAAATATTAAATTTTTTTTTACATTTTTAGAGTAGAATACGCTGGTGAAAATTTTGTTCGATTTAGTGGCGATACTACCAAACATGCCCAAGCTCAGTTATTTGCCTGGGAAGCATATGAACGCGGTGTCGATGTGCATCTATTGGCTGAACCAACAAAATTGGAGCAACTAAAAAAAGAATATGAAACTCATAAAGATCGATTTAAGAAGAAAACTGAAAATACAGTATTAGCGAAATATGGTGGCGAAGAACATTTAGAAAAACCACCCGTTCAATTATTATTAGCCCAAACAGAAGAGTACATTGAATATTCTAGAAGAGGAGATATTATTAAAGTATGTCTCGGTTATAAATTATAAATATAATAATAGTGTTTTTGTAATTATTTTTTTTATATAGGGTGAAGAAAAGGGAGCAATACGTTCACGTTATGAAGAAGATGTTCACCCATCTAATCACTCTTCTATTTGGGGTTCTTACTGGGAAGCTGGACAATGGGGCTACAAATGCTGTTGTTCTTTGGTGCAAAACTCTTATTGTACGGGTAAATCTGGAATTGCGCTGTCCAAAAATGTACCTGAATTAGGAAAAATTATAGCCGTTGTTGATAATAATGTACCAGAATCTAGTTTTAATTTAAAAGATGTTGATAAAATTGAATCAATCGCTGCTCCACAATTATCATCTTCACCGTCTTCATCAGATTCTGAAAATAAATCAAAAAAGAAGAAGAAGAAAAAGAAAAAGAAGAAGAAGAAGTTGGAGAAGAAATCTAAAAAAGAGGACGTAAAAGATGCATTAAAAAAGGCATTAGAAAAAGAAGATGAACGATTAAAAGAAGTTGATAGAATAATGAAAATGGATGAAAGAAAACGTCCTTATAATAGTATGTATGAAGTATCTAAACCTACTGATGAAGAAATTGAAGCATACAATATGAAAAAGCATAGAGGTGATGATCCAATGGCCAACTTTATTTAAGTTTTACATTTAATGTATAAATTATGTATCTCTATTGTATTAATTTCTCAATACATCTATAAAAACTGTTATTTTAGGTTATGATGTGACACTTAATATTTGTATATTTAGTTCTTAAAATTACATATTATAAATGAAATTCAAACGATTATGGCTTTTATTAAATTATATCAAAAAACATAATTATGTTAAACAGTTTTCCACAATTGTCACTTTTTTCAAAAATAGTACAAGATTCCAATAAATGATCTCTACCAACAAGTCCACAATGCCACCATAAACTTTCTATAAAGTTATTGATTGGAGCAAGATAGACAAAAACATACGACTATCAGCTTGCTCAATTTAGAATCTTAAATGTCTGCTTGATTAGATAAGTATTGATTTTTATTTTCAATAGTTTATTGATGCACATGAATATGAGAAAATTGTTATAAACACATAGATACTATAATGCAAGCCAGGAATTTTCTCTTTATCTCATTTTTGGTGCCATGTAGATAAAATTGGTTTTAATATTAATTGGTACTAAATTGAACTAAAAAGTCAAACAACATTTAGGTAGGCAGTTTTAATTTTTTTTTATTAGGTGGATAACTATCTAAATGTTTATCAAATAAATAAACTATATCTAATCTATGTTAAAAATGATGTACACTTGCATGGTCAACAGCTCCATGTGTTTTACCAACTATTATAAATAATAAAAACACTTAATTACATTTTAAACAGATGTTTTAATGCAAAATAGCTTCTAAATTATATTTTTATTTAATAAATAATTAATTTTGTGATGGGTACCATCGAATTGACTATAATATAAATTTAAATATTATTTAAATATTAATATTTAGTAGATACCTCCTAATTTTTGTTCAAGATATCGACGATTAAACTTCCAAATTTTCTAATTCAACATTTTTTGATTAAAAACAATGATAAGAAATGTTCAAGTTGATAATTGGTAGTTTCGGGGGATTCGGCTGAAATACGTTCGGTTGTTTTATTTTCGGCGGAAATATTTTCTGATAATTTCATGTTTGGCTAAATTACTGTTCGGCTAATTAATAACCCCTTCCCCCGTGCATTATCAACACGCCATGTGCCGTACCGCCACACAAATATTATTCCACTATTCTCCTCTAACCCAAACTTAAAAGTGGAATATCTCGTCAACGAATCGACGAAAATCAAAAATGTCAACACTAAAATTTGTTTTAATTAATATTCCATTAATTTAAGGACTTTTTAATATAGGTTGCAATTTGAAAATTAAAAACAGGTAATGCATCTCAGTCCTCCAAAAGGAGAACCATATCGCGTTTAATTAATAATAATTTGTAATAATTAGTAATGCATTTTATTAGTAGAATTATATTTTATCATATGACATATTATAATAGCATAATATATAATATCATTATACTTTTTTACTCGACGAAATTTGTTGTTTTATACTCATTGGCCAAAAGTGCACGAACCGAAAGAACGGCGTCCGCCACGTTCGGATCCATTCCCAACACTAAAATGTAATAATACAAAACGTGTACTCTGACGGCGACAATGACAATGCATATAAAAAACCGTAACGTCAGAACTCGTAACACGGAGGACCCGTGACCGCGTCCGTGCGTCCCGGACGAAAAATATGGCAAGTGGAGACCGGGCTTGACGCCGCGGGCCGCCGTGAATATTTGCCGTTTTATCGATATTTTTCTAGAATGCAAATAATCATGGCCGGCCGGATACTTGCAGGCGGTGCGTTCGCGCCGCCCGGGACTTTCGGGTACGCACGCGGGGCGCGGAATTTCGACCATAGGACATATTACACGGACTCTGGGTGAATTCGTGCAGTATGTATGTACATATTTTTATACGCGTTATTTGATTATTGTTAAACGCATTGAGTGTCTAATTTTCCAATTGCCGCCCCGTCTGACGCGTTGAACGTTCGCAAACGTAATATAAATTTACGCGACAACAAATTCTAACACCGCACCGGGCGTCAAAATATTCATATTTATAATAGCGTTCATAAATACGCCTTGCAGAAAATTACTAATAATACTATACGTTTTCAGCCGAACGCCAGAACGAAAATTGGACCGTATGTGTTTTCCTTATAGCCCGGTTCGCACCGATCAAATATTTTATCAAATATTGGAGGATTAACAGATTGATAACAAATTGTTATCATCCGTACATCATGATTATGAAATATAATTCACAGTAGGTATTAATACGTTTTACATAAACCTATTATCATTTGTAGTCCAACTATATTGTAATTATTATGTATTACATTTTATTACCTATACGAAATTTTATCTAAAATCGAATTAGTATTCAATGACACCAAAGAGAGTAAAATTATATATCGCTTGACTAAACACTGAACAGATTGATTAGGTACCACCAAAAACTGGTGGTCACAAATTGTTTACATTTATGAATTTGGGTTCTTGGGAGAATACAATTTTATATTAGATATATAATACTATGTGGACGATGGACGCGTATTCAAAATTACAAGGAGATGTCTTTAATACACACACGACACACATCATAGTACACCCAATAGATCCCGAAATACTAATGCATAGGTACCTACTACATAGAAAGTTAAAGTAGGTACTTATATAATTATTTATTTATTTATTTATTTCCTAACCTTGAATGTTTATTTTTGAACAATTTCCTTAGTTTCTATAATTCATACAGTTTTATTAATTTTTCAAGGTCGTAACTCATTCCGTAGCTCTAATGTAAGAATATCTAAATGAGTAATGACGACCACGATGTTGATGAAATTTTATCTGCATTGTAATTAGTACCTATTGCCATTGATTATAAATCAATAGGTAATCAATGGTACTATATATGATAATTAATGTACAAATTAAATTTGCACGGGTTATATTTGAACAATCACTAGTTTTAGTTATGGATAATTTGATCAAATATTTGATCATTTGAACCATTTTTCAAAAAATATTTGATCGTGTGAACCAGGCTACACAAATTTATTTGAATAAAATATGATACCTACAGGAAAATAATCAATTAGTATTTATTTAGCAGGTAGTCATTTAGATCACCTACAATTTAGATTTTGAGAGATCACGAAGATCTAGATTAGCCATGAGGATTTAATTGACAGGGAAACTAATTTACCATTTAGATACTTTTTTTGATATTTAGATCTTGAGGATCTAGCTAGGTGACCGTTCACCCTTATAAATTATGGGTACTATAATTTAATACATCGAGAGCTCTTTGCCTTTGCCTCTTCATGGTAGGAGATTAAGTAGTTACTTACTTACTTTTAAAGACAAGAGTCTAAAATAAATTAAATCACTGAATTCGTGCACAGTCTAATGAGTATGGTTATTCACATATTTAGTAATTATTATTAGTATTTATAAACGAACCTAATATTTGTACAATATTTTATGCTAAAGTAAACACGATATTGTATTATTAAAATTATAGTGGGAAAACGTCTCGCCGAATCACCAATAGCCAAGCAATAACGTATCGCTATCATACTGATAATAAACCATAAGCCATAAACCATCATCGCTGATAATAAACCATAAGTATTTATTTACATTAAAAGTGTTGGCTAAAATATAGCACGTAGTGGCTATATAGTAAAGTGTTTGTCGGAACTAGAAGTAATTTTATTGAATTAGATTCGTCTATACTTACGTTAAATATTATACGGATCGCTGTTACGTAATTTTCGTTTGATATAAGTGCTTCAAATGTTGTCAAATGTCCCGGTATATTTGTTATGTTGTACTTTTTTAGTATTTACTTGCCACGCCGCCAGACCCGGCGAAGGATCATGGTCTATCAATATTGACAACGTGAGATTTTTTTTTTTTTTTCACTATATAATGTACTTCTGAATCATTTGGGTATTTATCTAGTTATAATAATTATTTGCCTGCTCACTTTTTCACAGAACAATGAAATATTCAGTTTCAGCAACAGCCTTTTTAAGGACACAGAAATATTCATTAAAAGTAAATTTATCATAATTTTGTACTACAAACTGATTACTGATTACTGTTATAAGTGCTCAAAATTAAAATTATTATTATCATTATTTTTCTAGTTGATTGTAACGATTTGTTTAACGTTTCTGTTAGTTGGATCCTGACTGAACCCGAATGTTGGAATGATTACTTAAACCTTGGCCATGGCGTAAATTTAATATTATGCTTTATACTTATAATATATTACCAATATTATCAAAGATTATAGTAAAATTCTAATATTTTGTTTTATTTAGCTTATAAAAGAACTGCAGTTGAAAGATATTGGTCATGATGTTGAAATCAATAGTACATACATGCGTTATGTGAAATTTGATGATCATGTCTATTCGTGTTCTAATGGAATAGATTTGGTATTTATTCATACTTGACTATTTGCTAAAAGTGGTTTTTTTTTTTTTGAAACAATTTTTTTTTTTCCCAGGAAGATCTATCCATACATGGCACTAATAAAACGAATAATAATGAACCACTTCATAAAGTATGTTTTTAAGTACTATTTTAATAATTTAAATTAAAATTATATATACTAATATTTAATGAGGAGTTTTTTTTTTTTTACATAGAGATCTTCTCAGCATCCTGTTTATACTGTTTTAAGAGATGGTGTGTACTTACTAACAATAACAATCAAACCAAACATCAGAAATTTACCTGGGTTCGGCATTGATGACAATAAATTCTCTGGTAATTTAGAAGTGTCGATGCGAGGACCGCATGGATATTTATCAGCTACAAATAGGCCATTGTTGCATGTAATTTATTTTTATTATGTATTGTGAATACAGTTTTTTAAAAAAAAAAATTGTAATATTTTTTACAGTTCTATGGATTCATGTGTTTTGTTTATATATGTTTTGGTTTAACGTGGTTGGTTTTATTATTTATGCAATGGAGAGATTTACTTCAAATACAATTTTGGATTGGAGCTGTCATTCTTCTAGGTATACAAAACCATTCAAAGTTTACAAACTATTTATGAAATATTTATCAAATTAATTTTTAGGAATGGTTGAAAAAGCAGCATTTTATGCTGAATATTATGAACTGAATCTTACTGGTCATTTAAATGACATTTATGGAGTAATGATCATGGCTGAAGTAATTTCTTGCTTAAAACGAACTCTTGCACGAACATTAGTTATCATTGTAAGCTTAGGATTTGGTATTGTCAAGTGAGCGTTCTATACAAAATTTAAATTAAAAAACAATAATTTTATCTATGTAATTTTATGTTTAGACCCAGGTTAGGCCCGATTTTACCCAAGGTATTGGGAGTCAGTTTTTTATACCTAACAATGTCATTAATGGAATCCTATTTTCGCCTGTCAACTAATATGAGTGCAGAAATTTTATTAGTTGAGTTGCCCTTAGCTGCTTTAGATTCTGGAATTGTGTGTTGGATATTTGCTGCCTTAACTCAGACTACTAGGGCTTTAAGACTTCGGAGGTTTTGAATACAATAATATCTAATATAATGACAATTATCCTTATAACTATTTCTGTGAACCTAAATATTTTATTTTAAGGAATGCAGTGAAACTACAGTTATATACACATTTTACAAATGTTCTTGGTTTCACAGTGGTAACTTCCACTTTGTTCATGTTATATTCCATTAAAACTCAACGATTATCTGATTGTGGCGGTGTAAGTAAACTGTAAAATTATAATAATTGATTAATATTTTGATGGTTAGAAGGTAAAAGGGTGTGTAAGCGCCAATTTCTAAATTGTTCTAAAAGAATATAACTTGTTTATATACAAAAAGTATTTTGTTTTCTATGTAGTTTTTAAATACTATTAAAGAAAATCATACTAATTTAATGTAAATTACTTGCTTCTTTTTAAGTCAATATACAAATATTTAAATAACAAAAAGAAAATCAACCAATTTATCATTTATCAAAATGATAAATTGATGAAATACCTTTTACTTTTATCACATTTTACTGAATTATGTTTATGTATTTTAATTGGCCGCTTACACCCAATTTTTTAAATCCTGCCAATTCTATGACATTTACAACCTTTTATAAAACATTGATTGTTGATTGTAAACATATAATATCAATATTTAAGTTGGATCAATCGATATATAATTGTGCCATTACGAAAATATGCAAAAAATTGATTTTGAAAAATCTGTCGCTTACACCCTTTTATCTAATAATTTATTTGTTGTTTATAGAATTGGAAAGAACAATGGCAGGACGATGCATTCTGGCATATCGAATTTTCCATAATTTTATTTGTTATTATGACACTTTGGAGACCAACAAATAATAATCAAAGGTAATTATTTATTATAATTTTTTCTTTTTTGACAGTAAATTAATAATTTATGAGTTTAATTTTATTTATAGATATGCTTTTACACCATTGTTGGATGCTCCAGATGATGACAGAGATGAAACAGAATTATTTATTAAAGAAACTTATAATGGTTATATTTTTTTACTATTATTATAAATTGGTTATATATATATATATATATATATATTTTTTTATTTAATACAATTATTTTAGATGTTAAGATGAGGACCTCTACAACCAATTCGTCTAATCAAAATTCTAATGTGATACCATACAAAGATTATCCTGCTTCAAATAGTAGTAGCACAAAAAGTCAAACGCAACATGTCAGTTTTAACTAAATCATTTAAAACTAACAACTATATTGTGTATAACTAAATTATATTTAATGTTTTATTAATATTTTATAGGATGATGATTTAAAATGGGTTGAAGAAAACATACCAGGTTCATTATATGAAACGTGAGTATTGAATTATTGTCGCTACCCATACATTTTATGCAAAATAAATATTAATTTTAAATTTGACCTATTTTAGAACCGTACCAATTTTGGATTACAGTGAGGTAAATAATTTGAATCTAGTTTTAATTTCTTACTTGACTATATTGTAGAAAGTTGATAAAAAAATTTAAACTTGTATATTTTTTCAGGATGATCATAACACAGCTATTGAACGGTCAAAACTACAATAAAATGAAAAAATAAATAAACACTTTAATTTTAGGTATTTAAAAAAAGAACGCTTTATGTCATTAACCAAACGAAGTAAAATATTTAATTAACCAGTCACTGGTCGTAACTGTACAAATCTTAAATAATTCATATTATGAATCTTAAACATTTAAATTTTTTTTTTTTATGAATTTTGGTTGAAAAATATATTTATTCCAGGTGGCCTAATAAGATAATTTTGTAACCATGCAACTGGTTAATGTTACATTATATACTTTTTATGTGTATTTTATTTATTTTCCTATTATTTAATTAATTTACTATTTTGTTATCAACTTACTTAATTGTATACTTATTCATAGTATTCCTTTATTGTTTATATTGATATGATTCAAAATTATAATCATAAGCAAATTTATATAATATATATTTGAGAATTTTTGTAAATAAATAAACAAAATATTCTTAATAAAACAATTAAAAAAATATTTTAATATAGATGATACAAAATATAATCATTCATATAATTTTTTATTTTAATAAATTCACCGATCAAAAAGAAAATTTCACTTAAGAAATATCCTTGACAGTGATTTATTTAATGTAGCTTTCACATTTGGTGAAGCCGCTGATGATATTAACGCTGCACCTCTCGGATCTTCGCTCAATTTTGCTAGTATATGTTGAGCAGCTTGTCTAAATATTGTCACAAAAAAATAATTTGTTCAATTATTATCTACCAGGAGGTTATACAGGGTGATTTTTTTTATCAAGAACCAGCAATTACTTCAAAATATTTTACGTGAATTTGATTTGTGTTTTTTCTAATCATTATGGAATCGTTTAAGCTTTATTTTAAAACCAATTTTAATTGTTTACCCCTACTCCATGTACCTTAAATATGTGCATACTTTTGATTTTCAAATAGGGACAACCCTCCCCCCTTTTTAAACACAAATTTGAATAGAGAATATTTTTTTGGAAATTTTGATATGCATAATACTAATATCAGATTTATTGTTTATGAGTTATAACAGATTAAAGTTTAGACCAGAGGAGTAGATAAGGGTTATAAATTACCTATCTATAGAAAAATATTCTCTATTCATATCTGTATTCAAAGGGGGGGGGGAGTTTCAATTAGAAAATTAAAAGTATGCACTTATTTAAGGTACATGGAGTAGGGTTAAAAAATTAAAAATAGTTTTAAAAAAAAGCTTAAATGATTCTATCATGATAAAAAAATCATTCTGTATATGTGTGCTAGTTTTGGGACAGGATATTGTTTGAGATTGAGGATTTTGTAAGTATCAATTCTAGTGACCGAGCCACTAGACATTTGGTAATTAAAATAATTTAAACCATAATGTGCATTTTTTTTTTTTTTCAATTTGATTATAGATTTTTATACATTAGTACATTATGTACTACAAAGGCATTTATAAAATAGCCACGGTCTGTCATACACTTACCGAGAAGTAGGTGTGTTATCAATCACCATACTTGTGGCGGCAGTTATCACAGCGTCTCTAGATTCCGTTGGCAAATGAAGTGTTCCGTTGACTCCAAGTTTATCGACTACTCTTGCCAAGAGACGGCACGCTTCGGCACGGACCATACGGTTTCCGTGTCTGTAAAAAAAAAAAAAGGTTAAATTATATTTTTTAATGCTATACTTCCACGACGATACTAAAAGTGACATACTTAATGCCTTTGGACGTGATTACGTGTACACATTTAATAGGATTTACATTGTCGACCATTGCGTTGAGAGCTTCGGCGCTTTGGATTCGTAGAAATTTGTTGGTATCAGCCGTGCGCGGGAACAGTGCCGAAGCGATTTCCTCGGCATCCTATTATTCATTTTTATTTTAGATTCTGAGTGGAGCGAATAAGCTTATGGTATTACAAAGATATTTTTTTTTTTTTTATCTGTGCGCGACTTTTCTACCAGAAGACTTTCTCGGATCATTTTTAGATTTTCTCAAAATTTTTCTCGTCAAATTTGAAAAACCAAAAAAAAAAAAACGGGAAAATATAAGAAATGTAGGTATTATTTAAAATATATCACGACCTTCTCTTTTTTTGTGCACAACTTTTCTACCTGCAATTTTGCTCCAACTTTTAATGATAGCAATGTTTCTAAAAGGAAATTTCACTCGTTAGGTACTTCAGATAGGTCATTTTTCGATTTTCCCAGCAAATATGTGAAAACCGGGATAAAACCTGGGAAAACCGGGAAAAAATAGGAAAATCGGTACAACATTAAATAAATATTATTAAAGAAATTATATAAAGCCTATTTGTTTTACTATAAAATGACATGTATATTGTTAACAAAACATCACTATCAACTGAACTCCGCTCTGAATCGTTTTTTCGTAAGCAATGGTATATACTAAATTATCTATAACAGTGGCTGCACCCGTCCCCATTATCCTATAACGTCTTTTTTTATTTATTGAAATAAACGCCAAAGTTGGCTCGAGTACAGAACAATATATATCAAAATAATAATAATAAATATTATACCGTTCAATTTAGAAAAATAACCGCCATACTGTACATATGCTTACCGGTTCAACCGATCTGGGTACGTGGGAAAACATTTTCTGTACAGCCGTGCACGCTGCCCGAGCCACTTGGGACCTAAGACTTTTTATATGTTTGGCTACAGTACGAGCGAATGGCTGTAAAGAACCTGGACGCAATTCTTTTCCGTGAAACATGGACAACCGCGAAATATTTTGTAATCCGGTGACAGCCGCTTCCCTGTACAAAACAAATCGGTAGATAAGTATTCAGTACTGTGAGTAACGCTATCGTCTTCGTAATAACACGATTTTCAATTTATATAGATAGATACCAACCATTCCGGGCTGTTGATCTGAACAGAAACTAATTGCAAAGCTTTTTGCGGTTCGTTGAACGGAGTTAAATTCGGTCCAATTTCGCTCGGTCGTTTTTCTTGTTTTTTTGATAATAACTGTGATCCCGCGATAGATTTTCTTCTTTCCGTCGGTGTCCGTTTTACAGTCGTCATCGTGGTTGTGGGTTTGACTTCAGCTATGGGTTTACTAAATGAACCAAAAAGCCCAATTAATGATTTATTCATAGGAATTATTGCTTGGAGTTTTCCATACATCATGAGAAATGTGGTTAGTTTTTTGAGACCTTAAAACCTGTCTCCTAATTTGCAAGTTATAAACCCCCCTACGAAAGTTCAGATTGAAGTAGGTACATCAAAAGTACTACCAAATATTCATTATTGATTTTACTCAAACGGCATATTATGAGAATAAGAAAAGCACGAGATAAATAAATGGACTGATATATTATAGAAATATAGACTATAGTATGAGAGAGAGATAGAGCAACTCTGCACTTCAGAAACAGTCAATTAATAAAACACTTCGTTTAGTATCTTACCTCCAGTAAGTAAACTCCACCTACCAGGACGTGTTTTTGCATTGAATGTTCCGACTAGATTTGATACAGTTTACGTATATCTAGATTTAGATATAAGTCTATATTGTGCCAATGGGATGGGAAAATAGGGATAATTAACAATTATTATTTAAATAATCTTTTTTTATACCTATGAAGATATAGTAAAATATGCAGGATAATTTTTAAGCATGCTCAGCCCATTTGTATGGATGATTTATGCATAAATTCAAATTCTGTTTTTTCGAATTTTTAAGTGCAGTGAACGAGAAAATTTTTGAGTACTTTGATTTTTCGCAACATTAAATGTTGTATAGTAATTTTAAGGAGTATCCTGTAATAATAGCATTGGTTATTCAAATAAGAATCATGTTTTGATAAAAAAAAATTATGCAAATTAATGATTTTTGTTCAACATTTTGACGTATTGTAATCCAAATTTAAACGAAATGTTTCTGAGTTATTCTGCTTTAAATATTAATAGGATGATAGGCACCTACCTACCTAGTCTTTTGCGGTGATTGGATGCTAACTGTTTCATGTGAACAGATAATTTCTTGTTTTGAATAGTACATTTGTTATTCTTTAGTACTTAAAGTAGAATAATTCTGACATTTTTCGTTCAAATTTCGATTGAATTACACCAAGATTTTCAGACAAATCATGTAAATGCCAATTTTATATTAAAACATATAGGTTCCATTTAGGTCATTTACGGAATGCAAGGGTATGTAAATGCATCCCATACATTTCTTTTAACATATTGAAAATATGTAATTGCAGGTAATTTCATTGAATTTTAATTTGTAATATAATAATTTAGCAAAAATCACATCACAATAGTTTAACGATAATCACATAAATATGAAACTGAAGTTTAATATCTTTATAGATTAGCACCGATTTCGTTATTGATCTTTTTTTATCTTATTTAATCAGTAAAAGAAGATATAAACACAGCAAAAATAATATAATATTTGTTGGTTATAAACTTATAACGTATGGATTAGTAAATTTTTTATTTTATTATTATTAAAAAATATTATACTTTATACACCTACACAACACTGTTTAATGTAGTTTGAGCAATTTAAACAAACAGTACTACCTTTCTTCATTTACCATCATTTATGGTTTTTGAATATTGTATGTATATCAAAAATTAATATTAATATTTTATAATTGAAAAATTAAATTTTACATGGTAATGTATTAGTTGTGTCTTGTATGTGGTACGCGATTAAAACGAGTGGTTTTTGTTAATGAATTTTCAATACCTATTCGTTTTGCATCCCGTGAGAAAATGATGCCCCTGATAGGTTCTCGTTAGAAAAACCAAAGTTGGTATTGTCACAGGATACTCATTACGTGTTGTTAAAAATCTAAGTGCTCACAAAAATCGTCGTCTTACATTTCGCTTAAAAATTCCAAATATAGGTTGCAGAACATTTTAATTTATGTATAATTTAACCGGAAAAATGATTCGAGCACTAGCTGAGTATGTAATAAAAGAAAAATCACTATATTATTATAAATATTTAAGAAAAATTACTCGATTGGAGGGAGAATACGTCCTACCTCTCTCCCCCTCCCCTTATTTGACCGCCCATGGTCTGTGAGTCCCACTATTACACATGGAGTGTAAAACGAAATACGGCGGAAACAAGAAAAAACTTTACTTCGACACGCACGTGACTCACTCGTTATTATGCGATTGTACGGGACGTTCGTCTGTGCTGGTCGTGACCGTGTATAGCTGAACGTTGGGTTTGACGAAACCGTTTACCGCGGTCGTGTGATGCGAAAACGTTTCGCTATCGTTCGGTCGTATTGTCCGGTTGAGGTCGACCATTTGGATTTCTTTTATTGCGCCGCCGCCGTCGTCGTCGTTCGATTTTTCGTTCTCGAGGTCGTCCGTCGTCTTGTTATTGCCGACGACGTCGTTCGAATCATCCGTCGCGGCGCTGGGTTGTCGCAGTTCTCGTCTCGTTTCGGCGGCGGGCACCACGGTCACGGAAAACATCCCTCTTGATATTTTCACGGACGATTCGATACTGGAAAAAACCGTCGGCAATTTATTGTAGGTAAACTTTAGAAGTTGCTGTAAAAATACAACGTCAAATCATGATATTATTATATTTTCCGATTCCTCTTCATCCCGCGTTCTCACGCCTCAAAAATGACCGGGTTGGCCACTTTTATTCCCGCGCTATTTCTAATATTACGTTTCGTCCAAGTCCAGTTAACGACCTAACGAAGTCAGACTCGTAAGGCCGAAAAAAAAAAAATCAAAACATCCAAAAAACACCACTACATTTGCCCTTTTTATACGGTCAAAATTTTCATTTTCCCGTAAAAATATGCGATACATTAAAATGACGTCGAAAAGGATTTAAAAAATATCGAAATCCCGATTTTTTGACGTTGTGTTAAGTACAAATATAAAAACTCCGTAACATTGTCCGATATTTTTGAAATTCATTCAAGTCCGCGAACGCGTGCCTCTGAACCGGGCGTATTTCGTCGACAGAAAATGGAATAATCGAAAATTTGACCGATGCACGGAAAATAAATTTACTGGGCGTTTTTTTCGATAATTTTTTTTTTTTGGACCGAACTTGTGAACAGATTTTTCTTCTTTAAATTTAGTCGGTATTCATTTACGGTACACGCACGCGGGACCTTACTCTATAACCGTAGCGGATGACGCGTACCCGGGCGGCACGTGCACGGGCACCACGAACATGGTTCGATTCAGAGGTACAATATTATTGTGTTTGCGGTTTTTCGAGTTTCTTTTGCTGTGGTAGCCCGCGAACGACGAGTTGTGAAATTTGTATTTGCGTTTGGTCGCAGCCGGCAACGGGGGCGGCGTTACGACGTCCTCCTCTGCGTCGGCCGACGACGACGGATGTCCGCCGGAAAGCGGTTTTCCGACCACCCGACGGCGACAGAAACAACAACGGAACATAATATTATTTTCGGACAGTCCACGGCCGATCGGAACGCGTCGAACAATGAGATAATAATTTCGTTTCGTTTTGTTTTGTTTTTTATTTTTTCAAACACGCCAATGCAACGGGCTCGCATGGTATCGGTCACCTATACGAGAGTTTGTGGCGAGCGACGGCGTAGCGGGTAATAATGTCACCCGTTATAGGTATAATTATTATGCGCCGTCGTGGGTGCTGCTATTTTTTAATATACCTGTATAAAATGGCTGTATCCGTGTGCGTCGTTGACAAGCCGCGGGGAGTGGACAGCTGAGCTCGCATACGACTGGGGGACACGCGATTGATTGGCTCTACATAAACAGGGTCAGTCGGGTTGGACCTATACATAATATTAATAACACGCGCACACACTGTAAAGGCATGTCTATGTGTATTGTGTATAGGTATATAGAGCGCTGGTGCGATGGTTAACTTGTTGATGTAGTCTATGGATAATATATCCACTGCGATAACGTGAACAACGATACTTGACCCATAATACGCGACTGTCATACCCGATATTTATAACGCTAATTCTATAAGCGAGCAACATTATAATACACCCATAAAACTATAAACGCACCTATGGGCACGTGTCAAAACTCGGAAAAGGCAAAATTTCACCGGTTTTCAATAAGATTTCATTCCAAATTTTGATTTTCCCTACTGTGCTAATCCTTTTAGCTATATCGCGACGTGTACAACCTATACAAACACTAATTATTACTAACCAGGTAATTACTGAATACATTGTGCGGCGATAATACTATGCCGGTTAAACTGCATGTCCGCGTTCTATGATCACTCGGACAGAGCAGACAGTGAGTCGGTATTGTAATATCAGAAGAATAATAACTAATAAGTGATGGGTACAGCCAAATTATTCTCGAACTATCAATTCTACAGTTGATCGTTTTCAATAGATTGAATACTGTTTGGTATGAAAAAAAACTTTTCGAATAGATACCTGTATAGTTTATATTTAATTATGGAAATAAATGATTCGAATGGTTTTAATTCGATTATGGAAATCCCTATAGTCTATACAATTAAATAGTTTTTCGAAATACCTATTCGATAATTTTTCTTCGAATAATAATAGGTATTCAGTTATGGAAAAGAAAAATAGTCTATAGTTCATTTAAACTACCGAAAACTATTCGATAGCACCTACAAAGTATTTGGAAATGTCCATTAATAAGTCGAATAAATACATAAATACTACATATATTTTTTTCTTCTACTTCGTATTTGCCCCACGCAAGTCGGGTCAACTACTCTTTATTTCTACCATTACTGCTTCCTCATTTAACTACTTTACACGCGCTTTCGTATCTCCTCTAGGCACTTTCGTATTCTGTCAACGTTTATCCCTCACATCTCTTCTTAATTATATCTCATCGTTTCTCCTTCTTTTAACACCTCAATCTCTAAATATCTCCTCATCTTAATCCATAATTTCTGATTTACATCATTGTATATTATATTCATTCCTAATCCTAGCTTAACCTTAACGCACTTGCACTACACCTAATAATACATTCTGTCTGCCACTTTCATTCTTATTTCATCGTTTTTATTTAAAAATCAAACTAGTGTTATTTACCAATTTGACTTCTATAAATTTCAACGAAATTATAATCAGTATTCAGTAGTTAAATATTTGAAGTACAAAATATGTTCTCGTGTAGGTACGATCCGCAATGGTTTTGAACTATAGGTATTCCAATAAATAACTTTCAAACATTTTAAAATGATTCAACCCGTACACTCATGATTTAACCATCGCATAAAATAACGGGTGCCAACGTAAAACAAGTAACGTATTTACGACGTATTGTTTTTTAAATAATGTAAATAGTCATTATAGCCTCTTATAGGTAAGGTACTTGTAAATAATACTAGGAAATTGAAAAAAACAATTACCTAAATAATAAAGTAATATTAATCGGTGTTTAATTTAAAGTTGAGTTGTTGTAGAAGAGTACTTCTAGTTCAACCATGACAAATTATAGATTAACTAGGTACTTATCTAAATTGTAATTGTTTAAATGAATACAATAAGTAAAGAAAATTAAATACATTAAAGTAGCAAATAATTGTATCACTATTTTAATGCGAGCATTCCATATCGTTGCATAATACGATACAAATTAATAGTTACCTAGAGTTAGGAGGACTGAATTGCCTTATTGTGTGCTAGGGACTAATAGGCAGATTGAGGCCGGTTCTAGAGAAATTTAACTTTTATGTCTCATTTCACGGTCGTTACGCCATAGCCACGGCCCATTTAGTTAGAAAAGACGAGACACTGGGATTATTCGCCCCTGTTTGTGTCCTTGTACTAGTGTAAGTACCAGTGACGTATCTAACTTAACTCAAGGAAGGCGAAGGGGGGCTATAGTCCTCAAGCCTCCGCAAAAAAAAAAAAAAAAATCCTTGGTGTCCTGGGAGTTGAAATAAAACATATTGTACCTTAGGTATACTTTTTTTTACAAATTTACATAATACCATACCATTTTTTAAAACTCCCTAGAAGGTCTTAAACACAAACTAATTTTGTGTTTTATACTATTATTAAATAATTACGTAACAAAACAAACAACATACATCAGGTACCTACTAAAAAGTAATACCTATTTTTTTAAACAATTTTTACAAATATGACAAAGAGCTGATACGGATGAGGCCACTGTATGTTAAGGAGGGATAGCAAACTCCTATAAAAGTAGGGAATTTTCTACATTGACATAGTGTTAACTCTTATACAAAATAGTGTAAACTCCTTCGCTAGATAGTTGTAAAGTTTTAAAAAGTAATATAAGGTATTTTAAAATAAATAAAAACCAGTCATAAACTACAAAAATAAAAGATGGAAATTGTTGTATTTCCAATTTACGGAAATAACGTATACGTTATCGAAATGTTCGAGAATTTCCGGTAATCGTATCGGATTAAATTAAATTAAATTAATATGTTTATTAAATTTTATTTTACATTTTATTATCTTATATTCATAAGTCTCTACGAATATTCATATAAAATGCAATAAAAACGGTCTCTTATCGTTTTTCCATTAGAAAACTATTTCTGGTATAAAATGTCGTGCATGTTAATTTAAAATAATAAAATCATAAAATCGTACGTTTTTTTCCCACTTAGGTACAATTATCTCAAATAAACATCATTGTAAAATCAATAAACATGTCTCGTCACACTTAGAATCTAAAATGTAAAAAGGTCTGTGTAGGAGATTACATCATCTATTTTTGGCAAGTAAAAAGGGAGTGTGTAGGAATTTACACTATGTTTTAAATACAGGTAAAACGGTCATTTTTGTATGAGTTTACATGAAGCCATGTTAAGTGGTTTAAGTTGTGATGGTATAGGATACATAAAGTTATTTATTATACTTGTAATCAACGATAAACCATTCCTAACGAAAAACGATTCGGAGCGAAATTCGGATATACATTTTTTGGAAGGCCGAATAATATTCCGCTACGCTTCGAATTTAAAATTATTTGAGTGAAAAAATATCGTTTGTTTATATATATGTGTATACCAATGCATATAGCAAATACCTACACAAACAAATGAATTGATGGGGGGCGGTGATCGTCCCCAACCCCCTTCCCTCTAATCTTCAGGTAAGTATTGTTATAAAAAACTCTATTCAACTCCTGAGTACACCGGGTAGCGGACGAATACACGTCTGTTTTCGCGCATGCGTCCCCAGTGTTCCCACTTTCGGTTATCGGTACCGTTACATTCATTCACCCGCCTATCGGTCCCACCACTACTACCACTTGGTGATCGTTACGACGCCGCCGATACGCATGGTACCTATACGACATACGTAGGGAACAAAATATCGATATTATTTTGTTTTAACAGCCTAACCGCGAACACGTTTTGTCATTTTTCTCGCACAAACGCTCTGTTTATTTTATTTTTTGTTAACAGTGTACCAATTATTTCCGTCGATATGTCTGACGAAAATACTTTACTACCGAAGAAAAACCCTAGTGGAAAAGTAACTAAATAATTTACAAAATGCATTTTCTGGTTGAAGTCAAGCTCTTTGGTCTGGAAAAAAACTAATTCGATATTTTTCGATCGTAAAATAGTACATACAATTTTCATAAGTATACGTTTTTAGAACAATATTTCCTAATTGAAATTAAAATTGCTAGTGTGATTTTTGACCCAAGAGCTAGACTTCAGTCAATTTTCTATTCACGTTATCATAAATATTACAATATTAATATACCTACATTTTAGATTCAAAACGTAGCGAGGAATCTCTTGGTTTTACTATGATGTGTGTGTGTGTGTACTTTTTTTCTATCTGTAAACTACTTTTTAAACAGAAATCTTGCTCCTTTATTGAAAGAAAATTTTATCTATACTATATTCAACAAGGGGCGGCGAACGAAAAAGCGTCTGTTTTCGCGCATGCGTTTCCAATCCCGGTTATCGGTACCGCCTTATCCACTCAACCGCTTATCAACCGGTCCTACCAGTTACCACTGCTACCACCAGTAGCTGTTATTTAGAAATTCGTTGGTACAAACCACCGGTGGGAAATTGAGAAATTTTTTTGGAGTAATCGGTGTTAAAATTAACGACACTGGTTTAATTTGTCTGCACCATCCCATGCATATCCTGCAAACTAACACCGGTTTCATCCCCTCTCATTTCCCCCTCGAAATAATAAACGAACAGATAAATGATAATAATAATAATTTAGTTGATAACAATATTGATACCTATTCAAATAAATTTTTATTGAGTACTTATTAGCGGGAAATGGAAAGTATAATATTCTAATAATTCAAATAATTGATTAATATTTAATTGATAATATTATATTGTTAATTTTAGACAATAGTGGGGATACACCGATTTCCATCGTCAAATAACTATACTGGTGTAAAATAATCAGTATCAAGGATTAGTAAACCGGTAAAAAATGTATCGGTATACCGGTTTGTAACGAATTTCTAGTACCTCACCGCCGCCGATACACATGGTATACGACATACGTAGCGAACAAAATACGATAACATTTTGTTTTAACGGCCTTACCGCGTACACGTAATTTTCTGCAAAAAACGCGGGTATGCGCGAGCTGGTGTACTCTTGGGAGTTGAATAGAGTATAGTCGATGCGTTTAACAGGTCATTTTTTAGTTCGTCTAGAGGTTTTCAAAATAATTGAGAAAAACTGGAAAGAAAATTATACGTAAAACGGCAAATATTTAGGGCGCGTAGCACCGATTTCATTGTTTATAATTTTTTCAAACTATGTTTTTTTATACTAAAAATATTACTGTAATCGACAAATGATAAGAGATTGATTTCATTCAATTACTATCTAGATACTGACAGAGGGATTCTTTATATATATATATATATATATATCTAAAGTAGTGTACATAATAATAGCCAATAAAGACGAAAAATACAATTTGTTCAAACCATAGCCCGACGATTTCATTATTTAAAAATTCTAAGATTGTATTTTTTCTTTGTCCAAATTTCAAGAATAGTATATTTTCTGAAAGAAAATTTAGTCTAGTTTATAAGTAAGAAAGTAGTTATTTGATTTTTCGTACGATATTCCTAATAATTATACGAAAAACCGGAGGAAAAACTAGGTATCTGTTAATAAAATTATATGACTTGAGAGAAATATTGTGACATTTAACATGAGGTACATCAAAAGTTATATTTAGTGGCCTAAAAAACAAATTTTGATGAAAATGGTATAAATTATGGCACTTCCAAATATGTTTTACCGAACTTCGCTTCGAATCATTTTTCGTTAGCAATGGTTTATCTTTGCGAACGGGTTATAGATTAAATAACTTTATGTATCCTGCCTTCCCAAGTTCAATAGTAGCTGCACCCATCTCCAGTATCAGCACTTTTTTTTAATTTTAATAATATTATACATACATTATTTTAGTTCGTATTTTCAAATTTTGTAGTTCTTTTTTTCTTTTTCAATTTTTTCATTTTTGTTTTAGATCATATCATCCAGTCAGAGACAAATGATTGTCAACTTATATAAAGCGAAGTTAGTTCAAATACCAGGAGCTACGATAAGAAAGTACAGACAAATTATATCCAAAGAACTCGGAATAGGTGAGAAGACAGTCTCGAATACTATAGCCGAATATAATAATACAAAAACAGTAACTTCACCAAGTAAAAAACGGATCAGGATTTCATTCAGAAATGTCTTCGACGAGTTTCATCGGAGTACGATACGTAGGCATGTACACTCCTTCTGGTTTAAAAGACAGCTTCCTACGGTCGATAAACTTTATAGAGTTGTTAGTAATGATAATACGTTGCCATCAATTTCACGAACAGATTTATTTAAACTTTTAAAGTCTATGAATTTCGATTACACTGAACGAAATCAAAATAATGCATTAATTGAGAAAGGCGATATAGTTCTGTGGCGTAGAAATTATTTGGAAGATTTGAAAAGTTATCGTGAGGAGGGACGCCATATTTATTATTTGGATGAGACATGGATCAACGCGGGCGAATGCACGAACAATACATGTGTCGACCAAACTTTTAAATCTAGCCGTGACGCATTCCTACAAGATATAACGACAGGTACCGAAAATCAATCAGGTAAACGTTTGATTGCTCTTCACATTGGGTCAGAAGACGGTTTCGTGCCAGATGGCTTATTGTGTTTTGAATCTAAAAAAAATGACTTTGATGATGAGATGAATGAAAATATATTTTATGAATGGATGGAGAGTATTTTACCACGTTTAAAAGAAAATTGCGTAATTGTTATGGACAATGCCTCTTATCACTCCGTTAAAGTTGAAAAAATACCTACATCTACTACACCGAAGAATGACATTATCAAGTGGGTAGAAGGTAAAGGCGAAGTTCTTGACCAACCTATGGTTATTCCAGAACTTTTGGAAATAGTGAAACGAATAAAACCGCTTTACGATAAATATATTATCGACGAACTTGCAAAAGAGTATGGACGCACAATACTCAGACTACCGCCTTATCATTGCGAACTCAACCCTATTGAGCAAGCATGGTCTTCCGTAAAAAATTACGTGGAACAGAACAACACCACGTACAAGTTAGCTGATGTCAAAGTGTTGTTAGAAGAAGGCATCAATCTTGTGAATTCGGAAATGTGGACGAATTTCATAAAACTCACTAAAAAAGAGGAAAGAAAATGTTGGAAAGTTGATTTCATTATTGATGACGTGTTAGAAATGTTAACCGCGGAAACAACACAAACAACTTTCAATATCAAAGAAGAACCTTCATCTGATACAATCTAGTTTTGAAAATGTTGCTTAGTTTTATAATATGTAACTGTGTATTATTGTAAACATTGATACCTACCTAATTTGAAAAAAAAATGTAAATATAACGTATTTTTTTTTAAATACCTGTAACTTTTTTGTAAGAAAATTTTTGAGAAAAAGAGATCTGTACAGACAACGAAAATATTCTCCTCTTTAAGTTTTAATATTTGTGTTTAAAACTTTCATTTCAACCTAATCACTACAATTTATAACGTAATTTGGAACTCGCGTCGTATGCTATTTATACGAACGTCAATCGCGTTTTGTTATCTACGTCCATTATCGGACGATGTACTCTAATGTAGTAGGTATATACGTATAAAATAGTTTTTATATAAATAAGACGGTTATATCCATAGAAACATAGTCGGTGATTTTCTAACAATTCGTATGTTCATATAATATGTCGAAATAATCAATTTTGAGTTTCGTGTACTTCAGAATTTGGTAGCAATATATTGTAGGTAATTACAAAAAAAAAAAAAACAATTTTTTTAATTTGTTTAATTTGACCGAAATATTTTTCAACTAATACTTACATTTCGTACATTTTCTCGTTTTTCCTCATTTTTTTTTCGGTTTTTCACATTTATTAAGAAAACTTCTGGGAAAATCGAAAAATGACCTCCTTAAATTACCATGGAGATAAAATTTTCCCTCAGAAAATAAACTACATTCGATACTTCGGAGCAAGATTTCTGGTAGAAAAGTTTACACAACTAATCGAGGGGTATTTGTTGATTAAAATAGTCAGGGCGAGCGATAGCTGGGTCTCATTTGTTTTTTTTCCCTGTTTAAGCAAAATGAAAAAAATAAATGCAAAAATTATTATTTTTCGAAACACGGGGTTTGTACTCGTGAATCCTAGGATGAAACTAGGTATGTATAACCATTCAGCTACGACAAACATACTATAGTGTTGACACTTGACAGTTTTTAGTTATTTAACAATAACATATAATATCCGCATAATACCAGAACTTCAAAAAGTTATAATTTCAAAACTAAGTCAATCTGCTCAATTCACCACCGTTCTTAAATCGGCAATATGCATATGTTAAAAAAAAGATTGCGATTGCGGTATATGTTTTCTATGGAGATAGCATACAACGCGAGTCCCGGTAATCTTCCTATGTCGGCCGTTAGTTTGACTGAAACAGTGTTATGTATTACGTGCAGGGCCAGACTAATGGATTTTCCACCAGTGGGTTTTTTTTTAACCACCCACTTAAATCTCGAATAAATTCTTCCATACCCCGCTCCAAAACAAAACAAAAAAAAACTAGGCCAATATAGAATAAAACACAAGTTTGAAAAAAATGAATTTAAAAAATAAAAACGCGTAGGTTGCGCCCACTAAGGTACAGCCTAGGCAGTCTGTTGGTTAATCGGGCTCTGATTACGTATAATATACTACGAGTATGAAGTATAGTACTACCAATTATTTCGCGGTAGACGTTATAGATACTCGCAGCATACACGGAGCCGACGGCGCGCGGCTGTACGAATGTACGACCGACAACGATTATTTCGGATCGATTAATTAGAGAGCCCGAGTAGGTCCGACTATTGTTCAGCGCTCAATGGCGTATGCGCGATCCGGTGAGTAAGTACTATTAAATTGAATGAAGTCAAGATGTCGATTTTGGATTCATGACGTGTAGGGAAGTGAAAAGTAGGTGTGTTTTAAAACGCCCGTTACCGTGTGCACGTTATCATTCAAATGGTATGTATCATATTATTATCATTTACTTTATTATCATTACCGATAGTTTATCATGTTTATATTTACTACGTTCGCCCGACGTGTTGTAATGATTAAAAGAACTAAATTTTTTTTAAATGTGCTTTTTCTTTTAGTTTTTGTATTACATCAAATACTATATAATGGTGACATTATCATACATTTATAGTGTTTGTTTGATTCGCCTCCATAAATTCTAATTGAATATCTGAATAATTAAATCTTTTGTGAATTTATATTTTTGACATAGTTTTAACAAATATCATATACCAATAATTTGAAAACAATATTTAATTATGTTGTTTGACATATTTCTGTGGTGCACGATTTTAGTTACAATTCTTTCACTTTACTTTACTTTTCGTTTAATATATATTGTTCTGCAAAGACTTCTTGGCAACCAATCGATTACAAAATCAAAAGGAACGATTCGGACCATTGTGGTCATTGGTTCCGGCGGACACACAGCTGAAATGTTGCGTTTGATTAATACAATGAACAAGTCAAAATTTACTCCACGTTTGTATATATTAGCTGATACAGATACGACAAGCCGTGTCCGTATACAGAGTATTGAACATGGTACAGATTGGTCCATAGCTAGTATACCAAGATCCAGATCAGTAAATCAGTCATATTTAACATCTGTTTTGTCGACTATTTGTTCAATTATTATGACTGTACCCGAGGTTTTATCATTCAAACCAGATATAGTGTTGTGCAATGGACCAGGCACCTGTATTCCAGTATGTTTTGTTGCTTTTATGATGACATTATTTTTACATACCAATATATCAATTATATTTGTAGAAAGTATCTGTCGGGTAAATACTTTATCACTAACTGGAAAAATATTGTATTTCATTGCTGATTTGATGATTGTCCAATGGCCCGAATTAAAACAAAAATATGGATCGAGAGTTAAATATCTTGATGAAGGGTTGTCTATATAATTTCTTGTTTTTAATTTACATAGAAACTTGACTACTTAATCATATTAAATATTGAACTGTGTACTGAGCTAACTATAAATAATATAAATATTTTAGTTTTATTGTGATAATGGTAATATTTAAGTACCTATATTCAAATATTAAGTAAATACAATTGTATTTCAAAGTGTTAAACCATATTTATATTTGAGGCAATTCGGTTAATGTATAAAATGTTTGAAGTGAAATGTAAAAGTTAAAAGGGTACACCGACAAGCAGTAAACTTGGTCTGTTTCTTTCAAAAATTAAATAGTCAACTAATAATTTAAAAGAATTAAGTTTCTCAAATGGTCAAGTATCAAGTAAAGTATACCAATTTATACATTAACATTTGCATAATATTGTTTACCTAAATTATTTATTATCTAACACCTTGTATGTATCTATAAACATAAATATGTAATATTATTCATCGCCAATACTAGACATCAAGGCACATTTAATAATTTTAAAAAAACAAACTGTGGTTAATAATATAAGTAGGTACTCACTTTTTACTTGCTTCATTTATTTTCATATTCTTTGTATTTCTATAATTTTTCTAAAATAAACAAAAAATTACAATTATAATCAATATGATAACTAATTAAATTATTTTGCTATAATTACTTATGAATTGCAATTTAATCAGATTAAAAAAATTATTTTTGTACAATATAAACCAATTTAAAATTTAAATATTTGTACAGAGTGAAACATATTGAAATAATATGTGAATACTAAAGAAGTACCAAAATTAAGTGAATAAAATAAAACATGATATCGAACAATATGTACAACAGTGGTTGCCATGTAGTGTGTATGTGTGTGTGTGTGTGCTTTAAAATATTAAGAGTCAAAACTACAATGAACTTTATGGGACGTATTTAGTCGCTATCCCAGTCGCTTAAAATGTGATCGTGATGACTAATGTTTATACATTTTTTTTGTTATATTATATATCACCTACAAACTATCAGAAGAATTAATCAAATGTGACAAAATAATGAATTATAATCAAAATTACCTATTAATCTAACTTGCTTCTAAATATGTTTACATTTTAGATGGTCACTTAAGATATAAACAAACCCAGGGTAATTAATTATTTAATCAAATTGTATTAAATAAAATATAGCAAATAGAGATAACAATATTTTTAAATTTATCATTACGATTTTAAGTTCTTGGTAGACCAACCGACCAAATAATGTGTTAATGATTATATAGTAAGTACATACAATTTACAAACACTTTGAAGAGATTTAAAATTTTTGAAATTTATTAAATTAATTAAGTTTAAAATTGACATCTATCTTATTATTTATAATATTAAAACCCTTGTATTGTGGATTCTTAACTGGAATTTTACTGGAGTAATAGGAATAATATTTTTGGAAACCATCACTATATAGCTATATTTAACTGCCCTCATTATCAAAAACGCCGTAAGTCACTAAATAAAGTTTTTGAAAAAAACGTATTTTTGTATTTTGCATTTTCTAAAATTCATAACACCTCATATTACTTCTTACAGTATGATAAAAATTAAAATCTGTAGATTAATACACTAAGACGATGGATAGACTAGACCCCATATCGGTCGATTATTTTTTGGACATCTGCCAAATTATTCGATCATTTAGTGAACAAAATTCGACCGACAGAAATGGTCAGACTACATCCGGATTTCAGTGGAATTTTCCAAAATTATAAAGTATACACACATGTTACCTATACAACAAAATATTTTGTTTTCATCCGGCATCTACCGTGTACGACCGAATTTATCGAATGTGATATGACTAGTACAATTTAATTTCATACTTTTATTTTAGAAATCAATAATTGATGATTCATCAATAAAATATACGAAATCAAAGTATATTTTGCCTGACATCATAATTATACGGCATTTTTATCTAGTTAAAATATATTTTCGACCATTTACTGTGTTATGTCAAAACAAATCCCAACAAAAACCATCAGTGAACTACGTGTAAAACCTCGCTAAAGAAAAAAAACTCAAGTTAGAAAAGTTATTATATCAAAAAAGGGCTGAGTAATTTATTAAATTCATTAGTATAGAAATTGTTTGTAATTGTTTATATTTGATGAAATGCAATAATTTAACTTAGTTTGACGGCTACTAATATTTACATTCCCATTTTATAATTTATTAATATTACCATAATACAATTTAAGTATATACTGTGAGTAGCCGCCTAGCTAAGTTAAATTATATGTAAACAATTATCGCACTTCATCAAATACAAACAATTTCTATACTAATCAATTTAAGAAATTACTTAGCCCTTTTTTGATATCACAACTTTTTTTACTCGAGTTGTTTTTTCTTTAGCGAGGTTTTTACACATAGTTGACGGAGGGTTTTTGTTGGGATATCACTTATTTTTTATTAAAATTTTGGACATAGTTAACTTGTTTTTTTTTTTCGAATGGAAAATTATGAGGAAAAAATTTCTTTTGTTATTTATGGATTAAGTAAATTAATATATTATGATGTATAGCTATGAATATAGCTTATTTTGAATGTTGCTGGAAAATGGTACCTTAGGAATACAGCGATAAAATAAATAAACAAAATTGTTTTTTATTCATCGCAAACGGCTATCGTCGAAAAAAAACAGCGGTTCGTGTAAAAACAATACTAATACTTTTGCATATTACTCAGGCTGTAATCATTCGATCAACTTTGAATTTACAAAAGTTTCATCTACTAAACATACTGATCAACCCGTGCAAATTAAAAAACAATCAGTTCATTGGTTTAGGCTACAGAGAGGTCGGAGTCCGACCGTCGGACTATTTGTCGTAAAATTACACGGGTTAAATAAGAGTTAGCCGTCTCGTGTAATACTACGATCGACGCACGAGCTCTTTTTTTTTTTTTTTTATTTAGCTCTGCGCCAAGACCGCGGCGCTGGATATTGCTAATAGTCTCTTTGTAGGATAGGTAGTATATCAGACATACGGATTATTCATCTAAAGGGTCTAAGTTTTATGATTTGTTTGATGAATATAACAAATTTTTCAATTTGTTTGGACATACGGCGTTATTGCTTAAGGCAGTATAAGTATCTGATATGTATAATATACATATCAAATAACATACATTGTATATATACACTTATATTAATACATTGCAAAAAAAAAAAGAATAAGAGATCTACCTATCTTTTTATAAATTTACATACTCGAATTACAGAAATCGTTCGTGAAATTTAATGAGTACTAAGCGTCTAACTGAGGTTTTAGGTAAATAGATATAACATTGAATATAGTGTGTACCGTGTACAATTATAAGGTAAATTAGGCAACGGTTTAATAAAAAATATTAGGTATACTAACATCGAATGAACTCCTTCCAGTAGAAAGAATAGCGTGCGGGGAGAAAAATCCCTTATTAAACGGTATTCTAAAAAATAAAATATTTGTATAGGTAACTAGGTAGACAATAATAGACAATAATAATACTACAATCGATAAGTTAATGAATTGTTTTCAAAATAGAAACACCTAATGTACCTACCTATCATCCAATTTCCGTTTGAATGGAGTGCCTAACAACGGACCTATTTGAGAACTTGAAAATCGTTTGAAATCTGAAAAGTTACAGAAAAAAAAAACGAATGAATACAAATTTAAAGATTCGAATACTTATTCGTAGCATAAATACTTGACTGTCGTAAAGGCGGTAAGGTGTTTGGTCTCACTTGGTTGATAGTTGGTTTGTGATAAAAATAATTACCGGAGTCTCGAAATTCGGTCTAAGAATATAAAATGACAAAAAACAGACAACTTTGTTAAGGATATGTTGATTTATAATTGTATATATATATGTATAGGTACCTACCTATAAATAATAAATAAAATATAGGTAGGTACTTAAACATAATATTATTATTTAATCGCAAATATTGGGGGTTATTCACCCTCGGTCAAAACCGTTTTATAGATTTCCTGTCAAACACCATTACGCGCTTGGTCACTATAATAATAGCCATAATTTCCCATTAACCTAAAATTGTACAATTCTTTATCTGTTTAAAAACTGACTTTACTATATTGATCCGTAATGACCTGAAATAATTTACGTGGCACCTAACTACATTCTGTATCATCGCTACATTGTTTTATAATACCTATCTAAGCATTATTATGATACGAGTACGGTTAATATTATGTAATCGTAAGTCGTATTATTATTAAGTAAAGGATAAACAACTAGGTGCTTCATATAAAGAATATTAATTTGACCCATTTTTGTTATTTATATTTTCATTGCTGCTGTTACTCTTACTTCTACTGTTATAGGTAGGTACGTCAAAAGTAAACACCGGTAGGTAACACGCAAAAATGTTAATTTTTAACCCCTTAATGTAGGACGTCATTTGTATTTCGTGACTAATGTTTTGATTTCGACCTATTTAACGGTAGGTACCTGCAACGTCTAAAACCATATCACGCCACGAGTCGGAAAAACTCTCGGACGTTATCAAGACCTAAATCTAAAATACTTTTATACTATATAGTTTATACTACGTAACTACCTATATAAGTACATGATCGATTTATCTGAATAGATACACGAGAATAACGTAGTAATTAATTTTTGTATACATTTCTTAATAACAAATTAAATTGATTATAAATATGAGGCAAAACTATAAGATTAGACTGTGTAAGAGTAGTTTACGAATGAATTTACACGGAAGGAGTCATAGAAAAGTCGGAAAGACTAAAAAGGAGAAGGTTAAAAACGTTTGCGAGTGGTTTACTGATATAAAAACTAACATCAGAGGTGTCTGTAGATAATGTGAGAGAGTGAATCAAATGGAAAGATGACAGTTATTAATAATACTCGCTGTTAGTACCAAAGTGGCTGATCCCAAATAGATGGAAGGAGTATAAGAGAACACGAAGCTATAAATAGATAAATAGTAGGTATTATATTATAGTAGTTTGAGAACAACTCACATAATTGGTAATGATATATAAGTACGGATGCATCTACACCCCTGGACTTCAAAATTGTAATTATAATTTTAATAATTAATATTATTGTACTTTAAATACTTATTGGTGTTTGATTTTATTATGTCCATTGCTCGAGCTTATCTAAATTTTTTAAACCTACTATACAATATACTTATGCTTCTTATTTCACATAAACGTATATTTATGGAAAATGAACATTCAAATCTATAAAGTAATGTACCTAACAAATCTTGTACACATATAATTATTTATGTATAAATGCATATTTCACGTATTTTCACGTATTCTCGTGAATACGTGGATAACACTAAAACAAATGAACAAAGAAAGTAAATTTGCATGTATTCAGTATACGTGAGTGTACAGGAACTCCGTGTTAACGTCCGTATAAATTTACATTTTCAAACAAGACTTATAAATTATATATATTAATTAGGTATAGGTAGGTACGATTATTATAAAAGCAGCTAACACAATTTCAAACGACTTTTATTTTAATTCCCATAGACATGCGCAAGATCTAATTCAGGTCAACACATCTTAAAATTATTTAGAATCACTTAAAACGTTGTAAAATTTTATGTTCAAGATTTGGGAATTATGCCATTTAAAGGGTCATAGGTTTTTAAGCCACCACGATATTTTATTGCCTCTAAGTGACCTTAGATTAGTGATATTGGTCAATTTTGTTATTCAAGCTTATAATAGATCTACAATATTCAATAAAAAATACCGATGATTAATAAATAACAGTGAACACATTACAAGAAGCATAAATCTAAAACCTAAAAACTTAAAATATTAGCTATAATTAATGAATCTGATCATAAAATCATAAATTCAACTATAGGATGTAAATAATAATTTTTTATTGAAATTCAAATATAATAGTTATGGTATGAATTGCTATAAAATTAATTATCATATTAATAGGCATTAATTATGGCACATGCCTGTACTATCATTATATGTCCATGTACTATAGGTATCTATCTAAAGGTGTAATAGTAGGTATAAAAATAAAATAAAATAATAACTATGCCACATGATTTATATTATTTAAAAATGTAATAATGTATAAATAATAAAGTATGTAACTAGGTACTCACTTGTCGTGAAAGTGGTAATTTCGTTGATTTTTTATTCACATCATCTTTAGGGTGTTTTGGTGCGTTTAATGCAGGCTTCACTGGGATAGGAATTGCAGTGCGTTTGATTATTATTGCCTCAGGATCATCTGAAATGTCAGGGCTCCGAAATTTAATTAATTCCCCGCCAAACGTTACTCTTTTGGGCGTTTTTGGTGTTTCTACGTCGTCTTCGTCGTCATAAGAAGACATAGAAGAATCTCGACCAGACGAAGAGGATATTCGATAAACTTCACATAACACTTCGAAGTCCTATAATAAAAATTTAAATATGAAATGTGATTTTATATACCTATGTCCTATATATTGTATAGTTATTTAGGTAATAACCTAATTAATATTATGATGTATGGTATAGCCAAAACATAATTACCTAAATCTATCATAAGATATACTCATATATATATATATATATGAGTAAGTAAGTAGACATTTTTAATCTATGATTTTCTATGTCTAAATAATCGCATCAAACTATATTTACACACAATTAATAACCAAGTATGCAGTGAAATATTTATATATGTATATAATATATATATATTGTACTTACCTATTAGGCGCGTGATAAAAGTACTTCCTTGAACCATTTTTTTAAAAGTGTTAAAACTAATAATCAGTGGCATGGCGAAGTGAAATATTTTATAAGGGCAATTCATTTTTTTTTAATGACCTACCACTACCCCTCGACTCTTAGGCATTGATCATTATCATGATAATGATGGCTTTTCCTAGAATACTTATTATTAATTTGATTATTCTTATTTAATATCATATGACATATTCTGATGAAGTTAATCTTGTACTACAATTTCTCCACAGACTCCAGTACTCAACCACCAGGCACCCAACCACCCACCACTTAAAATTATCGGGCAATTGCCCCTCAAAATCACGGCCAACACGCCACTGCTAATAATATTATTGTGTACAGCATAATATGTACATACTACCTTATACCTAATATATACTGTAATACTCGTATATGTGCAGTCAAAAAAAATCGTTCAATCATTCGACTTACCTTTTTAATAATTGGATGAAATGTTTCAAGATAGTGGTCAAATTTATTTCTTCCGACAATTTCTTTTACTCTGTCCAAACAGTAAACGGCAGCTTGTTGAAATGTTGCTTGCACCATTTTGTTGGATAACGCAGTTACGAGGTGCACAAACGTAGGAATTGCAATCTAGAAATATAAGAAATAGTAATATTAAATTATAATAAATAATTAACAAACAACAAGTGGTATAATACCTAATATATACTCGTATAAATATACTTTACAATTTACATAGGTGGTTTAAAAGTAAGTCAATACAAATGGAAATTCGATTGTTATGACAAATGTTAATTATTTATGTAAACAGAAATTTCAAAAATAATGTTTACATAGGTATCTAAGGTAGTATACTTATTATAAAGCGGGTGTAGCGAAAAAAAACGAAAAAATATAGTTAAATTAAGATATGACATGGGCATTGGGCATGTTGGTTCAATATTAACGGTTTTCAGAGGATGGTACGGGGTAGACTACGTAGTAGTAAACAGAAAGTAAATAAATAAATATTTTTAATTGTGTTTGAAACAGTAACGTTAATAGCTAAGAATAAATAAATTAAAAACAATATTACTTTTAATAATATTATTCTTTACAATGTAAGACGCCAATTTGATTAATAAATAAAAAATAATTAGCTATATTGTAGTATTTTACTGCCTTATTATTTGAAAGAAATGTATTGCAATTTTAGATAGTTCTATTTTTAGTCAAAAGTGGTGCGCAACAGATTAATAATACACATGCGTGGTGCGCGAAAAAAAAAATTTAAGGACCGCGGATCTGCATTATAGATTCTGTAAGGAGAAACGATTAGAAATAGTCGAAGAGTTGTAGGTGTTGGTGAAGGGGAGATTCCCGGTTATAACCGGGAAAGAGGCAAGTCAAAGAAAAAGTGGCTGGACTACTAGAGTCTGGATGTTATCAGATGAGATATAAAGGAATGTAGAATAAATGGGAAAAATGCCGTTTAATATGGGAGTTGTGGAGAACGAGAATAAGCATAAGTGACCGGGTCATTTATGCAGGAAGTATAATGTACTGGATAGAGGCTATGAGAAAGAAAAAGCATGTACCTTCGTTCTTCTTGCAAGAGGAAAGTATATAATATTATAATGATTAAGAATACATTTTTAAAACAAATTTGAATGGCTAAAAAGCATCACATTTTTTCAGATTTTTATTTTTGGTTTTACTCACTGGTCGTTCTCCATTCCTCTTCACGATTTGTTGGAGTACCACGGGAACACATTCCATAACGTTCACTGTAAGACTTGACTTGGCGCCGGGTACGTCCAAACCCAAAACTATCATGGACTTCAAGATGTATTCGGGATCCGATGAGTGTTGCACGTAAACCAATATTGCGTCCATGGAGCTGCTTCTGAGCGCCGGAGAAAAATGTGCAAGGTTAGTGATGACCGTGGGCAGTATCGTAGGGGACATCAGAGCGTCAAGCTGAGAACCGATGGCCGGTACGATATAAGCTAACACTCGGGAACCGTGGAGTCTTACCTGCCCATCAAAATGCATTAAAAATATTAAAATATACAATTTATTATTTGTACAGGTATACTTAACGCCGCCGTTAAATTAAATTAAATTGTTCAGCGGTGAAAATATGTTTACGTAGTAAAACGAGCAAAATTAAATTTTTTTTTTTTAAATTTTAAAGATAAAATCCTCTTCTTCTCCTTCACATTCATCCCTACTATTTGGGATCGAACACCTTTAGTACATCTTAGTACAATGAATACATTCATCGCTCCTTTCCGTTTTTATTCCTTGAAAATCTTGTATTGTAAAAGTGATAAACAATTAATTATTTTTAGAAGTAAAAATGTTTGTATAGTCTATTTTCGGTGGGGAAGCGAGGCCTTTGGATCCGCCCGCCACTATGAAAGTATCTCCTTCACCTGTATCCTCACGCACATCTGAAATCGCATATCACACATATATTAAACAGACTTTTTGTAGATGTATTTCTGTATTCGTGATTTATCGACCTGTATATTATACTGAATGTACTGGTACCTAATGCAACAAATGCGCGTGAGGTTTTTTCGTATATATTATATTTTGACCTCTAGGTACCAGTTATTTCATTAATATAATTCCATTAATTATTACTTTATATTTAGGTGTTTGTCACTAAAAGGAGAAAATATTTTTCTATTCTCGAACAAATTTTACGATAACGTAATGGGAAATTTCCTAGTTCTACGAATAATTATCATCAATTGTTTTCAAAAAAAATTTCGTTAAAACGGTGATGGCTATAATATATACACCGCGGAAACGCGCGACCGACCTGCCATTCGGGATGCTGCAGTCTGACGGCCAGCTCGGCAAACACGTCTTGCCGGTCGACGTCAGCCGGGAACCGGTTCTTTTTGATCACGTACTGCCAGACGGGCGTCAGTTCCAGGTGACAGTGGCCAGAACGGAACTTTTCCGGCGTAGATACCGGGCCGGGAGTGAGCCCGACGTCCGGGCGAAGGAGCGTGGCGGTTTGCATGCGGAACGCCGGCCGTGTCGGTGTTCACACTGCGACGATGGCCCGCGTACAAAAACGGGCGCCGCTGCCTACGACCCCGCGCGCGCGTGTAAGTACGGCGCGTGGGTATATAATGTTGAAGGTAGGTACCTACGTACACACGTATACGTATTGGTACGTACGCAGTTTTCGGCGGCCAAGAGCAAGCGCCTTGTGTTGTATCCCCGGACGTTCGCTTAGCAACAACCGCGGCACGGAGCCGAATAAATCACGCGTACCCACTCTATGTTATATTATATACATAAAACACAACAGCGCTTAGACGGGTGGATACTACCCGCAGACGTCTTATTATGTAATACCTATTAATGCCTTATAATCAGTGATTAAAGTGGGAGTGACGGATTCCCCCTCCCGCCCCCCCTTTTTTTTTACAAGTAATATTGTTAATTTTTAATCACAAATACAAACAGTTAAACATTTACAATTAAAGTCTTATCTTATATAGTCTTATATAGTTAACCTAAAAGTATTTTTTTGGGTAAAAGACAAGTTTCACGCAGTTATCCTAAGGTAAAATCATCCGTCCCCTTTAATTTGATTAGTTTAAGTTAAGTTTAGTTAAGTTTTCGAAATCGACCAGGGGGACACTTTATACAGGATGATTTTTTTTATCATGAACCAACAATTATCTCAGAGGATTTTAAGTGAATTTGATTTCTGTTCTTTCTAATCTTTATAGAATCGTTTAAAGCTTTATTTTAAAACCACTTTTAATTTTTTATCCCTACTCCATGTATCTTAAATAAGTGCATACTTTTGATTTTCTAATAGGACCCCCCCCTTTTGAATACAGATTTAAATAGAAAATATTTTTCTATAGATAGGCAATTGATTACTCTTCTCTACTCCTCCGGTCTAAACTTTAAACTGTTATAACTCATAAACGGTAAATCTAATATTAGTATTATGCATATTAAAATTTCCAGAAAAATATTCTTTATCAAAATTTGAACTTGAACATAGATATACATATATATGTATATATTTTGATATCGTTGATAAAAATACCCAAAAAATAATAAATAACACGGTTATAAATACTATATTATTTTATTTTATTGCCTATAGCCTATAACCGTGATTGAAAAATCACAGTCAAAAATTACCAAGGAGGGGAAGATCCACCCATCATCCCTCATCAAATATGCTACTGCACAGGAGGATTAATTTTCCTCAAGGCAATAAAGATAATTATCTCGGAAAGCAAACAGGTACCTATATTATAAATATTTAAGTTTTTTCATAATTTTCTATTAGATAAATTAAATAAGATACATACACGCGCGTAGGTACTCCTAAAATATTCCATTGTCCTTATACTTTTGTTTTTGAGGGGGAAATCTGTATATTATCCTACTATTAGGGTAGGGATGGTATGATATTAGTATAGGATAGTAAAAATTTCACATTTTCAGTATAATATATACATCGAAGGTATACACTAACTTTTAATTTATCGTCACTATAAAACCGAAAAAATATAATTATTTTATTGTACCTATAGTCTATCCCAAAAAAGAGCAGACCGGTAGTCAAATGTAGATTTTTAAAGCGGAAATCCCGCTTAACCTAATAATATAGTGATGGGCACTATCGAATAGTTTCAATGAACTATCGAATATTTTTTCCTGTGACCGAATACTTTTGTTTGGGAAAACTATTCGAATATACCGAATATCCTAATAAAACCGGTATGTTGAATAGCAACCATTTGAATAGATAATATAAACCTATCGTTGAACAAAGGTTGTATTCTTGTATTCATTGCACATAGTTTTTCCTCAAAATCCTCATAGCGATATCCATATAGCACATGCATAGGTATGTCAATGGAGGTCAAATGTAGTGTTGTAAACGAGTATACGAGCATATACCTAGTCTTATTTTGGTTGACGTCTATGTATATAATGTTCATTAAGCATATTATGATATTGTGAAACCGGGATAAGATCCTGGCAATTTCAACACGTACTCAACTAGAACATCAAATGAACTAATTCCATTTCGCTAGGTCGCCGGAAACGGGCACCCGATCATTGGTCGTCGGCCATAGCCCGGCAGTCAGTCTATAAGCGAACAAGCTACACACGGCTCCTCTAGTTCACGCCAGAATCCCAATTCCAGTGTTTCGACACTGGATCAGTTTCATTACACTTACATATCTATATTCTTGTTGGTATTTTGTGTTACCGTTAAGTTATTCAATTGTAAACTATTTTATTAATTCATGTAATAAATCGTTAAGGACAATTTTAAACCAATCGATTTTCATGTTTCTTACTTCTAACAAGCCTTTTCCCTGTGGTATAAACGCACATTTTACGAGAAGCGCGTATTTACATCAGTAGCTTAGATATACATTTAGATAGGTAATCATATCTAATAGTTACTTTTGTTTTCCTTGACAACAAACTTAAATTGAAAGATGTTTTTAGCTCATAAATACATAAGTTAGCAGAACCCAATCTGATTCGATTTTACCATGCACGTTTTGGCTATTCTTAGGTTAGGACCAGTATGCATGCACTTTTGTACTTACTCAAATATATTATCTTTCACACATAGCCACGTAGGTTACCTCTATTATGTTCACTTCTTAGTAGACTTGAAATTTTGAAAAAAAAAACTTATATTTCTTTTTATATGACATAGCAAAATTTTCAAAACATTTGAGCCATTTTTGAGCTTTATATAGTTCAAATACAATATACAATGTACAAAATACAATGTAATTTATACATTTTGATTTTACGAGTTTTTTTTACATAATTTTTATTTGGTATACGTACTCTGTGGAAAAAAATTGTTAGACTAAACAGAAATGTTTGGAAATTTGACAGATTTATTATAATTCATACTCAGTGATCGGTCAAAAATAAAAATCAAGTGTAATATCTATCAATATACAAAGAGTATTGCTTTTTTTTTTTTTTTTTTTTTAAGAGTTTTAAAAACATTTTGACGAAAATCACAAATATTACAGCTTTTCAAACCACGTACCACCAAGCTTCAACCCGAATCGTTTTTCATTAGTAATAATTTATTGTTACTTACAGGTATATATAAATTAAATAACTTTATATATCCTACCTTTCCAACTTCTCACCAACAAAAGTGGCACCCTCTTTCTTGGTATCAGCTCTTTTTTTTTTAAATTATATTTTTATGACTAGTTTATTTTACTATACTGACAAATTAATTAATATTTAACTGTACATAATATTACCATAGATAACTAAAAATAAATATTTTATTTGTTATCCTGATTAACAAGTATGTTTATTATTCAGGATTTATCACCCTGTAATTCTAGACATAAACCCCTGCCACAGTAGTTACCTTACACATACCTAGGTATACTGCGAGTGTAAATATTATCATTATAATGGCTATACTTCAATATAGTCTTTAATAAATGGAACAAATACATAAATTTACCTACAATATACATATATTACATACACATTATACCCAACTACATCCCACATATAATAACTTTAAATTTAAAGTCATTACGAAAAGTTTATTTATATAATGCCTAGAAATTGGTTTGATTTTGTTTGCAAATTAACATAGTATGTTATTTTATATTGTGTTAACATAACACCGTAGAAATTTAACTATAATGGAATTCAGTTTAATATTATGTTGTTTTGCAGTAGACTATTATATACATATATTTGGTAATTAAACTAGATTTTAATTGAGTAGAAATGTATACTGTATAGGTATATATTTATTTTTAACATTTTTATAAATAAACAAATTTAATTATAAAACATTAACATTATAAAATATTCAATATTATATTTTTGATCTCTTTCTTCTTTTTTTAAAAATATTTTATTATTATAACTACAATAAAAAAATAAATTAAAATTATCAGACTACATGTCTTTGGTAACAAACATAAAATATATTATAACCATTGATTCAATGGTATGATTATAAAATAAATATTATAAAAATTGAATACATTTTTAATCATTTGTATGTCGACTTACAAATAGAAAATAATAATTAATAAGTAATATGATAGATACATCTATTATAAATACCACGCTTTTTGAATAATTTTTGATATAGCTTATAATATTGAAAAACATTATAGAAATATAAAATATAAATTCAATTTTTTTATCGACAAATATATAAATTTAAATTAATTTTAAATATTAGTTAGATGTTTACTATGATTTAATGGAGGTGCAGTTTTTTTAATAGGATTATTAGCATAAATTATCACAGAACATGAAACAATAAATACAGCTGACAAAGTTTGTAAAGTTATTGGGTATCCAAAAAGTACCCATGACAATACAGCAATAAATACCAATTCAATTGCTGTTGCAAAAACTTTCATAATTGAATTTAAACTATGTATTAATAAACTAGTTACAATACCATAAATAGCGCTGTTCAGAACCAATAACAAAACCTAAACAAATAATTAATTAGTAGTAAATTAATTTTAAAAAAGTATATTACATAAATTGGAGCTGATTTAGTTGATGCCCACCCCAAAAATTAATTGGCCACTCATTTTTCTAATACTTATATTATAAAAACAGAATATATAGCTGATAAACAAGTCTAAAATATAATGATGTTTATATCATATATCATTACCATAAGTATTTTACCAAATATTATTTAAATAACCAATAAGTGAATTCACCACATAAGTGGCTGCAGCAAGTAATACATATGATATATCTAGTAATAAGACTGGAATTTACTTATTAGTTTATAGGTATGTACTTTTTGTATCTGATATACCATATGAAACGGACAAATATTAAAGAAAATTCATGGAGGGTATCATCTAAGACGAATGACAAGTGAATATTTTCTGGGCAGCTGTCAACTAAACCAGTACCCAAAAATTATTTTACATACCATTTTATTTTTAAAAAGGTCAATATCAGATGTATAATGGTCATTTTCATATTTAACTGTTATCCATAACACGAAATTACAAAGTATTGAATCAAAATACATGTACATATTTTGTATATAAATATTTATCTTTATACCCTGACCTTCTTTAAGTAAGTATTCATTGTAAACACCAGCTAAACAAGAAGAAAGTATTTGAATAAACATGAGCAAAAGACTAGTCAGATAACCATTAGACAGCGGACGGATGCCATCTTCTGTTTTTAACTCTTTTATCATACAACCAATTGTCAGAAGAATTAAAGACAGCCATTGTATTTTGCTGAGATCCTTTTTAAATAAACACTGATATACAATGCCAGTAAGTATGACTCGCAGCTGAAGAAAAATAAAATATGTAGTTGGATCAAACGCTGATAAATTCACAAATGCCAAATTATTATATACACAGTATAAAATTGATGGCACCAAGTAGAGAAAAATAACTAATAATAAAAAAACATATTATTAATACAATATAATTTAAAAAATTGGATTCTGTAATAATTTACCTGTATAATTTTTTCTAGTCTGATCAATAATACTGTTTAAAGGATTACTGTAAAAACAAATAATGAATTCATAAATGCATAATAGGTACTAATATTTGTTTTGTGTAGTTAGCTATAACATTATTTTAATCACAAATATTAAATATTTATTGGTTTGATGTAGTTAAATACACATTATTTGTACAATTTCATATGATCACCATTCATTATTTAATAAAAATGCATATTTCTTGCATACAAATTGTGATTTTTGTAAGTTAAAAAAATATAGTTAAAACAAATTTTGTGAATCAAAACATAAAAATTATTTATACATGTTTTTTAAAATATTCATATTTACAAATATTGTATTTCAAAATATACAATAGCGAAATAATATACGAATTATAATTAGTATAAATATAAAATAATTTTAACAAATTTTAATATATATATATATCAGGAACCTATTTACCATTTAATATAACATATATATTTTTTGAAGTAAATTTTTTACTTACTCTTTGAGATATAAAATTAAACTTATAAACAGTTTCATAAATTCGGTCATAAGAATTACCGAAACAATATTATAGGTATAAATTCCTTTATCTTGAGATAATTTTACCAACAACCCTATGAAAAAAAATTTTAGTTATTAATTTGTACAATTTTTTAAGTCACAAAGTTATGAATTGAACTAGTTAATTATTTTTAAAGTATTAATTTACCGTGATTCATTGAAAATCCTATGTACAAAACAAATACGATGAACGATTTTTTGGTTGGGAACAAATCCACCCAGTCGAAGGACTTCCACATGACTAAAATTGTTAGTCTAGACCATTTCAAACAAAAATATTATTACCTAAAACTAATTAAATTATACAAACAAAACAAAAAAGTAATTCGGAAATTACATTTTTTCTTTTTGAATTATCTACAGCGGATCCTGATAAACGAAACGGCCACTCATAAAATGTTATTATCTGATAACACAGGAAATATCGTTGACAATTATATTTCACAACACGTTTATGAAACGAACTATCATCAATTACTGTATACATTATAAAATATTTGTATAAATTACAATATGTGTTATGTCTATGATAATTGACAATTACCCACCGACCACCACCAACAATTGAACAATCCGACAATCAACAATTAGTATACTGATCTGTGAATCCGACCACGGCGACACGGCAACAATTAATAACAGTTAATAACTACGGCGTCGCAGAATTATTATTATTAAGCTTCGTTCACACCATAAATAAGTATAATATAGTAAATAATATAATATTCACACGAATACACGATGACGCCGATGCGGTAATATTAATGAATTAGTGGCTTGGTGCCAATGCATCACATGGACAAAGACATAAAGGTGACATGAGTAGACGACACAGTAACAGTTAAATAAGCACTGCTATTACTAAATAGCGTGGGCATCATAGACCTAATTAATTACTTTTAGGTTATATGGTTAGCATACTGCTAATTTTTTTCTACATATTTTGGGTCCATTTAAAAACTTGGATGGTACAAACCCGAAATATAAAATTTTGAAATTCGTAAAAATCCGGACGACATAAATTTAGAATTAGATATTTAAAATAACTCCAGTACAACTTATAAAGAACCATGTGTTAAATGTTCAAGTATTTCTCCTTCATACAATTTTATATTCCAGATTTGTACGGTCCAGTTTTGTACGATTTCAAAATTGTATATTCAAAATTTGTACCGTTCAAGTTTATACATTTCAGGTTATTACACGCTCCTCATATTTTTCGTCATATAGCTGTGACAACATATTATTGCTAGACTGTTATAAACTGCCTAACTGTTTATGCCTTATCAGTAAATCGTGTTATTTTAAGATTAAACCTAATTATATTTTAATTTTAATATTTAGAAAATTGTTAAGAAATATGAAACGCGTAGTTTAAACCGTATCCCGTGAACACTAGCAAGAAATTCGTGAGTACAAACCTATGTAAATTTCTCCTTGAAAATCAAACGGTGTGAATTTTAAAAATTGTTTGGAGTAACCGGTGTTAAAATTAACGACACCGGTTTCATCCTCTCTCATTTCCCCCTCGAAAAAATAAACGAACAGATAAATGATAATAATAACAATTTAATTGATAACAATTAGCATTCAAATTAATTTGGGACCATTTGAATGACCGTATTAACATATTGAAGGTAATTAATTTGTAATAATAGCGTCTTATTAAAAAATAAGACGCTAAATCGTACAAACGAATGACGTTGTAAATTTAGGTTCACGTGAGTTAACTATGTGCTGTTAGTTGTAATATTAATGTATTTATAATAAATGGGTTAGTTGACATTTTTTTTAAGTACTTACTAGTTACTACTTATGTATTAATAAGTGGGAAATGGGAGGTATAGGTATTAATTTAAATAATTGATTAATATTTGATTGATAGTATTATTGTTTTTAATTTTGAACAATAGTGGGGATACACCGATTTCCACCGTCGAATATAATGTAAAATAATCAGTAACAAGTGTTAGTAAACCGGTACAAAATGTTAACAACGAATTTCTCATATAGACGGGCTCACGAATAGTAAGCTCAGACTACAGCGATTCCAGTGGACATTTTACATAAATGACTACCAAAACAATTTGAGGAGTTTTTTTAAATTTTTGATGTACATATTTTATTATATCAAGATTCAATATTAAAATATATTACATTTTTATGAATAATTAAGAAAAATTACATGAACTATTTTAGATACATAAACAAGCCCAACTGCGGTTACAAAAGCAGAACTATAAATACTATATATATATAAAAAAAATAGCTATGATTATCTGTTAATAATAGAGTACAGAGGAGAGAGATGGGGTCACTTAGGGCAGATTTGAATATGGAATGAAAATTACATTTTATTTTTGATAAACATTATATTTTATAATTATAGCCTGTAATCTGGAGATTTGCAAATATTATAATATGATCATTAAAACTCCAATACATGCAATCATTTTTAAAAATTTCTCATTTGTTGAACTTATTTTTATTTAAATGTACCCCATATATTATACCTTATATACACTTTAACGAGCTGAACGTGCAGGGGTAGATTTGAATCTGCGTTTGTGATGTGTGTATCACAAATAAATGGACACATTTAAATATTTTTAATATAAATTAATATTAAACCAAATAAAATTATATATTCAAATTATCAAAAAAACTCAGTACAATAAAGAAACAATACAGGAACATTGTTTAAATTTTGTAGTAAATGTATGCTTTATAATTCAAATCTACCTCAAGCCAAAATTATCAATAAAAAGTGTTATATAAATTGTAATAATTATAAAGTACATATTTATTATTAGTATATATGTATATAAATAAGTATATAAACTTATACTTGTACAGTAAACCATACTACTAGGCAACATAATTTAGTATTAATATACTCCTCTAAATGTATAGAATAATTATTTATTTACGTTTACTTACAATTTTTGATCATTATTTCTAAAAATGAAGAAAGTGCAAACCTAAATAAATACATATTTAAACAGGATGGTTACAGGTTAAAATTTATACTTTTTCGTACTGTATACAAGTATATTTTTTTTTTTTAATTTTATACTATATAATATAAATTTATATCAGTATACCTCTTATGTTACTACTTGGTACTTATCATTGATTTTAAAAATGTTACAAATACTTCAACGGTAATGTTGTAAACATAATATTATTTATAATTCAATCTACAGTCTTTGCAGTAATCAGTAACTTTAGTCTTCAGTAGCATATAATAACATGACTCCATCAATAAATAATTAAATTTCAAGTTCTTCATTTGATGATGATTTTGGATCATTATACATTGAAGAATTAAACTTTTGAATCATCAGACCTAACAGCTCGGTGGGCTCAATCAAATTCCTTATAACATATTTTTCTAGACTGTATAAAAAAAAAGTACATTATAAATTCAGAATTAATAAAAATATTATTCAATAAAATTACATACATAAAGATGAAGGCATAATCTTAAAATCTCTTCTACTGTTGACATCTATATACGATTTCTCGCCTTTGTCTTAACAGCATTTATAATACTAAAGACTTTTTACTTAAGCTTTAATCAATGGTAATGAAAAAATTTAAAAAAAAATTCTGCTATATCAATAAAACATTTTTCTCCTTCACTGTTTTTATGTTTGAAAGATCAACCAAAAATTTGGATGTGTCTTTTGCCTTAATTGGAATTGAAGTACTACTATTTAAACACTATTAATAGTAAATATCCTTTAAATAATATAAGCAAAACTCACCTATTAAAATGAAATGTAAGAAAAATATAAATAATCCTTTAATTAAAATAAATACCTTACCTATACCAAATAATATGAATTAAAAACAAATAAAACATAATATATTATTAGGTAATGTTTAAATATCAAATATTAATAGTAAATATTCTTTCTCTTAAATAAAACTTACCATTTAAAAATATAATGGATCTTATTATCCATCGTAATGCTGAAAAAAGAACAATTTAAAATGAAATGTTAGAGGACTATAAATCTTTTAATTACAATACCATTACAAATCATATATTAAATAATAAAATATATACTAATAAATAAGTAAAGGTACTTACCTTAAATAAGTCTTCAAAATTTCAAATTGTCCAACATTTAATTTTAATTATTTAAGTATTTAAGTTTTACAAAAAAATTAATGTTTACTGAAATTATTTATTAATTCAAAACACAAAAATTAGTGAAAAACACATTACATAGGAAAACAATAAACATCAACATAATACCTACCTACCTACCTACCTACCTACCTACCTACCTACCTACCTACCTACCTGCATTATTAAGAATATTCATTAGGTACCTTAATTTACTAAAAGAAATTAGAGAATATCCATCATCAATACACATTATATTAATATGGAATAGCTTTAATCGGTTTCAAATGCTATGTGTTATAATTGCATTAATTACCTTAGAAGTATACATTTCAAAATTCTAATTTATTTAAGTTAAACTTGATTCCATATTAATTTCCAAATGCATGAATGAATTTTATTTGTATCCTCCAACCTACCACTTTTTGAAGTTAAATCAGCTATTTCTTGTTATGGTGAGCGATAGCTGAAAACGTAACATAAAAAAAAAAGATCTGATACTGAGGACAGGTATAACACAATGTAAACGGTAACGCCAAGATGCGCTGTAATATTTGTCGTTTTACCTATAATTTTCTTTCGGGTTTTTTTCCAAATATTTCAAAAACAAAAATAAAGATAATCAAATTAGAAAAAGCAAAACTTACCAATATCATCTTCTTCATAATTTTCAAGGAGACAAAAATTAAATATTCTCTAATTTCTACTTAACATCTAATGTTAAACTATACTATAATACAAAGTTTAAGCATCATTTTATATTACTTTTACAGTATTTTACAAATGTAATAAAAGGTTATTTTTGGATACTTAACCTTTTGGCTTTTATAATAAATCAATATCTGTGTTCTCTATGTAAAGGTAATATAGTATATTATAATGTAGGTATTAATTTATTGAATTAGTCAGTCTATTTAACTAAAGAATTAATTAAAGTTAAATGTAATAAAAATGATGCTCATTTGTAACAGCCAGGATTCATATTTTATAGATAGATATATTTGTCAATATTGTGATAGATTGTATTTTAGTAATACTGTGGAGATATGGGGATGAATCACTAGCAGTTTGATATAACTATTCACTCACCTAATATGTGACTGTAATTTGGACTTACCACTGACCATGCCAAATCTGAAAAAAAATATTAAAATAACAATTGTATGCTAATCTAAAAATGTGGAGATGGGTTAGAAAAATTAAATAAAAAAATACGAAAAATATTTTATTAGAAAATTCAAAATAAATTCGGAAATAAAATTTAGATTCTGAGTGGAGCGAATGGTTCTACAAAGATGTTAATTTTTTTTTTCTGTGTACAACTTTTCTACCAAAGAACTCTTGCTCCGATTTTTAAGTATAGCGCCTTTCATGAAAGGAAATCGGTGTGGGAAGGTACCTTAGAAAGGTAATTTTTCGATTTTCTTAAGAGTTTACTCATTAAATGCGAAAAACCGAAAGAAAAAAAACGGGAAAATGTACGAAATATATTTGTATAATATTACGATTTTTTATTTTTCTGTAGACAACTTTTCTACTAACAATTTTGCTCCAACATATAATTATAGCAATTTTTCAAAAGGAAATTTCATTGGGGAGTTATTTTAGAGAGGTCATTTTTCGATTTCCTCTAGAGTTTTCTCAACAAATGTGAAAAACTAGGAAAAATCATAGGAAAACCGGGAAAAATGTAGGAAAACCGGAGAAATC